GGCACAGCAAAACTATTGGTGGCTTTGACCTTGTTTCAGGCATTTAGCTCTGAGCTCCAGACTTTCTTTAAGCGAGATTTATACTCGGACCAAAGTTTTTCTTGAATCTGGGCATTTTGGAGCTTGTCTCGAACTTGCATTCCAAGATAGGTGTAGGCCTGATCTTCCACAAGATGCTCAATAACTCCTCCCCCCTGTAACCTGACTGATCCATCATTAGTTACCTTGCCACGTTTCAAATGAAGAGTATTACATTTGTCGAGCCAAAATGTCATGCCAATGTCATTAGAAAAGGACTCGACAAGGAAAACCTGCTTTTTCAAATTGGTATCTCATTTGGAAAGGAGCTCGATGTCATCCATGTAAAGGAGATGAGTAAGCGGTGTTGGGGATTATTATAATTACAGGATCCCGACAAGTTAGACTAATGCTAGCCTTTGAAAATAGATCATTTAAAATGAAAATGGGCCAAGAGAGCTCGGGAGCTCAGAACCAGAAGGATTTCAACCTTGCTTCATTTTAGACAGCATTACAGAAGGGATTGTACGGAAGTGAAAACAACGAGGTTCTTGGACTACTAGACAGTCAACTGGCACGTCTTAGGGCACAGCCGTGGAGGCCGAATGTGGCTCGTGCAAGGAGGGAAGCACATTGTTAAACCCTAGTCTTCTAGTAATATTAGTATTAGTTTCGTATTTTGGAAAAAATAAGAAAACGAAGCGGTGCATGTGTGGCATGTAGATACGCATCCATAAAACAAATGTATTACGAACATACTTCATGCGAGTGCCACCATCTTCTTGTCCGAGAGACAGAGGCGATATGTATTACTAATGATCAGCTTTGATGATGATACAAATCCCGTCATGATATATTTTGAACAATTTATGAATTACCAAACGATACATTGCCTGGGTTGGCTGGTTGGCTTTTGTTTTACGCCGCACTAAGCAATATCCCAACTATATGGCCGTGGTCTGAAAATAATCGAATTTCGACCAGTCAGTCCAGTGATGAACAGCATGAGCATCGATCTACACAGCTGGGATAAGATGACATGTGTCAACCAAGTAAGCAAGCCTGACCACACGATCCAGTTAGTTGCCTCTTACGACAAACATGGGTTGTTGAAGACCAATTCTAACACGTCTCTTCATGAGTCTTCATTGCCTGGGACAAACAGACATTCATTTATCGTGAAGGAGACAAGTCATACTGAAATGTTATTTGGGGAACATTAGTTCTTGAAAAGCATGGCGTCGTGGTTACCGGTTCCCTTCAATTACTCAATACATTTGGTTTCTGTACCCCAGCGCCTACATTGAACTTTCTTTCACCGTATGTGGAAAAATCGCCATTGCAACAAAAGCTGTGCTTGTGATGGAGGGTAAGGGAAATTCATGTTCTAATATTTTCCAGAGTAAATACAAAGTAGGACTAAAAAAACAAGTCAAAACATTGATTACACATGTACAACAATATCGTTTCCTGTTGACTGGGTTCCGTCCCATTGCGCAACTTCGTACAATAACCAGTCCAGAAATTTTAGACCAATTCATTTAACTGGATACATAAATATTAATCAGTATTATTTGATTAATCTTAGTACTTGCATATTGCAACACTACGCTCCTTATAATCTTTGCAAATATGTCGCGCAGCGTGCCCTGTCGTTCAGCGTGACAAACAGGAACCTGGAAAGCGTGGAAATTTCAAAACGAGGCTCTGCCGCTAGAAAGTTTGGCGGTGTGGTACGGACTTGATATTATGTTAATTTCATTGTGCATTACAGAACTACACTGAAAAACCGCGAAAAATTCAATAACAGGTGTAAACAGTGAGCCAGATGCATTGTGAATCTTTGTATGACCTCATCAAACTGGGGCAGTCTGTGACGTCTTAGTTATAAGGTCATACTGCCTACACCTCGCCATAAATTATAGAAATACGATGTTATTAAAGTTTAAAATTAAAATTCATTTGTAAATACCATTTTATTATGAAACAAGGAATTGGAATTCAGTGTAACCATAGTTGTTTGTGATGTCTCTTTTTCGCTTTCACACGAGAAACTTCAGATCGCCTAAATTTAGGTCATTGTCTGGACAGGTTAATGAGACTCATGTTTCGGTTTGTTAGTTTGCTTTAAATCAAACCACTAAAATGACTTTGGACTTGACTATGATATTACGTGGGTGCCGGATGTCTGGGCTTGGATTATTTGTATGTTGATGGGAATATACACGCGTGGATGGCATGAAAACAATCATATTTGCCCATAGTATAACTGTACAGCCAATAGATTAGTTAAGAGATGGTTACAAATATATCGTCCATGGCTATAAATAATAATGTCTATTTATATTGCGCTGGGTTCCATCCACAGAGATGCATGCTCAAGGCGGTACAATAGTCACAGATGAGAAGTTGACGGGAGGAGATAGTTCATGGGGATAGAACTTTCTAAAGAGAAAGGTTTTTAGGTTGGTTTTGAATGTCTCAAGTGTTGGGGATTCTTTAATGTTCTGAGGTAGTGGGTTCCATAACTGAGGTGCTGCTACTTGAAACGATCTGTTGCCGTAGGATTTTAGTCTTGAGTTTGGTACTGCAAGTAGGCATTGGTTTTCAGATCTTAGACGTCGTGAAGGCTGGTATGGTGAGATCAGTTCTGATAGATAACTCGGTGCTGTACCATTCAAACAGTGGTAGGCAAAACACAAGATCTTGAAGTGGATCCGGGCTTCTATTGGTAGCCAGTGTAGGGACATCAATACCGACGTTATGTGGCATCTTTTTGGTGCACGACTCACAATACGAGCTGCCCTATTTTGTACCTTCTGGAGTTTGTTCAGCAGATCCTGACTCAAACCATACAACAGACTGTTGCTGTAGTCAATGCGGGACATCACAAGTTGTTGGACTAGTGTTTTTGTTACGTCTTTGGTAATAAGATGGCGGATATTACCAATATTTCTTAGATGGAAGTAGCAGGTCTGGCACACTTGATTAACTTGGGCTTCCATTGACAAGGGAGAATCAAAGATGACACCCAGGTTTTTTGCTTTGTCGGCGAATGGTATGAAAGAGTCTCCCACAGCCACTGACGTGTTGGGGAGTGTCGGTGCTCGCGTTAAGCATTTTAGTCCCTTCTAAAAGTTAAACGAATAGTTTTATAATTTAATTTTTTTTTGTTAGGATGTATTTAAGGTGTGTGAAAAATATGACATATCGCCGATCTGCCATTAAAATACTACATGTACATGTGTTAACATCAGCTGTCCTTTTTTTTTTTAAATCTCCTTTAAGACATTTTTTTTACATTAGTAACTAATTCAGATATCTTATTGCATGTGTGGAATGGCATGGGCATTGACAGAATGTTAACTGACACTGTCACAGACCCCTCAAAACAGAAAGTTTAGAACTATCACAAAGCGTTGTAAACACCTGTCCAGTTTTGTCACATGCTAAGATCAACAAGAAAGAAAGAAGTTTTAGAACTATAACACTCAAGCATCACAAGCATCAATGGCGTATCAGAACAGATTTGCGATATGTCATATTTTTCACGTACCTCAAACACCCTAACAAATTTTTTTTAAATTATAAAACTATCACTATTACTTGCAAACACCTTTCACCTGATGGTATATTCCCCTCGTAAAAATTAAAGGTGTATGTGAAAGATGTTTCAGAACAATAACTAGAAACACTCAAACAACGCCCTGTAGTATTTCAATGGCAGATCGGCGATATGTCATATTTTTCACACACCTCAAATACACCCAAACATTTTTTCTTTAGTTATAAAACTATCACTATTACTTGCACACACCTTTCAACTAAAGGTATATTTCCCTTCTAAAAATTAAACGAATATGTGAAAGAAGTTTTTAGCGATATAAGTTAGTCTTTCTTCGCTGTGTACTGAGAATTGAAGCCAGTGAGCTACAACATGCCGACTTGAAACTTTACTACAAATCTACTGTACTAATACTGACACTAATAACAATTATTTGACTTAAAATGAAGTGACAGAATAGGTAACTTATCTTCTACATGTAGGTTTTCAGTTGTCACAACACTCAGCGTATGTAATCAGCTGTTGAAAATAAACCGAGCTCAATCTTATAAACTACGCTTCCGCCATATTGGCTACACTGGTCACGTGACGAGCCGAGGCATACGCTAAGGGGCTTTCCGAGGAGTGACCGCTCCCCCTTATATAGTCTCCCTGGTTCTACCGATAGTTTTGCGTTCTTTACCATGTTTGGGGAGGGATGGCCGTGGTGTATCATTAATTCTTTCATTCATTGACTATTATGAAGTTTGGAAGTCATTTTGGTTTAAACATATTTTATTATGAAATGGAGGATGTGACGTCATCGATATTGACTATTGCACAAATATATTTTTAGGTACATATAACTATATACAGATTAAATCAAATGCAACTGTTCTACCATTCTCAAATGGTAAAGAAAGCACGCGAGAGACCTATCCCTGTTGTAGAGTATCCCCGGGAACATGAACTGTATGTCATATTTGTTCATAGTCTCCCGAATGCTCGGATGATACATAGCGTTCCTCAAATAATTAGATCAGACAAACACACACGTCTTACATAACTATGTGTTAACTGTCACACTTGAACATTTGCCTTCAGGACGAGGCTTTTGAAATCTGTCTTCTTAGAGAGAGAGAGAGAGAGAGAGAGAGAGAGAGAGAGAGAGAGAGAGAGAGAGAGAGAGAGAGAGAGAGAGAGAGAGAGAGAGAGAGAGAGAGAGAGAGAGAGAGAGAGAGAGAGAGAGAGAGAGAGAGAGAGAGCAGGGACATGGGACACGTAGATATTGAACACTGTTCTCAGGTACATCGATGATGCCGTATTTCACGCTGCATGTTGTCAAAACGTAACGAGAGGCGCTCGGCACTCCTCGTGACATTCCGCCGTATGTTAATCATCTCCCGGCGGGCTCGGCGACTAATGAATAATTCATGTATAGTTGTTGTGAGTCGCATGGAGGCTGTGGCTGGTTTGACGTTTCTGTGCAAGTTGTGTTGATTCATCAGCGACAGGTAATTGGCAGAATATGTTATATATCGCTTTCTGTTTCAGTCAGTAACGTACTCGTGGACATGCCTGTAAACATCGAGGAATTACGTGACTGCCTGTAAGCTTGGTCTAAAGTGCCAGGATTCTGCGAGTCGGCACCATGGCATCTTCCCTTCCATCTTATCAGCCAAATAGTGCAACAGGCGGGTAGCGCGCAGCTTGCATGTGTTACTGATAGAGCTCTGAACAGTGAACAACAGTCCATGTGAACAATAAGAACTTTAAATGGGTGCAGTACAACCTCGCTCTCCGATACTTTTATGACCAATGTACGATAAATATTGGTCTGATGTGTACTCATGCAGTTGTAAGCGCCCCCTCGCGTTAGGCCTTGTTCCTTGATCCCAGGTCCATCTCGATATTTATCTGTCAGCATCAATATTTGCTGTGTTTTCTAAAATATGCTAAAGAGGAATGAGGTGGTGAATAGTCCATCCTGAAGAAATATATTCTGTACTGGATAAGCTTCACGATGAGGAAATGTTTGCATGTCCACCATCAGGTCAAAGAGAAAAGTGTTAAATTATTTAAAATTCTTGTCAAGAATGTTCAAACACAATATTTTGATTCCAGGATGCCCGTGCTGCCCTGGTCTACCGGTGATAGTTCTGTAAATGTCTTTATATGTAACTGTTTAATTGCATAGGCAATTCTTTCAATTCTTATGTTGTTTACGTTCTTTGACAATTCATTTTTGGTATCCATGTTGTATACATGCTCTGTTTGTTAGTTGATCCATCTTATACTTAACAAAACCATTGACTTCCTACAGTGTGACTGACTCACTGACTGACTGACTGAGTTTGGTTTTACGCCGCTTTTAGCAATATTCCAGCAACATCACGGCGGCGGGCAAAGAGTGTGAGAGAAAATGTGACCTAAATAGTCTATGGCAGCTACTTGGAGGGTTCCAGGGTGGGTGGAGTAGCCAGCCCAGTCATTATATATATTTGCTTGTCACTGAGGGCCCGGGGTCTATTGCCTATGTGTGTACAATGTGTGAAGTCCATGTTTAGTGTCCCATGCCGTGATATTGCTGGAATATTGTTAAAAGCGACATAAACCCCAACTCAGTCACTCACCAAGGAGTTCTGACAGAGTTTATGAATTCAGTAAGTACAGGAGGTAGCCACATAATAGACTAAACAATACTAAAACATAGAAAAGTGGAACAAGTGAATGAATTGTGTATTTAAACAAATATGTTTTTTTCTTCTAATTTTTTCTCGGTAGATATACAGGTCTGGGCCCACTTGCACAGAACGATCTTAGCGCTACAATTATTGTAAATCCATGAGATCGCGATCTTAAGCTTCTGCTACAATCGCCATCCACTTGCACAAAGCGATTGTAGGCTAAGATCATTGTAAGTTACAATCGAAACTTACAATTGGTCCCGGACCAATTGTAAGGAGCTAAGATCATTGTAGTCTGTGACAAAATGGTGTTCAAGTTTCACGCAAATAATCAGCTTTACGTTTGGAGATTGCTTTTATATTGCATAAAACTGTACTGTATGATTCGCCTCGACACTTCAACAACACGGAGAATGCACAACCGATTTAACGCCTGACACATTATTTGCTTTAGTGAACCTCAGAACTATCGAGTCGATATCTCAAAGTACTATTCCCACCCGATTCAATGTTGGAATAAGTGTGAAACAACATACCGTTTTGATAATCAAGGAAAGGATACTAGCAAATGGTGTCAGCGTGCGATTAACAAAGGCCGTGACCTTTTCATTAACTCAAGAGCAGATAATTTTAGTTTATGTGCAAGATGGGAGTGGTTTCCCCTGGCCTATGCAGTTGCCGTGGAGTCTGTAATGCCCAATCGCAGAGCTCAAGATATTTTCTTTTCGGTGATGGAGTGATTTTGTCTTAGTTAATCATTAAAGTAATCAAAAATTAGATACAAGTTAACGTGCAAAATCAAGATTCAATTTCAATTTCACTTTTAGAAAAATATTTATCAACGCAATAGGGTCATAGCATTAATATACTGTGAATGAGTATTTAACAACTGCTCTCTCGATATATTATTTGATATTCGTATTTCCCTGTCATGAATTCTTTACAACACTTCTGTAGCCTATTACATTTTCTTGTTATTTTGTGAGAAAACCAATACTTCTAGGGTATATTTAGGATTTTACACACACAAAAAGAAAAAAAACAGCTGTGCATTAAACAATGTCTCATTGACAACCAGTGGCAAATCATGCAGTTAGGTGTTATATCATAAGGAAATATTGTCGATATTTGATATAGTATTATAATATTGATAATTGTTAAGTCACTAAATCTAGACCCAAATTTATGAATGTATTTTTTCGCAGTTCAATATTTTCATAAAACATGGGTAGGTATTTCCGTGGTTGAAATATCACATTCTCAGTTCATTAATCAAGACAGTTAAAATGTAGAAAAATATATGCTATCGTCCACGTAATCGCTTCCTTCAAGATTTCTGGGAATGTTTTTCATGAAAATTCTGCAAAGTGCGATTGAGGGAGGTATGTATTGTGTGCAGGGACCAGTATCCCTCTCTATTTGCGCAGTATGCTATGCGCACTTGCAGACAACTGTAGACAGGAGTCGAGTTTAAGAAATTCGCACCTCCACCGTTGAAGAGTGCGATCTTAACTAAGATCGCGATCTTAAATCCATGCGGTCTTACAATTGCGCTAAGATCGGCTTTGTGCAAGTGGATTCGGGCAATTGTATGTTGATTGTAAAGTTGATTGTAGGGGTCTAAGATTGATTGTAACTAAGATTGCTCTGTGCAAGTGGGCCCTGAACTATAGTCTGTTACACAAAAAAGTCATGTTTTTTCTTATGTGAACCAAAATGGATTTTTTAAATTACTTTATATCAGTGTTTGAAAATATACACTAATTTTTCTTACAATGAGTGTATAACCCGCACTATAAGTGCTGAAATGTTATGCCATTATGAGGCCTCAGTTTGTCGAGCTAAACACGCCAGAGTTACTGCCCTTTGATTATGACGTAATTGGTGCCAGCTGATTTAAACTGGTCTCCTGTCTAGTGCCAAAGGCAAAAGATGTAAATTCTGACATTAATCACGCAAAAGCACTGATGTAAAGTACGAAAGAAGCATTAGAACTGAAAATGTAGGCAGCAAGATAGAAATGATCGTGTGCATTTTAATTCATAACCTCACCTCAATGGAAATATCAAATAATGTATAACAATGTTGACGTACATATGACATCACTATCGGGAAGTGACTTTCTCAAAATGGCGTGCATATCTTTGAGATGTTTTTGGATATGGTTTCGGCATCAATGTGAAGGTTGAAGAGGACGGACATATATTGTACGATTTAAATGTAGGAATGTACCAAACGTAGAATGCCTTCACATTCACCGATGGCACGCTAGATGTAGTGCATATGTACGTTCGAGTTTTGGAGAAAGAAGTTGATTGGAAAGACCACCGACTCAAGTTGAATGTTATACAATTTGGTTAAGTGGTAACACTTTTTGTACAATGTAACATATAGTGTGGAACCAACCACATAGCCAGCTGACGGCCAGGCAACAGGTGGATTAAAACAGTAGCCTGCACATCGAGACACTACAACCACAACTATACTTGCACTACGTGAAATGGTACTAATAAGGTCTAACGACGTCATTCGTTTATCATTTGGGCACCATTGACGTCATTTCCACGGGACATAAGCCATGGTGTGTTCATTGTGGACATAGAACATTCGGTTAATGTGGAAACTTTGAATTGGTATAACGCAAAAAAATAAATTAGTTACTTCTGATATCTGTGTTGTTTTGGCTATAAAACAACTTGACAAACATTTCTTACGATGAAAAAGTGGAAGACAAAAAGGTTAATTTTCGTGTACACTTCCCCTTTAAACAAAAAAGTAAATCAAATAAGGTGAAATTAAGATTGCAAAACCTCATAATGTTACCGTGCCAACTGAACACATATAAATCTCGGAATTTTATTTAACTTAGGATAAAAGTTCTTTATCAAACGATCATAGACTCAAATTGCTACTACTGGTTTGTATTACAAGGGTGTTAAGCGCAGTACTTGGAACAGTTAAACAAATGCATATGCGGTACGTGATGAGCTTTGACTGAGACAAGCCCAACTTAATTGTTCTCAGTGATTCATTTGGATACCCCCTTACATATGTCGGTGGGCTCATTTCCTGCCGAGATCCGGGAACAAAACATCAATACAGTTTTGAATCGATAATTGTATTGTCTTAGCAAAAGTATCAATGCATCCCTAGTAGGATGGATGCAGAAACCAGCCCTTATTTCTGTAGGAGGTTTCACGAACACCATGTACTGGAAGTTAACACTGATCTAGATTGCAGGGTTTGCCTTCATCCTGAAAGTATTTGCAATACACACTCATATATGTAATATGAACCATCATTTGATCTGTTTTTGTTTAAAGAACTATTGTGGAGTGCATTTCATTTGAGCTGACTTCAGTGTTTTGTTTGTGTTTATGGATGTATAAATGTAAATTATATAGCACTAATATATTAGCACTAATTGTTACTTGAGATGATTCATAAAGTTATATCCCCTCTTTGCTATGGTTGTGATTTAAAATCCTAAATATATTCCTGTACAATGACATGCAATCAACCAAGCCTGGCCACCTAAACAATTCTAGTCTGAATATCAACATTCATGTTACTGATCCTCTATTGAATCTCATGGTGCAATTTGTAACTGTAACGCTGCTCTCTTCCTTTGCAGTTAGACCATCACAATGGAAGTGCCATGGCCCTGTATCCGTGAAGTGTGGGTGTGATCAGCACTAAGTCACTCGGTTTCCCTTACTGAGCTGCCCACAGTAAGTCCTAGTACATCCAGTAAACTGGAGTCACTCTCTTCCCATAGGCTTGCAGTAGAGTTTTCAGTGGGATAAATAAAGCTGGGAAAAAAGGTTTCGATTCCGGCTTGTTGTTTCAGTGGGATAAAGCTGGTGAAATAGGTTTCGATACTGGCTTGTTGTTTCAGTGGGATAAAGCTGGTGAAATAGGTTCCATACTGGCTTGTTGTTTCAGTGGGATAAAGCTGGTGAAGTAGGTTTCGATACCGGCTTGTTTCAGTGGGATAAAGCTGGTGAAGTAGGTTTCGATACCGGCTTGTTTCAGTGGGATAAAGCTGGTGAAATAGGTTTCGATTCTGGCTTGTTGTTTCAGTGGGATAAAGCTGGTGAAATAGGTTTCGATACCGGCTTGTTTCAGTGGGATAAAGCTGGTGAAATAGGTTTGCACCTGAATAAATCCGTCTCCCCTCACTGAGCTCCCAACAGTATTTGTGCTACTCTCTCCTCTACACACTACTCGCTTATCAATCACCCCACAGTAAATCCCAGCCCCAAGTACATTTGAGACCCTCTTTCCTCGCTCATCAATCAATCACCCCACAGTAAATCCCGGTACACCTGAGACCCTCTTTCCTTGGTCATCATGCACCCCACAGTAAATCCCGGTACACCTGAGACCCTCTTTCCTTGGTCATCGTGCACCACACAGTAAATCCCGGTACACCTGAGACCCTCTTTCCTTGGTCATCATGCACCCCACAGTAAATCCCGGTACACCTGAGACCCTCTTTCCTTGGTCATCGTGCACCACACAGTAAATCCCGGTACACCTGAGACCCTCTTTCCTTGGTCATCATGCACCACACAGTAAATCCCGGTACACCTGAGACCCTCTTTCCTTGGTCATCGTGCACCACACAGTAGATCCCGTACACCTGAGACCCTCTTTCCTTGGTCATCATGCACCCCACAGTAAATCCCGGTACACCTGAGACCCTCTTTCCTTGGTCATCATGCACCACACAGTAAATCCCGGTACACCTGAGACCCTCTTTCCTTGGTCATCATGCACCACACAGTAGATCCCGGTACACCTGAGACCCTCTTTCCTTGGTCATCGTGCACCACACAGTAAATCCTGGTACACCTGAGACCCTCTTTTCCTTGGTCATCGTGGCACCACACAGTAAATCCTGGTACACCTGAGACCCTCTTTCCTTGGTCATCATGCACCACACAGTAAATCCCGTACACCTGAGACCCTTCTTCCTTGGTCATCATGCACCACACAGTAAATCCTGGTACACCTGAGACCCTCTTTCCTTGGTCATCGTGGCACCACACAGTAAATCCTGGTACACCTGAGACCCTCTTTCCTTGGTCATCGTGCACCACACAGTAAATCGGTACACCTGAGACCCTCTTTCCTTGGTCATCATGCACCACACAGTAAATCCGGTACATCTGAGACCCTCTTTCCTTGGTCATCATGCACCACACAGTAAATCGGTACACCTGAGACCCTCTTTCCTTGGTCATCGTGCACCACACAGTAAATCCCGGTACACCTGAGACCCTCTTTCCTTGGTCATCGTGCACCCCACAGTAAATCCCGGTACACCTGAGACCCTCTTTCCTTGGTCATCGTGCACCACACAGTAAATCCCGGTACACCTGAGACCCTCTTTCCTTGGTCATCGTGCCCCACAGTAAATCCCGTACACCTGAGGACCCTCTTTCCTTGGTCATCGTGCACCACACAGTAAATCCCGGTACACCTGAGACCCTCTTTCCTTGGTCATCGTGCACCACACAGTAAATCCCAGTACACCTGGGTCACCCTGTGTTCCCCATTCTCTTCTACACATTATCCCAGTGTATTGGTTGAAGTAGTAAGTCTGCTGATGCAGTGTTTTGTGTTGACAGAATCGCCCACAATGTTGGTCAACAGAAAAACCAGCTTCAAGAATGGTATGTCCATGGCTGACTATGGCCCTGATGAGAATCTCAATGACAACGCTGACATTGAGTGGGTGAACAAGACTTGGACTCGAAGGCTTCTACGGGGATGTGCTCTTCTCAGCATGATCTCAGTCAGCATGAACACACCCAAGACGTTCGAGAAACTGCCGGCTCTCATGTATGTGACCTTCTCCATCGACATGGTCATCACATTCCTCTTCACTGCCGAGATGATCGCCAAGATGCACATCCGGGGTGCATGGAAGGTCAGTGTATCTCATCATCAGCTGGTGAGCAAGGTGTGGCACAAGCAATTTTCTAAAGGGGGTAACTCACCTGAAATGTTACCTAGTCTGATCAGGGGTAACATGTTTGAACACCGCAATCCCATAGTTATCCAAATTTGCAGGATACCTTGAAGACAGGTGAACAGCCATTAACTATCTTTTGAATCAAGCATTTGAATGTGGTGTGAGGGATGAATGAATGTATTGTCGAAATATTAGGTTGAATGAGTGCATCACTGTCTCACTGAACATGTCAGCAGGACACAGGTACGATGTCTCACTCAGCATGTCCGCTGGACACAGGTACGATGTCTCACTGAACTGTCAGCAGGACACAGGTACGATGTCTCACTCAGCATGTCCGCTGGACACAGGTACGATGTCTCACTGAACTGTCAGCTTGACACAGGTACGATGTCTCACTCAGCATGTCCGCTGGACACAGGTACGATGTCTCACTGAACTGTCAGCTTGACAGTTGAATGTGTATAATGTCTCGCTGTTTGTTGCAGGGCGAAGCACCGTACCTGAAGGATCGATGGTGTCAGTTTGATGGGATCATGGTTTTGTTCCTCTGGACATCAGTTGTGCTGCAGGTAAATAGAACTGGCTGCATGCTCCATAACACATAATACTTACATAGCAACCTGTCAACATCACCACTGTGATTCAGGTCTTTATGATGATGACATCTATACATCTCTGGAATGACAACGTGGTTTTTTTCTGAATGTGTGTTGTCTGACTTAGTGGGTAGTTAGTCTGACATAGTGTGCTGTTAGTCTGACTTAGTGGGTAGTTAGTCTGACATAGTGTGCTGATAGTCTGACATAGTGTGCAGTTAGTCTGACTTAGTGAATTGTTAGTCTGACATAGTGTGTTGTTAGTCTGACATAGTGTGTTGTTAGTCTGACTGAGTGAATTGTTAGTCTGACTTAGTGTGCTGTTAGTCTGACTTAGTGTGCTGATAGTCTGACATAGTGTGTTGTTAGTCTGACATAGTGTGCAGTTAGTCTGACTGAGTGAATTGTTAGTCTGACATAGTGTGTTGTTAGTCTGACTTGGTGGGTAGTTAGTCTGACGTAGTGTGTTGTTAGTCTGACGTAGTGTGTTGTTAGTCTGACATAGTGTGTTGTTAGTCTGACGTAGTGTGTTGCTAGTCTGACATAGTGTGTTGTTAGTCTGACATAGTGTGTTGTTAGTCTGACATAGTGTGTTCTTAATCTGACATAGTGTGTTGTTAGTCTGACATAGTGTGTTGTTAGTCTGGCATGTGTTGTTAGTCTGGCATAGTGTGCTGTTAGTCTGACTTAGTGGGTAGTTAGTCTGACATAGTGTGTTGTTAGTCTGACATAGTGTTTTCTTAATCTGACATAGTGTGTTGTTAGTCTGACGTAGTGTTTTCTTAATCTGACATAGTGTGTTGTTAGTCTGACATAGTGTTTTCTTAATCTGACATAGTGTGTTGTTAGTCTGACATAGTGTTTTCTTAATCTGACATAGTGTGTTGTTAGTCTGACATAGTGTTTTCTTAATCTGACATAGTGTGTTGTTAGTCTGACTTAGTGGGTAGTTAGTCTGACATAGTGTGTTGTTAGTCTGACATAGTGTTTTCTTAATCTGACATAGTGTGTTGTTAGTCTGACGTAGTGTTTTCTTAATCTGACATAGTGTGTTGTTAGTCTGACATAGTGTTTTCTTAATCTGACATAGTGTGTTGTTAGTCTGACTTAGTGGGTAGTTAGTCTGACATAGTGTGTTGCTAGTCTGACATAGTGTGTTGTTAGTCTGACGTAGTGTGTTGCTAGTCTGACATAGTGTGTTGTTAGTCTGACATAGTGTTTTCTTAATCTGATATAGTGTGTTGTTAGTCTGACGTAGTGTTTTCTTAATCTGACATAGTGTGTTGTTAGTCTGACATAGTGTGTTGTTAGTCTGACTTAGTGGGTAGTTAGTCTGACATAGTGTGTTGTTAGTCTGACATAGTGTTTTCTTAATCTGACATAGTGTGTTGTTAGTCTGACGTAGTGTTTTCTTAATCTGACATAGTGTGTTGTTAGTCTGACATAGTGTTTTCTTAATCTGACATAGTGTGTTGTTAGTCTGACGTAGTGTGTTGTTAGTCTGACATGTGTTGTTAGTCTTGCATAGTGTGCTGTTAGTTTGACCAAGTATGTATTATATGGCTGTTAAATTTTCTGTGGTCTGAAAAAGTAGATCTGACAAAGTATTGATTGTCTGTTGGACAAGGTTTATGTTTTGAGAAAGTGTTACTTTGACAAAGTGTGTGTTCAGGTGTTTGAGATGTGTTGTCTGCCTCTGTTCAGGTGTTTGAAATATGTTGTGTTCCTGTGTTCAGGTGTTTGAGATGACTGGTTCAATACCACCAGAGCATCCAGGGTCAGTTCTTCGTATTCTGCGCTCTCCGCGGCCACTAATCCTCATCAGGGTCTTCAGGGTGTTCCTCAAATTCTCCCTTCCAAAGAACAGAATCAACCAGATTTTCAAGTAAGTCACTTATAAATACATAGTCAATCCTTTGTATGTGCTGATTCAATATCTTTGTCTGTAGCTTGAGTGCCCCATTAAACAACACATGTAAAAACTATCTGTAGCCTGTGTGATGGTGGACTGCAATATCTTTTCCAGCTTCTTCATGACAGATTGTTGGGGGATATGAGGCATATCACATGACTTGCCACAATGTATAAAATAATGCAACTCCATATTCGACATATCACACTATTTGCCACACAGTATGAGACATATCACACTATTTGCCACACAGTATGAGACATATCACACTATTTGCCACACAGTATGAGACGTATCACACTATTTGCCACACTGTATGAAACACATCACACTATTTGCCACGCTATATGAGACATATCACACTATTTGCCAAACTATATGAAACATATCACACTATTTGCCACACTATACGAGAGATATCACACTATTTGCCACACTATATGAGACACATCACACTACTTACCACACCTCGTCCAGATCATGTGATGTGGAACAGTTTGTCTTGTATATCATGTGTAATACTGCAACACAGTTGATGTAAGACTTGATGAAGTGACTTTAACATTGGTGATCATTGATTATCAGTATCAGGGGGGAAATGGTATGCTCTTACCACAGTACGGTATGTATTGCAATACAAGGCCTTCGGTTCGGTATATCAGATATGATCATAATGCAGGAAATTGACAACAGCCAAACCTAGATAGATTTTGACAAATTGATTTGATTTCTAGACATTTTAGAAAAGATTTTAAAAGGTTAACAAAATGACGGTACGAAAACCGAAAATACTGAATTTTTGGATTGCATTAGGTATACCGAACCGAAGGCAAAATACAGCGGTGCTGCTAATACCGCAGTATACTGTTTCGCCCCTAATCAGTACTTTAGTGACAGAAAGTTGTTAGTTGTTTTTTTTCAGTTCCTTCTAACCTTATAAAATGTTGTGGGTGTATTCAAAATGGTATTGATGATGTATTGATACTAAACATGCATTGCCATTTCTGTTGGTACTTTTGGATCCATGTAATCAGTACAGTGTATCTGTCTGTAGGTTTAAATACATGTTATCAGTACAGTGTATCTGTCTGTAGGTTTAAATACATGTTATCTGTACAGTGTATCTGTCTGTAGCTTTAAATACATGTTATCTGTACAGTGTATCTGTCTGTAGCTTTAAATACATGTTATCTGTACAGTGTATCTGTCTGTAGCTTTAAATACATGTTATCTGTACAGTGTATCTGTCTGTAGGTTTAAATACATGTTATCTGTACAGTGTATCTGTCTGTAGGTTTAAATACATGTTATCTGTACAGTGTATCTGTCTGTAGGTTTAAATACATGTTATCTGTACAGTGTATCTGTCTGTAGCTTTAAATACATGTTATCTGTACAGTGTATCTGTCTGTAGCTTTAAATACATGTTATCTGTACAGTGTATCTGTCTGTAGCTTTAAATACATGTTATCTGTACAGTGTATCTGTCTGTAGCTTTAAATACATGTTATCTGTACAGTGTATCTGTCTGTAGCTTTAAATACATGTTATCTGTACAGTGTATCTGTCTGTAGGTTTAAATACATGTTATCTGTACAGTGTATCTGTCTGTAGGTTTAAATACATGTTATCTGTACAGTGTATCTGTCTGTAGCTTTAAATACATGTTATCTGTACAGTGTATCTGTCTGTAGCTTTAAATACATGTTATCTGTACAGTGTATCTGTCTGTAGCTTTAAATACATGTTATCTGTACAGTGTATCTGTCTGTAGCTTTAAATACATGTTATCTGTACAGTGTATCTGTCTGTAGCTTTAAATACATGTTATCTGTACAGTGTATCTGTCTGTAGCTTTAAATACATGTTATCTGTACAGTGTATCTGTCTGTAGGTTTAAATACATGTTATCTGTACAGTTATCTATCTGTCTGTAGGTTTAAATACATGTTATCTGTACAGTGTATCTGTCTGTAGCTTTAAATACATGTTATCTGTACAGTGTATCTGTCTGTAGCTTTAAATACATGTTATCTGTACAGTGTATCTGTCTGTAGCTTTAAATACATGTTATCTGTACAGTGTATCTGTCTGTAGCTTTAAATACATGTTATCTGTACAGTGTATCTGTCTGTAGGTTTAAATACATGTTATCTGTACAGTACAGTGTATCTGTCTGTAGCTTTAAATACATGTTATCTGTACAGTGTATCTGTCTGTAGCTTTAAATACATGTTATCTGTACAGTGTATCTGTCTGTAGCTTTAAATACATGTTATCTGTACAGTGTATCTGTCTGTAGCTTTAAATACATGTTATCTGTACAGTGTATCTGTCTGTCACTTTAAATACATGTTATCTGTACAGTGTATCTGTCTGTAGCTTTAAATACATGTTATCTGTACAGTGTATCTGTTCGTAGCTTTAAATACATGTTATCTGTACAGTGTATCTGTCTGTAGGTTTAAATACATGTTATCTGTACAGTGTATCTGTCTGTAGCTTTAAATACATGTTATCTGTACAGTGTATCTGTCTGTAGCTTTAAATACATGTTATCTGTACAGTGTATCTGTCTGTAGGTTTAAATACATGATACTGTGCAGTGTATCTGTCTGTAGGTTTAAATACATGTTATCTGTACAGTGTATCTGTCTGTAGCTTTAAATACATGTTATCTGTACAGTGTATCTGTCTGTAGCTTTAAATACATGTTATCTGTACAGTGTATCTGTCTGTAGGTTTAAATACATGTTATCTGTACAGTGTATCTGTCTGTAGCTTTAAATACATGTTATCTGTACAGTGTATCTGTCTGTAGCTTTAAATACATGTTATCTGTACAGTGTATCTGTCTGTAGGTTTAAATACATGTTATCTGTACAGTGTATCTGTCTGTAGCTTTAAATACATGTTATCTGTACAGTGTATCTGTCTGTAGGTTTAAATACATGTTATCTGTACAGTGTATCTGTCTGTAGGTTTAAATACATGTTATCTGTACAGTGTATCTGTCTGTAGGTTTAAATACATGTAATAAATACAGTGTATCTGTCTGTAGGTTTAAATACATGTTATCTGTACAGTGTATCTGTCTGTAGGTTTAAATACATGTTATCTGTACAGTGTATCTGTCTGTAGGTTTAAATACATGTTATCTGTACAGTGTTTTTGAACCATAAATTGTGGGCCATGTGAGGGTAACCATGGTGACTTGTATGTTGGTATGTTGGGTCAGGATATCAAGGAGAAGTACTTCAATCATTACAGTACAGTAACAAGCAAATAGGACCTGTATATGTGATCATGTTGATTATCATGTCTAATTACCTACTAATGTAATTCAGTTGTATCAAGGTGTGTCTGCTTAATATTGGAGGGAAGCTGATTCAGGCATCTGACATTTGGTTAAACCAACATATAATTTTAAGGTGATATGTAATTATGCCTTCATACTGTAACAATAATGAAGATGGATTGTGCTCATGTTAAGGAAGACATATTACCCATGTTTGACAGCATTCACTGTGTTTCCACAGGCGGTCCAGCCAGCAGATCTACAATGTCACCATCTTCTTCCTCTTCTTCATGTCCCTGTATGGAATTCTGGGGGTTCAGTTCTTCGGGGTGATGAGGCACCATTGTGTGAAGAACGAGACGGATGTCAGGTAATAATCTCAGTGTCTCTGTAGCCATCGTAACTGTAGCTGTCACATAATAACCTCACTGTTTCTGTAGCCATCGTAACTGTAACTGTCACATAATAACCTCAGTGTCTCTGTAGCCATCGTAACTGTAACTGTCACATAATAACCTCAGTGTCTCTGTAGCCATCGTAACTGTAACTGTCACATAATAACCTCAGTGTCTCTGTAGCCATCGTTACTGTAACTGTCACATAATAACCTCAGTGTCTCTGTAGCCATTGTAACTGTAACTGTCACGTAATAACCTCAGTGTCTCTGTAGCCATCGTAACTGTAACTGTCACATAATAACCTCAGTGTCTCTCTCTAGCCATCATAACTGTAATTGTCACATAATAACCTCAGTGTCTCTCTCTAGCCATCGTAACTGTAACTGTCACGTAATAACCTCAGTGTCTTTCAGTAGCCATTTTAACTGTAACTGTCACATAATAACCTCAGTGTCTCCCTCTAGCAATCATAACTGTAACTGTCACATAATAACCTCAGTGTCCCTGTAGCCATCGTAACTGTAACTGTCACATAATAACCTCAGTGTCTCTCTCTAGCCATTTTAACTGTAACTGTCATGTAATAACCTCAGTGTCTTTCCGTAGCCATCGTTACTGTAACTGTCACATAATAACCTCAGTGTTTCTGTAGCCATCGTAACTGTAACTGTCACATAATAACCTCAGTGTCTCTCTCTAGCCATCGTAACTGTAACTGTCACATAATAACCTCAGTGTCTCTCTCTAGCAATCATTACTGTAACTGTCACATAATAACCTCAGTGTCTTTCTGTAGCCATCGTAACTGTAACTGTCACATAATAACCTCAGTGTCTCTGTAGCCATGGTAACTGTAACTATTACATAATAACCTCAGTATCTCTCTCTAGCCATTTTAACTGTAACTGTCATGTAATAACCTCACTGTCTTTCTGTAGCCATTTTAACTGTAACTGTCTTGTAATAACCTCAGTGTCTCTGTAGCCATCGTAACTGTAACTGTCATGTAATAACCTGACTGTCTTTCTATTGCCATAGCTGTAACTGTCACATAATAATCTCACTGTCTTTCTGTAGCCATCGTAAGTAACTGTAACTATCACATAATAACCTCAGTCTCTCTGTAGCCATGTTAACTGTAACATGACTAACTGTAATCTGTATCTGTTTAACTGTAACTAAATACAGGCTTTGTCTTGAACATGTTGAGACTTACCTATTTGAAGACTGACAGTAAGACCTACAGTATGACCTGTCTGGTGTACAACATGTGGCTTGTCCTAGTGCTGATTCCTGCATCACTTGTCTGTACAGCAACATCACCAAGTATGACCTGGCTGTGCCAGACACCCACTGCTCCCCTGAGCCTGGTCAGGGTTACCAGTGTCCCAGCAACATGAAGTGTGTAGAGCTCACTCTGTCCAAGGAAATCATGGGCTTCAATGGGTTTGATATGATCGGTGAGTTGGAAAGTGTGAGTGAATGAGATGAGCTCAGTATCGCTTTCAACAGTATTCCAGATACATGGCGTGCCATCCTCTTGTGTGACGCAAGTCTGAGATGTTTACCATTCTGTTGACACCCACACACAGATATGATTCTAACAAACTTGGAATCATAGTCTGGGATGAGCCATAATTTAAAGCCATGATGATAGTTTCCTGGTGTGTCCAAGTAAGGCAACTCTGCACACTGGATTTGCCAGCCTGAAAGAGAGAATAGAAACCTCAACTGATCTTCCTGTTAAATGACATCCCATTTTCCATCAGTGAATCATGTTATTACGTTACTTGTCATGAAGGTTATGTATGGTAACTGCTATTGGCATCCTGTATGTTGCAGCTACAAGTGTGTTCACGGTGTACCAGGCTGCGTCCCAGGAGGGCTGGGCATTCCTCATGTATCGCTGCATAGACAGCCTCCCGTCATGGAAGGCCTTCCTCTACTTCATCTCTCTCATCTTCTTCCTGGCATGGCTGGTCAAGGTGGGTCAGCATTAAACTACAGGCAGGGGCAAGTCGTGTACATCGGCAGCTTACTGTACACATGTAGGTTTTACTATCACGTGACTAGTGGTGTAGGTCACAGTGCACTGTTTTACTATCACGTGACTAGTGGTGTAGGTCACAGTGCACTGTTTTACTTACTGTCACTTGTAAGTTTTACAATCATGTGGCTAGTGGTGTAGGTTACAGCGCACTGTTTTACTTACTGTCACTTGTAAGTTTTACAATCATGTGACTAGTGGTGTAGGTCACAGTGCACTGTTTTACTTACTGTCACTTGTAGGTTTTACAATCACTGTGACTAGTGGTGTAGGTCACAGTGCACTGTTTTACTTACTGTCACTTGTAGGTTTTACAATCACGTGACTAGTGGTGTAGGTCACAGTGCACTGTTTTACTATCACGTAGGTTTTTACAATAGTGGTGGTGTAGTCACAGTGCACTGTTTTACTTACTGTCACTTGTAGGTTTAACAATCACGTGACTAGTGGTGTAGGTCACAGTGCACTGTTTTACTATCACGTGACTAGTGGTGTAGGTCACAGTGCACTGTTTTACTTACTGTCACTTGTAGGTTTTACAATCACGTGACTAGTGGTGTAGGTCAGTGCAGTGCACTGTTTTGTAGGTTTTCACAATCCGCATTGACTAGTGGTGTAGGTCACAGTGCACTGTTTTACTTACTGTCACTTGTAGGTTTTACAATCACAGTGGCTAGTGGTGTAGGTTACAGCGACTTGTAGTTTTAACTTCACGCGACTAGTGGTGTAAGTTTTACACATGTGACTGAAGTGCACTGTTTTACTATCATGTTACTAGTGGTGTAGGTCACAGTGCACTGTTTTACTTACTGTCACTTGTAGGTTTTACAATCACGTGACTAGTGGTGTAGGTCACAGTGCACTGTTTTACAATCACTGTCACTAGTGGTGTAGGTTTTACAATCATGTGACTAGTGGTGTAGGTTACAGCGCACTGTTTTACTTACTGTCACTTGTAGGTTTTACAATCACGGACTAGTGGTGTAGGTCACAAGTGCACTGTTTTACAATCACTGTCACTTGTGGTTTTACAATCCAATGATGACTAGTGTAGGTCACAGTTTTACTTACTGTCACTTGTAAGTTTTACAATCACGTGACTAGTGGTGTAGGTCACAGTGCACTGTTTTACTTACTGTCACTTGTAGGTTTTACAATCATGTGACTAGTGGTGTAGGTCACAGTGCACTGTTTTACTTACTGTCATCAGGTTTTACTATCACGTGAGTAGTGGTGTAGGTCACAGTGCACTGTTTTACTTACTGTCACATGTAGGTTTTACAATCACGTGACTAGTGGTGTAGGTCACAGTGCACTGTTTTACAATCACGTGACTAGTGGTGTAGGTCACAGTGCACTGTTTTACAATCACGTGACTAGTGGTGTAGGTCACAGTGCACTGTTTTACAATCACTGAGTAGTGGTGTAGGTCACAGTGCACTGTTTTACAATCACGTGACTAGTGGTGTAGGTCACAGTGCACTGTTTTACAATCACGTGACTAGTGGTGTAGGTCACAGTGCACTGTTTTACTTACTGTCACATGTAGGTTTTACAATCACGTGACTAGTGGTGTAGGTCACAGTGCACTGTTTTACAATCACGTGACTAGTGGTGTAGGTCACAGTGCACTGTTTTACTTACTGTCACATGTAGGTTTTACAATCATGTGACTAGTGGTGTAGGTCACAGTCCACTGTTTTACAATCATGTGACTAGTGGTGTAGGTCACAGCACACTGTTTTACTTACATTCACTTGTAAGTTTTACAATCATGTGGCTAGTGGTGAGGTTACAGCACGCTGTTTTACTTACTGTCACTTGTAGGTTTTGATATCACACTGTTTTACTTACTGTCACATGTAGGTTTTACAATCACGAGTAGTGGTGTAGGTCACAGTACACTGTCACAGTGTCACTTGTAGGTTTTACAATCACGTGACTAGTGGTGTAGGTCACAGCGCACTGTTTTACTTACTGTCACTTGTAGGTTTTACAATCACGTGACTAGTGGTGTAGGTCACAGTGCACTGTTTTACAATCACGCGACTAGTGGTGTAGGTTTTGCACTTGTTTTACAATCACGTGACTAGTGGTGTAGGTCACAGCGCACTGTTTTACTTACTGTCACTTGTAGGTTTTACAATCACGTGACTAGTGGTGTAGGTCAAAGCACACTGTTTTACTTACTGTCACTTGTAGGTTTTGCAGTGGGTGTCACATGTAGGTCACAGCAATCACACTGTTTTACTATCACTGCGACTGGTGGTAGGTCACAGCACACTGTTTTACTTACATGTCACTTGTAGGTTTTACAATCACGTGTTTTAGTGGTGTAGGTTACAGTGCACTGTTTTACAATCACGTCACTAGTGGTGAGGTTACAGCGCGCTGTTTTACTTACTGTCACTTGTAGGTTTTGCTATCACACTGTTTTACTTACTGGCACTTGTAGGTTTTGCTATCACACTGTTCTACTTACTGTCACTTGTAGGTTTTGCTATCACACTGTTTTACTCACAGGATGCCATGTATAACAGTGAATGGTGTTGCCTTGTTACAGAACGTCTTCATTGCTGTTATCATTGAGACATTTGCTGAGATTCGAGTGCAGTTCCAGCAGATGTGGGGGCCAAGGGGCAGTGCAGCTGAGTCAGATTCCTCCCAGGTATAATACTTCACAGATGTTACATGGCACATGCAAAGCCATTTTGAAAAATTCTGTTTGGATAACATAACCCACTTTTATGTAAAGTACTGAGTGGATTTCTTTCATTCAGATGATGTAAATGTTTTGTTTGCCTGAACAAAGGTCTGTGTCTTGCGTCACCAAGATGGCTCCTGTTTCAGGTTATCACAACAGACGGCACAGTGTGGAAACTTGTCATTCTGGACGAGAACAAGTCTCAGGGCCTTGCACCCCCCGTTTTCCAGCAAGTCATCCGCTCCAATCTGTTCCACACCTTCATCCTACTGCTGGTACTAGCATCTGCCATCACAGAGGCCAGTCTGCACTTTGACCACAGGACCAAGAACCCAGATGATAAGCTGGATGGGTTCTACTATGCTGAGGTGATTTGTCAACATCTATCGGGTTGAGCATGACGTGTGGTATACTGAGATGATTTGTCAACATCTATAGTGTTGAGCAAGACGTGTGGTATACTGAGGTGATTTGTCAACATCTATAGTGTTGAGCATGACGTGTGGTATACTGAGGTGATTTGTCAACATGTATAGTGTTGAGCATGACGTGTGGTATACTGAGAGTGATTTGTCAACATCTATAGTGTTGAGCATGATGTGTGGTATACTGAGGTGATTTGTCAACATCTATAGTGTTGAGCATGATGTGTGGTATACTGAGGTGATTTGTCAACATCTATAGTGTTGAGCATGACGTGTGGTATACTGAGGTGATTTGTCAACATCTATAGTGTTGAGCATGATGTGTGGTATACTGAAATGATTTGTCAACATCTATAGTGTTGAGCATGACGCATGACGCGTGGTATACTGAAATGATTTGTCAACATCTATAGTGTTGAGCATGCGTGTTGAGCATGACGGTGGTGGTATACTGAAATGATTTGTCAACATCTATAGTGTTGAGCATGACGCGTTGAGTGGTATACTGAAATGATTTGTCAACATCTATAGTGTTGAGCATGACGTGTGGTATACTGAAATGATTTGTCAACATCTATAGTGTTGAGCATGACGTGTGGTATACTGAAATGATTTGTCAACATCTATAGTGTTGAGCATGACGTGTGGTATACTGAGGTGATTTGTCAACATCTATAGTGTTGAGCATGACGTGTGGTATACTGAGGTGATTTGTCAACATCTATAGTGTTGAGCATGACGTGTGGTATACTGAGGTGATTTGTCAACATCTATAGTGTTGAGCATGACGTGTGGTATACTGAGGTGATTTGTCAACATGCATAGTGTTGAGCAAGACGTGTGGTATACTGAGGTGATGTATCAACATCTTTCGGGTTGAGCATGACGTGTGGTATACTGAGGTGATTTGTCAACATCTATAGTGTTGAGCATGACGTGGTATAATGGTATACTGAGGTGATGATATCAACATCTATCGGGTTGAGCATGACGTGTGGTATACTGAGGTGATTTGTCAACATGTATAGTGTTAAGCAAGACGTGTGGTATACTGAGGTGATGTATCAACATCTTTCGGGTTGAGCATGACGTGTGGTATACTGAGGTGATTTGTCAACATGTATAGTGTTAAGCAAGACGTGTGGTATACTGAGGTGATGTATCAACATCTTTCGGGTTGAGCATGACGTGTGGTATACTGAGGTGATTTGTCAACATCTATAGTGTTGAGCATGACGTGTGGTATACTGAGGTGATTTGTCAACATCTATAGGGACACCAGTTGAGCATGACGTGTGGTATACTGAGGTGATATTGTCAACATCTATAGTGTTGAGGCACCCCACCTGTGTGGTATACTGAGATGATTTGTCAACATCTATCGGGTAAGAAGCAAGACGCGGTGGTATACTGAGGTGTTGAGGGTTGAGCATGATGTGTGGTATACTGTGGTGATATACTGAAATGATTGTCAACATGCATTTGTCAACATCTATAGTGTTGAGCATGACGTGTGGTATACTGAGATGATTTGTCAACATCTATAGTGTTGATGCATGACATCTATGTGAGCATGACGTGTGGTATACTGAGGTGATTTGTCAACATCTATAGTGTTGAGCATGACGTGTGGTATACTGAGGTGATTTGTCAACATCTATGGTGTTGAGCATGATGTGTGTGGTATATACTGAGGTGATTTGTCAACATCTATAGGTGTGAGCATGACGTGTGGTATACTGAGGTGATTTGTCAACATCTATAGTGTTGAGCATGACCTGTGGTATACTGAGGTGATTTGTCAACATCTATAGTGTTGAGCATGACCTGTGATATAATGCGGTGTATTGTCAACATCTATAGTGTTGAGCATGACCTGTGATATAATGCGGTCTGTTTTACTGTTGACAGGTTGTGTTCACTCTGCTGTTTGACCTGGAAGCATTGTTCAAGATCTGGTGTCTCGGTTTCGTGGGCTACCTCAAGCGGTCGCTGCACAAGTTCGAGCTGCTACTAGCCATCGGGACGACCATCCACATCATCCCTGACTGCTACCGCTCACAGTTCACATACTTCCAGGTGGGATGTGTTCACCGTCCGTGTCTTCTTCATCCTTTGGCTGTTGTTTACACACATGTATCTGCCTTCAGTGACAGACTCGACTGCTTGGCCCAGCGTGAATTGACATGGTCCTCAGTGTGGTAAATGAGCTGATCACGGTCTTCTGATGTGACAAGCTCCAACTGCAGCATACTACACGTTGTCTGATGTTTCCAGCATACTGTAAACGTACTTATTTTCTCGTGGTGCAATTTTCGCGAAATTGACAGTTTAGACTACATCGCGCGGTCAATTATTCGCTCAATCAGTAATTGCTGTAACTGCCAGCTGTCTCTTTGGCCGCCACTAATAGCAGTGAAAACAAACAGAGTGGCTTAACCTGTCAGGCGGCGTTTATCGCTTACTCACAAAGATCCTTATCTGTGCGATATACTAGTACAGAGCAATCCTTTACTCACGGAAGAGATGAAAAACACATCAGTCTTATGTTCCAAATTCTGACGATCTGACGAATTTACTTCTACTGTATATGAAGCTCTTTGTGATTTCAAACAAGCCGGGTTGTTGTGAATGAGATGATTGAGTGTTAAGTGACTATTCGCTTCATGATGTACTGGTAAATAAAATCTTAATGAATAAATAAAGTACTGCTGTATTATTTCTTTCCGAGTCGTTTCATGGTAATCTGTTTTGTATCAAACCATCTGTCACTACGATTGGTCGAAATAGATTTCCATGGCGGCCACAACACACATTGCTGTTTTCGCTAATTCGGCGATGGGATTTGGCTCATTATTTAATTATGTTTTGGGAAATCCATTACAGCGACAGTTAAGTATGATTCTTTATGCTACTATCAGTCGTCATTTTAAGATTCCAGTAGATTTCTGTCGTCAAACTTGATGTGTTATGGTAACAACTCAGGGGCGAGCGTGGCTAGACTGAATGAATGACAGGTTTATTCGCGGTGTATAAATTTTCGCGCTAAAATGTTTTGCGCGAAAAGCCCGAAAACAAAACCTGACGCGAAATATAATATGTTTACAGTATTTCAAAGTAGATATTGTTAGATTCAATGAAAGCATGCAAAGCAAACTGAGGGTGAATGTCTTGGCCCCGACTACTGGCTTGCCTGCCACCATGTGTCATCTGATTATCTGGATACCACTGAGGGCAATGGCAAAAGTATGTTTTACACATGATTGCCATGGAAACCAAATGTAGCATGGTGTGGAGTCATCCCACAGATGACATCCTTACCTTGTCAGCTTGCTGACGGGGTTATCCTCTTTGGTCATGTGGACAAGGCGTCCGACTTCGGATTAGAAGGTCTGTGGTTCGAATCCCAGCACGGGATTTTATGGCCGCTACACAAACATGACTTAAAAATATTCCAGCAACATTGAAAGAGGCTGGAGGTAGAATTGGACAAACGTAGATTCACTATTCCACACATTAAGAGTCAAGAGAAAATATTTCAGAATACTTTCAGGTAACCCTTGCCTGTTCAAGGCCAAACATCATTCATGGCATCAGTATTTGCTCTCATATGGTTTCCCAAAAATACTTTCTTTTTCTTATTCCTAGAATTGTATGCATCAATCTGTTAGAGGTTTGTACCAATATAAGTGCAATATACATTATTTTGAAAAGCCAGTCATGCTCATGCCTTTTATTACATTTGACTTCACTGTTTTACAGTCATTGGATTAGTGTTTGTATTGTTATAGAACTTATACTCTGAAGTATTGGGCTTTCTTGTTTCCAAATAAATTGTTCTAATGACTGAGGATGCTTGCAGGTTTTACGGGTTGTCCGACTTATCAAGGCGTCTCCGATGCTGGAAGACTTCTGCTTCAAGGTGAGTTGCTGACTCACTAGCTGGACTAGTAATGCATATGCCTCTTTAGAAAGTAGTCAAATGCAACAATATTTATATTTTGGATTACACGTCATTACTAAAGTGCAGATTCTAGTACTGTTTTCATACTCAATCCCATAAGAGCTAGGAAAGTCTAATCTCATATATAACAATTGTTCTAGTTGGAATACTACATGATGTTGACTATCCAGGGGAGAACCCACTAAGCCTTGTGTGTGCTTGTCAGATCTTTGGGCCAGGCCGGAAGCTGGGCAGCCTCATCCTGTTCACCATGTGTCTGCTGATCATTGCCTCCAGCATCTCACTCCAGCTCTTCTGCTTCATTGAGGACTTCACCAAGTTCGAGACCTTCCCACAGGTGGGTACCTCTGCTACATACTGTTCAACTCCAGGCTGTTAATTGGGGGACATGACTTACAATACTCAACGGACTGGAAAATGAACCAGTTCAAATCATTGTCGAAAATAAGTAACAAAATTATCATTGATATCAAGATTCATTACGTAAGGACCTATCAGGAATTTTCAGAAACAGTATCCTGAGGTCTGTCAAATTTTGCTGATAATTTGTAGTTTTTGACACTTATTTGTAAATGAACCATATAGATACTCGTATTGCATTGTCACTGATATAGCTAAAGTGTGTTGACAGCTTAACCCGATGCAGGATATGGGTGTCATGCCAGGCTCATGACGTCAGTGGTGGGCATCATGTTATGAAGCTTCTCTAGTTCCACACATTTATTTCTTGCACCAGTTTCAGTTCTAGTCTTTTATCAAAGCTTAAATCATGAATTCATTGTATTGTTTATTGTCATTATTAACCCTACAGTTTATGAGCCTGTGCTCTGTTTGATCTCCTAGTTCTCTTGTGTAGTTGACTGTGAAGCAGCCTCTTTATTACAGGATCCACAGCTGACAACCCACATCCTTCCACATAATAATTACAATGGTATTCTTCATTTGTCATTTTTGTTTCTTGTAAAACACCACACTCAGCAAAATTCCACCTATATGACTGCAGTCTGAAAATAATTAAGCCTGGACTCTGACTCCGGCCAGACAATCCAGTGATTGACATCATAAGCATCATTTTGCACAATTGTTATACGATGACATGCGTCAACCAATTCAGCGAGCCTAAACACCCAATCCTGTTAGTTGCCTCTTCCAGCAAGCATGGACGGATATAGACCAAATTTTTTCTTATCCTGACTCTTGATCTTTTGCTTAGCTTACCTACATCATTGAGGTCTACGCAATGCCTTTTATCTGGACAACGGCATACAAGTTCACCAAAGTGCCAGTCAACTACAGCTGAACTTCACAATCAAGTTGTTCACTCAACTAGGGTGGCTGGTGAACATGTTGAAGTCAGAATTGGTAACCAAAACAAGATCTACAGTTTCTGGGGATAAGATTTGTCATAACACAGAATCGTATTGTCGTCCCAGAGGATTGTTGGGTCAAGATACAAGCCATGATTCCACAAGCAGTCATCTCTCCATTAACACTACAAGCATGGCAATGTCTACTCGGTCTACTAACCTCGGCGCAGGACTTGACTCGCACAGGAAGGTTACAACTAAGACTGCTGCAACGGTTCCTGATAAAGCATCTAGACAGCGTCGACCCTATCTTGCTGCCAGACAACCTCAAGAGATATCTACTATGGTGGACTCACAGGTCGAACGTCTGCGAAGGGACCTATTTACAAGAGCCGGCCTTCGACACACATCTGTATGTAGACGCATCGCTACAAGGATGGGGGGCGCATCTCAACAACCAAGTTGCATCGGGGGAAATGGTCCAAGATAGAGCAGCAGCTTCACATCAATCTACTAGAGATGAAAGCAGTGATCAATGCCTTACAACTATGGTCCAGCTCGCTGGTCAACAAGATGTTGATGGTCCACACGGACAACTCCACAGTGACTTCGCCATAAACAGACAGGGATCCACGAGATCGTCAAGTCTTCTACAGCTCACATTCCAGTTGTTCGACATCACGGAGGAAGCAAGCATCTGGATAAAGGCGTGTCACATACCCGGAGCCAAGAATGAACTTGGCAGATGCTCTATCTCGACCACTGCACCCTTCACCCACAGAGTGGATGCTCCATCCAGAAGCGTTTCGGCTCATCATTAGGGACATAGGATCCCCCTGCATAGACCTGTTTGACACGAGGTTCAACAAACAACTACAGACGTTTGCATCACCAGTTACAGATCCACAAGCCTGGGCAACAGACGCACTGAACATATCATGGGAAGGACTAAACACTTACTCATTTCCACCCCCGATATTACTACCGAAAGTACTACTGAAGATCAAACAGACACAGGCTCTATGCTACAACTGACTTTAGTCACGCTCTATTGGCCAGCAAGAGTATGGTTCCTAGACCTATTAGAAGATCTCGGAAATCCAACACTAAAGTTACCAGAGTGGCCGAACCTGATCGTACATCCGCACACGGGAACCCTGCACAGTGCCAGCTACACATGTGGACCGTATCAAAACATGTTTTAAGAAGAGAGGATACTCTGCCAGGGCAGCCAAGGCAGTAACCTTAGCGTTACGCAGATCCACTCGCAATCTGTACGATGACAAGTGGCTGAAGTTTGAGACTTATGCAAAGCGGAAAGGCTTCATGGCGATGAAAGCTACTCATCCTCAAGTGGCGGAATACCTATGTCATCTGAGACATAGCAGGCATCTGAAAGGTTCGACACTATCTACGTATCTCGCTGCCATCAGTACAGTGATCACAATGAAGACAGGCATCAAGTTGACGAAAGTACCTGAGTTGCTAGCCCTGCTGAGATCTTTTAAACTGGAAGACCATCAAAAGAAATCAGAGCTCCGGCTTGGGATCTGAATGTAATTTTACGTCATCTTACAAGTGATGCCTACGAACCTCTAAAACAGACAACGTTCGAGCTGCTTACACAGAAGACTCTGTTCCTGCTAGCACTAGCCACGACAGCCCGAATATCAGAGATACATGCGCTGGATTCGGTCGAACAAGATTTGACACGGGGCAACATACAGCAATACATCTAGGACTTAGATGGGACTTTATTGCCAAGAACCAACTACCTGGTCAACCAGATAGACAGTTCCACGTACCAGCGCTATCTACAATCCTCGGCCCAGAGGTTACGGAGGACCTATCCTTGTGCCCAGTCAGAGCCCTGAAGATATATATTCAGAGAACAAAGACAAGGAGAAGAAAGTTCAAGCGCCTGTCCATCCCGTTATCTACAGAGATGTCAGCAGAAGTCTAAAGAACGACGATATCGTTCTGGATGAGAGCCGTTATACTGAGAACCTACAAAGCAGCAGGATTAGAACCTCAAAGAGCTTCCAACCCACACGAAGTCAGAGCACTGGTGTCTACACTGGCTCTGCACGAAACTGCTCCATATCTACAATCATGGAAGGATGCTTTTGGAAGTCAGACACGGTGTTTGCCAACCACTACCTCCGAGACAGCTACCGAAGATGTCTCCGGCATTCACCAATTTGGGCCTCTCATTGTAGCACAGCAACTAACGGTTCTACAAAGGCTCTGAGTTGGAAATCTCACCCTTTATCACGTTGACTTGTTGATAACTTTTACTAAGGAAAAGTATTACTTTGAAAGTCCATGCACACAGTCTAAGACAGGCTAGCATGAGTGATTAAAGACCCTGTACGGGTAAAGACCTTACCTGTACATTAAGGGGTCGCAACTCATTTATGATAAAGACCGTATCATAATCTATGGGTTGTTATGAGATATCTAGTAATAAGAAGATACTAGTTTATCTGTAGCCACATGAATCAACATGATTCAACTTGTCTGAGACTTAAGTAAGACAAGAAAGTGGTCCCCCCGAGTTATAACGGAAGTTGGAAGAATAGGATCTCGGAAATGCCGTTTCACAGTTCCCATGGGGGGGATACAGGACATATCTAAGGACAGCTGTTGTATCCACAACACCACCACCAATCCGTCCGATTTTGTAAGCAAAAGATCATGAGTCAGGATAAGAAAAAATATGTAATTTTTCAAGTACAATTGATATTTTTATAGTTATCCAGACTCATGACGAGAAGCCCTCCCAACCTCCCCGCTAGAAAACACTTCGGATTTCACAGCAAATCCAGGTGCATGGGCAGAAATACAGGAGAGAGTGACAAGTAAGGCTGGTCACATGACTGTTTGCGTCGGAAAAGGGAGGTAACTCGTGGGTGAGTGTATTTTTACATCCGCTTCGGGAACTTCAAGGGATTCAAGTGTTCCACTACACTTCGCATAGGAAAGGGAGCTAAGCAAAAGATCATGAGTCAGGATAAGTATAAAAATATCAATTTTACTTGAAAAATTACATTTCTATTCCTGATCTCTCACAGGTCACAGTTGTATCTGTGTTCCATCCAAATGTGGTCCTGTCACCACCAGGGTCTCACAATCATTTCTGATTTACATAATACCTGTAACCTCAAGATTGTAGGATCTCACAATCATTTCTGATTTACATAATACCTGTCACCTCCAGATTGTAGGATCTCACAATCATTTCTGATTTACATAATACATGTCACCACCAGGATCTCACAATCATTTCTGATTTACATAATACCTTTCACCTCCAGATTGTAGGATCTCACAATCATTTCTGATTTACATAATACCTGTCACCTCCAGATTGTAGGATCTCACAATCATTTCTGATTTACATAATACCTGTCAGCTGTAGATTGTAGGATCTCACAATCATTTCTGATTTACATAATACCTTCTTCCCCCCCCCCCCAGATTGTAGGATCTCACAATCATTTCTTGTTTACATAACACGTTTTAAGGACATCACCCACTTGATAAAGAATCCTTGAAACAATCATACCCATTTGCATAAATACGTCTTGTTCAATCTGAACATTATGAGGTCCCAAAACCTGACAAGAGGTCCACTTGAAGAATGATATCCACATTTCAGGGCTCAAACATGTTTCACAAGCACATTCAAGTTAGGTTCTCAGTGCATTGTTTACTGTGTAGAACAGACAGTTTAGCTGTACATGATGCTGACAATGTGATGCTGTGGCTTCTGTGGAGTCCATGTAGTGGGTGGCGTGGAGGTAGCTGCATGTGCCCATGCTGTGTTGGACATTTTGAACAATAAATGGAAACCCTGTATCTAAGTAGAAGTTACCCAAGCAGTTCATATTGTATGCAGGCCCGTTAGTGTGTCTCTCCCCGGCTAATACATGCTGTTTTCAATACCAGGCACTTAAGTCCATGTTCCAAATTCTCACACAAGAGGGTTGGATTGAGAATTTCGGCCGTAATGACAAGAGTTTCACACCCCATGGTGCAAGCTATGTGTGCTACACGTATTTCTTGCTATTTCATCTGTTTGTGACAGTGGTAAGTAGTCCGTCCTGCCTGACACATAAAGCCTGCTGCCTGCCTCGTGTTCATCTGTCTCAGCCTAACAGAATCTCCTTCTGCCTTGTCTAACACTGCGTCTGCTACAGTCAAAGATGGCTCTACAAAACAGTGCCCTTCTTCTGGGTGAGAGTGGCTGAAGTGTGTCAGTATTGCCTTATTGTATTGTTCAAATCTCACCATTTTTCAACATGTAATTATGAGGTCTCGGTGTACAAAATATACTATTGTTGACAATTAAATCATTCTGTGGTCATGATTCTCTCAAGGAAAAGCTGCATTAGACTTACAGACTTTCGATTCATGAAGGCTTGTGACAATCTAGTGATAACTAGGCTCTGACAGGTGTATCTAGTGATAACTCTAGGCTCTGACAGGTGTATCTAGTGATAACATTAGGCTTTGACTGGTGTATCTAGTGATAACTCTAGGCTCTGACAGTTGTATGAGTGATAACTCTAGGCTCTGACAGGTGTATCTAGTGATAACATAAGGCTTTGACAGTTGTATGAGTGATAACTCTAGGGTCTGACAGGTGTATCTAGTGCTAACTCTAGGCTCAGACAGGTGTATCTAGTGATAACTCTAGGCTCAGACAGGTGTATCTAGTGATAACTCTAGGCTCAGACAGGTGTATCTAGTGATAACTTGAGGCTTTGACAGGTGTCACATCAGGTGACTGGTACACAGTTTGTTAATCAAACTGAGATGTTGAAATGATGAAATAAACTGTGTACATACTTGGGCAGATTGTTTAGAACTGCTGCTTACAGACCAAGATGACTTCTGAATGACTGGAGAAGGAAGGGTGGAAGTAGTACATGTGTCAGGACTACTATTCCTGTCACATCGGATGGAGGACGAGCTCCACAACTCTGTGCCTTGCCCCCTTACTCCAACTTGTGTAGCCTGCTGCATCAACATCTCCTAACTGTTGATGGTTGTATAGCATCCATACATCCACTGCCGACATGTTTACTAAGTGTCCTGCATGTATTTCTAACTGATAGTCACTAATTTACATGTTTTGGCCACAAGGAACAAACAGTGACACTGGATGTTTGCTGTCCTGTAGATTGTCAGATAGCCTTATAGAATGAGTGGTGGTTTGGAAGCCTAGTGGTTAAAGCGTTCACTCATCACACCAAAGACCTGGGTTCGATTCCCCAGATGGGTACAATGTGTGAAGCCCATTTCTGGTGTTCCCCTGCCATGATATTGCTGGAATATTGCTAAAAGCAGCGTAAAACTAAACTCACTCGCACCCACTCACCTAAAAGAACGCTTGTACACTTCAATTCCTACAAATGTTTCATGACTAACATGGCCAACTATCCATTCCATTAGACAATCCCCAGTGTGTCATATTTATAACCCTAATTTATGAATCTGGCTCCAAACTTAAGTCGTTTAAGGAGGCCAGTCTGCCTCACCCTTGGAGATGCTTATCCCTCACTGACAAGCTGCATGTGCTACCATGTTACAGGTACCCTACATTGTCAGTTGACCTGTTTGTTTCTTGTGGAGGTAACAGTTGAATGAATTTCATGCATCACTTCAAGGTTCGCTACTTTAGAAAGAGGAAACATGGCAGGACTCCAGTGTGAGGTTCCAGCTTGCATCAGACTTGGTGTTTCCTCTCACTAACGTAAGCGAGCTGCTGTAGAGTTAAAGTTCCCTGCGAAGGGAAGCTAGCGTGTCCTGATGAGTTTGTGTATTGTGCTTTCTTCTCTCTCCTCACAGGCCTTCATGTCTATGTTTCAAATTCAAACGCAAAAAGGGTGGATTGACGTAATGCATATCACAATGTGGAGGACAGGGGAGAGAATCGCTCCCCTGGTTGCCATCTATTTCATATTCTACCATCTGTTCGTCACGCTGGTGAGTACTGCACACCTTGTCCACACCCGCTGCCAGGGGTGACGCTGTGCATACCCTCGTATCGTAGTCATGTGACTGTGCTGGCAGCTTTGGGGCATCCTCCATATCGTCGTGTTTATTTCCTGTTTCCAGGGAAACCCAGTCTGTTTCGTTATTGCGGTTTGGGCTTCTCCATCTATTTCTGCCTGACAATAATGCTGAATGAAATTGCTCAAATATGATATTGTTGGTGTACAGGGAGTCTATATACATTGATGTATTGGGGCTGCCAATTGTAGGTGTTTACTTGTACTCTCATTTTCAGCTGGACTGTTGTGGTCTAAAGCAACACTACATGTATCAGGTTGACTGTAGTGGTACATACCAACACTATGTGTATCAGGTAGACTGTAGTGGTACATACCAACACTACATGTATCAGGTAGACTGTAGTGGTACATACCAACACTACATGTATCAGGTTGACTGTAGTGGTACATACCAACACTACATGTATCAGGTTGACTGTAGTGGTACATACCATCACTACATGTATCAGGTTGACTGTAGTGGTACATACCAACACTACATGTATCAGGTAGACTGTAGGGGTACATACCAACACTACATGTATCAGGTTGACTGTAGTGGTACATACCATCACTACATGTATCAGGTAGACTGTAGTGGTACATACCATCACTACATGTATCAGGTAGACTGTAGGGGTACATACCAACACTACATGTATCAGGTAGACTGTAGTGGTACATACCAACACTACATATCAGGTTGACTGTAGTGGTACATACCAACACTACATGTATCAGGTTGACTGTAGTGGTACATACCAACACTACATGTATCAGGTTGACTGTAAGTGGTACATACCAACACTACATGTATCAGGTTGACTGTAGTGGTACATACCAACACTACATGTATCTGGTTGACTGAAGTGGTACATACCAACACCAGATGTATCAGGTAGACTGTAGTGGTACATACCAACACTACATGTATCTGGTTGACTGTAGTGGTACATACCAACACTACATGTATCAGGTAGACTGTAGTGGTACATACCAACACTACATGTATCAGGTTGACTGTAGTGGTACATACCAACACTACATGTATCAGGTTGACTGAAGTGGTACATACCAACACTACATGTATCAGGTAGACTGTAGTGGTACATACCAACACTACATGTATCAGGTTGACTGTAGTGGTACATACTATCACTACATGTATCAGGTAGACTGTAGTGGTACATACCAACACTACATGTATCAGGTTGACTGTAGTGGTACATACCAACACTACATGTATCAGGTAGACTGAAGTGGTACACATACCAACACTACATGTATTAGGTAGACTGTAGTGGTACATACCAACACTACATGTATCAGGTTGACTGTAGTGGTACATACCATCACTACATGTATCAGGTAGACTGTAGTGGTACATACCAACACTACATGTATCTGGTTGACTGTAGTGGTACATACCAACACTACATGTATCAGGTAGACTGTAGTGGTACATACCAACACTACATGTATCAGGTTGACTGTAGTGGTACATACCAACACTACATGTATCAGGTAGACTGTAGTGGTACATACCAACACTACATGTATCAGGTTGACTGTAGTGGTACATACCAACACTACATGTATCAGGTAGACTGTAGTGGTACTGTAGTGGTACATACCAACACTACATGTATCAGGTAGACTGTAGTGGTACATACCAACACATACCAACACTACATGTATCAGGTAGACTGTAGTGGTACAACACTACATGTATCAGGTAGACTGAAGGGGTACATACCATCACTACATGTATGTGGTTGACTGAAGGGGTGCATACCAACGCTACATTTTGATGACTTCTACTATTACATAGTTTTAGTGTATGTTAACTAAAGAGCTCGTTTTGCTTCTGGGAGTTGTTGTATGCATGAGAGGTTGTCACTTGCAGGCAGTGCGAAAAAAATAATTAACGAAACTGGAAGACATACTATCTACTCAATGTTTCTTGATTGGAAGTTGTTCCAAGTTCATATTTGAGCATAAAATAATCTGGGGTCATAAATGAATGCTAATAATGACATTTTCAGACAAATATCATTTTTTTAGAGTAGGTTATGTGTTGGTTACATATTATCTACCTGCAGGACAATGGCACTGATGGACTCTGGTAGCATATTCTGTTTGTGGCTTATTGTGCCGAGGATATGCTGCAAATGTGGTCTACAAACTGAATATGCTATCTCACTAACACAGCAGACTTGTGGGGCCAGCTGACAGTAGATAATATCACTCACTCACAAAAGAACGGCCTACAGTCCAGTCTTACTTGTAGCCAGGCATTTTACAACATATATGTTTATATACACAGACAACTTAGTTTAGCACCCCCTGACATATCTCACAATTGACTGAGCCCCGATTTTAACCCTTTGGAGCATATCTGGGATATGATTGGTCGCCGTATGCAACAAAGGGATCCTCCCGTACAGAACTTGGCCCAAATGGAAGTGTATTTTTTAAAATTATCATCATAAAATCAACATGGATTCCAATCATTTTGTCAGGGGTTTTTTATGAGTCAAAGGATCATACGGGTAAGAAAAACTCTATTTTTCCATCGTGGTCAGCACATAGTTACATTGCAAAAATACAGGGTGTGCTTAATTAAGTTGTTTGTGTATAATACAAAGGCTCGGTGAACGTTCCCTCATCACCTGACCCATGTGCAGTAAAGTTAATAACTGATTAAAGCAATTCAAACTTTAGGCTAAATTTGCACAAAATATATTTGCTTGAAGTATAAAGAGTAATCTTCGGACAGACCAATAGTTATATCATGTAATCGAAACAAAATCCAGGTCAAATAAGGTTTCTGTGCTGGAGTGATTGTCTTGGTTAATTCCCTGGGTACCAGGACTGGGAGGCCGACTGTAGGCCAATATATGGGGCTAGTACACATTACTTTAACATGTGTGGTAGATAGTCTAATATCTGTCAACATACTGCATCTACTTGTTTGTGCACCTGTTGGTGTGATGAAACACACAGTGATCTGTTACAACATACTACAGCTGGTGGTATTACAGAGCGCCTGTGGTGGAGCTACAGAGGGCCTGTGGTGGAGCTACAGAGTGCCTGTGGTGGTGCTACAGGGTGCCTGTGGTGGTGCTCCAGGGTGCCTGTGGTGGTGCTCCAGGGTGCCTGTGGTGGTGCTACAGAGTGCCTGTGGTGGTGCTACAGAGTGCCTGTGGTGGTGCTCCAGGGTACCTGTGGTGGTGCTCCAGGGTGCCTGTGGTGGTGCTACAGAGTGCCTGTGGTGGTGCTACAGGGTGCCTGTGGTGGTGCTCCAGGGTGCCTGTGGTGGTGCTACAGAGTGCCTGTGGTGGTGCTCCAGGGTGCCTGTGGTATTGCTACAGGATACCTGTGGTGGTGCTACAGGGTACCTGTGGTGGTGCTACAGGGTGCCTGTGGTGGTGCTACTGTGGTCTCATCTTGTGTAGTGTAGTCTATGTGTGGGTGTTCTGGCTGCCACCCAGATATTTGTCTGACACCGCTCAGCATCCCTGTGTTCAGGCAAACTCTCACGAGGCTTCATGCAGAACGTACTGATGTGCTACGATACCCTTAGAGATTGTTTTGAAATGGAAAATATAAAAATTAAAGAACTGGTTTGACTTAAAGTATTAGAGCTCTGTTTTGGGGCAAAGCTTAAATGATACAGCTGGAAATGTTCACCCTATATTTGTGCGTACTGCGATGTGGAGCTGAGGTATGCCTGAACATAGGGGCGTGGCCCAATACTGCCATAGTTACCATGACAACAGAGACAGGTGGAGAAGCCCAACTGTGAGGCGTGCAGGGTGGGGATCCATGTATTCTAGATGTCTGTACACATATCTTTGTATTCTTTTCAGTTCTGTTTGTTTTCAGCAGCTACTCTGCCACCTAGCATCACTCTGTACCTTAGTGTCACCGCAGTCTGTATGGTAAACAGTAAATATTAGCAACCACAAGGTAACCTTAAGGCGTGCAAATGTCCTACATCATATGTTAAATACTAATCACAAACAAATTAACCATTGGCATTTAAGGATGATAAATTTTCCCTACATACATAGGGATGTTTCTTAAGTTTCAGTTAAAGCAACTTTCACCCTCCTGAGACATTTTGTTTTGAGTTTGGATTTGAGATATAGACACTTTCTGTCTTGATTGTCTAACCCTTTGAAAATCTGTCAGTTAACTGTGTGGAAATCCAGTGTAAACATGCTGAAATTACATGACTGTAAGCTAACACTTCTAGCAGAATAGCTCAGCTCTTCTGCTGGTACTGACGTATTGTTTCAATATTCAGTTGATTTCAGTGTCTTTTTTTCCTTCATGTAATAGATGTCCTACATGCATTATAGTACAATGGTAATGTTCTGCTTTTGTGTGATGACTATATTTTGCACATGAGTTATTTGTGGTAGATATGAGTAGGCTGTATGGATTATTTCAAAAGTATTTCTCCTCTATAACTGTTTCTCCTCTATATGTCATTTTATGTAATTAATTTGTTATAACTTGCTCTTCCAATGATATCTAATCTTGTTTTCAATGTAATTTGGTAAATTTGTAATGATATGTATAAGATGATATTTCTATAGAACCAGATTGACAGCCATTACAGTTTTTCCTCTCTGTATGAAAATGTGTAAAGTAATGCAGGACTGCCTGCTGAAGGAAATGATGTTTGTGCCATCAATGCTGTTGCTGTATTATGTTACTGCTGTACACAGATTGTCATCAGCTTGTTTGTGGCTGTTATCCTTGACAACTTGGAGTTGGATGAAGATATCAAGAAGCTGAAACAGGTCAGGACTTGGTCGTTGTGAGATACTGGCTAAATACTCAGGGTGATTGCCAGACAATATTCTAGTGACCTTATGTGTCTCATCAGATGTTTGTCTCAGGACATATGCAGGAAAGGCTAGCTTTCCTTCAATTATTAGGGCTCCTTGCCTCTAGGCAGGAGACCTATTGTAATCGTTCGGATTACTATTATTATTATTATTATTTATTATTCCACCGATTTTTGTACCAAAGATAACTCCTAAACCAATGCTCAATCCCTCACCAAAATCACACAGATGCGCACTAAGGTGTAGATATTCCCCTTAAATACCTCTAGGCTCTAGGCCCAATAGCAAAGGGGATAATTCAAAATTAATTCCAAAATTTCAACGTTTGAGAGCAAATATCTCAAGAACTAATTGTTCCAACACTTCCAAATTTCTTGTACAGATGCACAATCGAATTACCAACAAGTTTTCTGGACGGGTCAAATCGCTAAAGCGTACTGTTTGGCAGTTATTTTTGTTTTCAGTTTTTGGCGATGTTTTTCGGCAGTTTTCTGAATAGTTTGCTCCCAAAATGTGCAAATTCTGCACACAGAGTGCAAGTATGGTAGCTGATGTCTTGGTGATTCCAGAACACTAATTGTGTTGACCGTAGACCCAAGAACAACTGAGATACAGGTTTTTAAAAAGGGAACTATTTCTTCTCCGGAACTTCTTAAAAGGTACAAGACCCCCGCACCCCCGCCAGTATTTTCTGAAGATCCGCTCGCCTGTCAGAAAACGTGTTCTGGCTCCGTTTTGGACGTTTGATTTCCAGCCCTCAGATGCAATAGATAGAACTAGAGCCAAGGAGACCTCATCGTTGCCTGCAACTATATTTAATACATGAATTTGACAGGTCATTTTGAATTAATTATGAGTATTGTCATTAGCATAGTGACAAAGTGATATTTTTCATTAATTTTCACTTACCTTTTTGTGCTTTTCACATAAGTAAGTTGAAACATTGCCCTACAGGTTTTGCTCTCTTTTACTAAAGAATGGAGGTGTTTTATCCTTTTGGTGGCCTGTGTTTCTTTGTTGTTTTTGGTCTAAACATATTTTTATTTGCGCCAAAGCTGAATAGTCCTAGTGGCATATATAATGGCCTTTTATTTCAAGACCAGGGAGATGAGATTGTTTATCATACAGGTGCCATGTGGTTTTGTGTTGACAGTTAAAGGCCAGGGAGACAAGATCGTTTATCCTACAGGTGCCATGTGACAGTTGAAGGCTAGGGAGATGATATTGTTTATCTTACAGGTGCCATGTGGTTTTGTGTTGACAGTTGAAGGCTAGGGAGATGAGATTGTTTATCATACAGGTGCCATGTGGTTTTGTGTTGACAGTTGAAGGCCAGGGAGATGAGATTGTTTATCTTACAGGTGCCATGTGGTTTTGTGTTGACAGTTGAAGGCTAGGGAGATGAGATTGTTTATCTTACAGGTGCCATGTGGTTTTGTGTTGACAGTTGAAGGCTAGGGAGATGAGATTGTTTATCTTACAGGTGCCATGTGGTTTTGTGTTGACAGTTGAAGGCTAGGAGATGAGATTGTTTATCTTAAAGGTGCTATGTGGTTTTGGGTTGACAGTTGAAGGCTAGGAGATGAGATTGTTTATCTTACAGGTGCCATGTGGTTTTGTGTTGACAGTTGAAGGCTAGGGAGATGAGATTGTTTATCTTACAGGTGCCATGTGGTTTTGTGTTGACAGTTGAAGGCCAGGGAGATGAGATTGTTTATCATACAGGTGTCATGTGGTTTTGTGTTGACAGTTGAAGGCTAGGGAGATGAGATTGTTTATCTTACAGGTGCCATGTGGTTTTGTGTTGACAGTTGAAGACTAGGGAGATGAGATTGTTTATTTTACAGGTGCCATGTGGTTTTGTGTTGACAGTTGAAGGCTAGGGAGATGAGATTGTTTATCTTACAGGTGCCATGTGGTTTTGTGTTGACAGTTGAAGGCTAGGGAGATAAGATTGTTTATCTTACAGGTGCCATGTGGTTTTGTGTTGACAGTTGAAGGCCAGGGAGACAAGATTGTTTATCTTACAGGTGCCATGTGGTTTTGTGTTGACAGTTGAAGGCTAGGAGATAAGATTGTTTATCTTACAGGTGCCATGTGGTTTTGTGTTGACAGTTGAAGGCCAGGGAGACAAGATTGTTTATCTTACAGGTGCCATGTGGTTTTGTGTTGACAGTTGAAGGCTAGGGAGATGAGATTGTTTATCATACAGGTGCCATGTGGTTTTGTGTTGACAGTTGAAGGCTAGGGAGATGAGATTGTTTATCCTACAGGTGCCATGTGGTTTTGTGTTGACAGTTGAAGGCCAGGGAGACAAGATTGTTTATCCTACAGGTGCTATGTGGTTTTGTGTTGACAGTTGAAGGCTAGGGAGATGAGTGCTGAGACCCAGGAGTTCCTTCCTCTGAGATTGCGCGTGTTTGCTAAATTCCCGTAAGTTATGTTTAACACTTTATTGTGCTGAAAGTCTTAGCAGTGTGTGAATACATGAAAGATATTATGTAATCCCATTTGCCAGTAAACTCGTGAAGATCCGGGTTAAAATTGATGTTCAGTAACCCATGCTTGTTGTAATCAGGTGCTCAGGATCGCTGACTTAGCTGGCACATGTCATCGTATCCCAATTGTGTAGATCGATGCTCATGCTGTTGATCACTTGATTGTCCGGTCCAGACTCAATTATTTTCAGACCGTCGCCATATAGCTGGAATATTGCTGAGTGTACAGACCTACAAATCAAACAACCTGACATTTGGATTGAGCATTGAGGCTGACAGTCATTGTAGATTTCCATGAAACATACTTATATTCTTTATTGTTTACAGCGTTCCTTGGGATAGTTTTTAGTAAGAACAGCATGCTCAGATGCTTATGTTGTGACCATGCATCAGTTCAAGTCATATATAAGTAGATGTGATCGCCACTGTGGCATGACAGCTACTGGTACGAAATCGTGTAGCTGATCATATTATGTGTCATGTATCTGGATACACTCTGTTGAAACTGTTGGCTAGTCATCAGTCTCTAGTTGCAGAAACTATATTGGGATAGCACAGCACAGTGAAATTAGCTGTGTGTTTATGATAAGAGAAGTCAACAAAGCCAACTTAACTTTCCTTGTGATATACATTTTGCATTTTATATGTTTGTTGACTATGGAAGAGGAATACAAGCTATAGTAGCACCAGCTGCTACTTTGGTGATTCACTGAGGTGTCAACACATCAATTTATCCTTCTTTCCTGATCAGATTGCGAATTACAGGAACATTAATCAATAGTTCATCACATTACAAGGTTTGAATTTCTGATTTAATGGGAAAGGATTCTTTTCAGAGACCATCCGCAGATGGTGAGAGTACACAAAATGTCCAATGACTTTGACATCGCGGATGTGCGTGAGAGCTTCATGCGCCAGTTCCAGACAAATCAGAACAGCTTGAACCTGGTGGTGGACACCCAGGACCACGACCACCAGGTGTCCTCATGCCTCAAGGCAGCTCACCTCCACCTCATCAAGTCTCCAACACACGAGACACGCAGTGGAGGGGTGGTCGAAAAGAAGAGTGGCATCTTTACCATTGTCAGGTGAGACCTGTCATAGTGTGACCACCTTTACCATTGTCAGGTGATTCCTGTCATGGTTCCTGTCAATAACCTATCATAGCCTCTTTACCATTGTCAGTTGAGGCCTGTCATAGGATTACTGCCTTTACCATTGTCAGGTGAGATTCCTGTCATAGTATGACTGCCTTTACCATTGTCAGGTGAGACCTGTCATTGGTGACAACTGCCCATACCATCTTACCATTGTCAGGTGGTTCCTGTCATAGTATGACCACCTTTACCATTGTCAGGTGAGACCTGTCATAGTATTACTGCCTTTACCATTGTCAGGTGATTCCTGTCATAGTATAACTGCCTTTACCATTGTAGTATGAGACCTGCCTTTACCATTGTCAGTGATTCCTGTCATACTGCCTTTACCATTGTCAGGTGAGTCCTGTCATAGTATAACTGCCTTTACCATTGTCAGGTGAGACCTGTCATAGTATAACTGCCTTTACCATTGTCAGGTGAGTCCTGTCATAGGATAACTGCCTTTACCATTGTCAGGTGAGTCCTGTCATAGTATAACTGCCTTTACCATTGTCAGGAGAGACCTGTCATAGTATAACTGCCTTTACCATTGTCAGGTGAGGCCTGTGATAATGTTATCATTGACTGTGAGTAAAGTGTGTGATCATCAGGGTGAAGAGGGGTTCTACTGCATAAAGTATGTGTTTGTTTTGTCACCAGACATTTCATTTAAGGTAAAGAGGGGTTCAACTGTGAAAAGAGTGTGTTTGTTGTGTCACCAGGGATTCCAGTCAGCACAAGGTGGAGAGCGGAGGGTCTGCTCAGCTGATAGCAGCCGGAAGCAAGGCCCTGTCCTTACTGGGGCAACAGCATCAGATTCGCATGGACCAGCGCAGGTAATGGGCCCCTCAGTAAGGCTTTGTAAAGACATTGATCACATGATCAGTGTTTGTGACTTGCATGATTGTCTACATCATTGTTTCTTGTTGGCCTGAATTGTTATACTCATGACCTGATTCCAAGGTATTCCGTCCATCCGAAGACTCTTTGGTTAACCAATAACTTAAAAAACTATTGATTGGATTGTTTTCAAATTTGGGGGCCACCTTCCTTGTTTAAAGAAGAGGTGCAGTACAAATTGTGATGTTGTTTCTTTTAAGAATTACAGCTATTTGAAAATTTGAATTTTGAAAACTATTGGTTTGATTGTTTTCAAATTTGGGGACATCATTCCTTGTAATTTTGTAAAGAATAACCATTATCAATTGTTGTTCAGCATTGTCTGACAGCTTGCCTATGTTTCGTGCCTGGCCAGGATTTATTATTTTCAGACAGTTGTGACAGGTTGAACATTGCATGATTAAACAACATGCAACATTGCTCACCATCTCACTGACTCATCTAATACACATCATCCTGATTTTCAATTTCAAGGAGTATGCGTGGATCCCGCCCAAGTAGCATGCGTATTCGGCCGCACGGCACACTGCGGGAAAATGGTGACATAAACATGATGCATGCTGGGAGTCTCGCTGGTCGCCGCACAGATGACTTTGACATAAAGGTGTGGCAGCAGAAGAAACAACAGGCAGAGATCAAGAGGTGAGAGGCTTGTACAGTAGGAAGAATATATATGGTATATGTGTGATGGTAGTGGTGTACAAGCCTGTGTAATGGTAGTGGTGTACAAGCCTGTGTAATGGTAGTGGTGTACAAGCCTGTGTGATGGTAGTGGTATACAAGCCTGTGTAATGTTAGTGGTATACAAGCCTGTGTAGTGGTAGTGATTTCCAAGCCTGTGTAATGGTAGTGATGTACAAGCCTGTGTAATGGTAGTGGTGTACAAGCCTGTGTAATGGTAGTGGTATACAAGTCTGTGTGATGGTAATGGTGTACAAGCCTGTATGCCTGTGGTGTACCAAGCCTGGTAGTGGTAGTACAAGCCTGTGTGATGGTAGTGGTATACAAGCCTGTGTGATGGTAGTGGTATACAAGCCTGTGTAATGGTAGTGGTATACAAGCCTGTGTAATGGTAGTGATATACAAGCCTGTGTAATGGTAGTGGTTTACAAGCCTGTGTAATGGTAGTGGTGTACAAGCCTGTGTAATGGTAGTGGTGTACAAGCCTGTGTAATGGTAGTGGTATACAAGCCTGTGTGATGGTAGTGGTATACAAGCCTGTATGTGGTAGTGGTGTACAAGCCTGTGTGATGGTAGTGGTATACAAGCCTGTGTAATGGTAGTGGTATACAAGCCTGTGTAATGGTAGTGGTATACAAGCCTGTGTAATGGTAGTGGCATACAAGCCTGTATGCGTAGTGGTGTACAAGGTGTATGCGTACGTATGGTAGTGGTGTACAAGCCTGTGTATAGTGGTGGTAAAATACGTATCTTGGTAGTGGTGTGGTACACAAGCCTGTGTGATGGTAGTGGTGTACAAGCCTGTATGCGGTAGTGGTGTACAAGCCGTGTATCAAGCGGTAGTGGTAGTGTACAAGCCTGTATGCGAGTGGTGTACAAGCCTGTATGGTAGTGGTGTACAAGCCCGTATGCTGTATGTGGTAGTGCCTGTATGCGTAGTGGTGTACAAGCCTGTATCGCGTGGTGGTGTACAAGCCTGTATGCGGTAGTGGTACAAGTGTACAAGCCTGTATAGTGGTGTACAAGTAGTGGGTGTACAAGCCTGTATGCAAGCCTGTGGTGGTGTACAAGCCTGTATGCGGTATCGTAGTGTGTACAAGCCTGTATCTTGGTAGTGGTGTACAAGCCTGTATGCGTAGTGGTGGTGTACAAGCCTGTATGCGGTGTAGTGGTGTACAAGCCTGTATCATGATGTAGTGTGGTAGTGAAAGCCAAGCCTGTATGGTAGTGGTGGCCTGTACAAGCCTGTATGCGCCTGTATTGTGTAAGCCTGTATGCGGTATTGGTGTACAAGCCTGTATGCCTGTAGTGGTGGTGTACAAGCCTGTATGCGGTAGTGGTGTACAAGCCTGTATGCGGTATTGGTGTACAAGCCTGTATGCGGTAGTGGTATACAAGCCTGTGTGTTCTGCTGACAGGAACCAGCAGGAGGAGGAGCTGCGTGAGAACCACCCTTACTTCGACACACCACTGTTCTTTGTGGGCCGGGAGAGCAAGTTGAGGAAAATCTGTCAACTGATCGTCAATGCCAAGTACAAATACATGTCAAGTGGACCCCATCACTGGCAAAGAAATCAAGAGCAAGTACAAGCGCTTCCAGTGAGTTCAGTATTATACAATCTCTGTTTGTTTCCTTGTTGCCTCAAGGCTGACAGTCGTCAGGTGGGTGTTTTACAGTGTTGCCCATGCCTGTGTATCTGTGTGTTGCAGCAAGCTGCTGGGTCTAGTCACCTACTTGGACTGGATAATGATCATCGTCACCATCCTCTCCTGCACCTCCATGATGCTGGAGACTCCACACAGGCGCATCATGAATGATGACAAACTCAAGGTAATATTTCAATCCGCAATACAGCATAGAAAAGTTTTGTTTCATACAGATTTAATAAAATAATGCACATCTTCATGTAATGACCAGATTTGTATGCATATATAGAGAATACTACACGAGGTCTCATTACATACGATTTATACGAAACGAGTGTCCTTCCTATGGTATCTGACCGAGCGAAAGCGAGGTCAGATAACATAGGAAGGTCACGAGTTTCGTATAATTCGTATGTAATAAGAACGAGTGTGGTATTTTATTTATTACCCACGTCTTACATGCATTAAATTGACAAAATAGCGTATTTTTGTTATGTTTTTGGTTTCAAACCGAAACCGGTTTCATAAAGAGGTTGCGGAAGAGTTTTGTACTGTAGTACAATATTTGCATGACGTCACACTGTAATGACGCCACTGCCATGGTAACCGATGCCACGATGCATGTCAGTTGTCATCGCCTCGCACAGCCTCCTACAGTAAACTACTCCGTAGAAAGCACCTCGCTTTCTTGGTTTCCAGTTGTTGCTTCATTCGGCTAACATCACTGGTGGAAACATTGGCGCTTATGTTTTCGACGGGTATAATGTCTCAGTTCGACTCACAATTAAACAGCGACACGGCAACGTTCGCAATGTTTACATTCCCACAATGCATATAAGTTGTAGAATGAATTAATTCACGTGTTTGTTATGAATGAAAACATAGTTACGTCAGAATGTGACCTAATTGAGAGGTCATCGGTTATCCAATCAAATCGTTAGAATCTCAGGTCAAGTCGTTACGACACAGGTCAACGCGATACGACACTCGTGCTGACGTACGAGATTAGTATGCAACTACCCATACGTTGACCATGTGGGTAATAAATATCACTATTATAGCCTGTGTGGTGGTATGGCTCAGATGTGATATTGTTTTATTTAGCTATCATTGTGGTCAGGGTCATAAGGTGAACGTCATCCTGCTGGGGTTTGTACGGTGCTTATATTGGTCACAAGGAATGTTCTTGCAGGTGATTGACTGAGATTGGGAGTCATGATCATTTGACGGGAAGAATTTAAATTTCTGTGAGGCAATGGACAGGGGTTTAATTGTTTTTATCCCCTGCCGCGCGTTTATATATTAGCCCGAAGCGGGGGATAGTATTAGGCTCCATCCGTCCGTCCGTACGAATTGGAATATCTTAAGAACCGTTGACTAGATTCTTTTCATATTTGGTACCTAGCTTCCTCACATTATAAGAAAGGCCCAAGTCAGGTTTGGTGACCTTGACCTTCATTTCAAGGTCACAAGGGGACTTTAACGTTTTACCTGCATGTTAAGCTATCTCAAGAACTGTTAAAGGGATTTTCTTCATATTCAATACTAAGCTTTATCTAGGGATGGCGCAGGGCCCAGTCGATTTTTGTGACCTTCACATAATTTTCAAGGTCATGGCGACACTTTGAAGATTTCAGCATGTAAACCTGCATGTTAAGCTATGTCAAGAACCCTTAACTGGATTTTCTTCATATTTGACACCAAGCTTTATCTAGGGAAGGCACAGGGCCTAGTCAATTTTGGTGACCTTCATTTAATTTTCAAGGTCACAGAGACCTTTGAAGATTTCAGCATATTAACCTGCATGTTATGCTTGTCAGCAAGATACCTCAAGAACCATTCACTGGAGTTTCTTCATATTTAACACCAAGCTTCATCCAGGGAAGGTGCAGGGCCAAGTCGATTTTGGTGACCTTCACTTTATTTTCAAGGTCACAGAGACACTTTGAAGATTTCACCATGTTAAATTGCATGTTAAGATAGTCAGCAAGATATCACAAAAAATATTCACTGGATTTTCTTCATATTTGACACCATGCTTCATCTAGGGAAGGCCCAGGGCTCAGTCAATTTGGGGGACCTTCACATACTTTTCAGGGTCACGACGAGACTTTGAAGATTTCAGCATGTTATCCTGAATTGTCAGCAAGATATTTCAAGAACGGTTCACTTTATTTTCTTCATAGACTTTCAAGACTTACCTTGAATGTTTTCAATAAGCAATTTCTTTAGTATTATTTTTGCATATTTCATACACTATGACATTCATGTCAAGGTCAAAGTCAGTCTTGAAAATATGTGTGTGTTTGAACAATTAAAGAGCAAGATATCAAGAGAGGTTGACTGGTCATGTTTTTGTTGACATTTACCTTCATCTTAAATTTTCATTACTTTATAAGTTTGATTTGATAATTTGCGGTGGGGGATTATGTCACCTTAGTGACAATGCCTGTTATATATACCATGTGATTTGTCAAACCAGAAGTTTGTTTCTGTCTTACTAATCCTGCTGGATCAAGACTTTCTGATTAAACTTCAACTGCACTGAGCACCTGTTGACCCCCAAAAATATAAGTGACGTAATGGCACTTCCTTCAAAATGAAGTACACATAAAACTTTGCTTTATATTTTGTGAGGAATGGGACCTTCAATCCATAAGACTTACGGTATTGTGTTCAAAGTGATTTCATCAGACCAGACAATTCTCCGATTCTGTTAAGTGAGCTCAGACGATGAGACATTGAATGTTTGTGCTAAATAGGCATGTGTGTTGCCAAACTGATGTGGACTGAACCAATGTGATTGTCCTTGCTCCAGATTGCGGAGTATGCCTTTGTTGTGTGCATGAGTCTGGAGATGAGCCTCAAGCTGATGGCCAATGGCCTGCTGTTTACACCCAAGGCTGTCGTGAGGGATTTCAGTGGCATCCTGGATCTCTTTGTGTACGGGGTAAGTGACAGATGCACCTGTACATGTTTCTTCTGTGGCAGTGCCTCATGGTTCCGTGTGATTGTTGAGTACCACCTGAAAGGGAGAATATAGCTGCCATAAGCAACAGTGATGTAGTTCAGATTAAAAAAGTCTGAAACACTGCACTTGATAACATAGAAACATACATTAATCATCTTTATTCCTGTCATGCATTGTTTACTAGTATTATTTTACAAAGGACTGATATCTTGTTTTGCAATATATTTATAAATTGCATAAGCAAACTGGCATCTCATACTGGCAGCTGTTAATTTCAAAACCTGGTGTTGCTGTCGTATTGCTTGCCCGCCTTGATCCTATGTAGAGTTGTGGTTAACACCAACCTGTATGTATTTGTTGTAGATCAGTGTTGTGTTCCTGTGCTGGATGCCCAATGAAGTGCCGCCAATGTCGGGTGCCCAGGTGTTCATGATCCTGAGATGTCTGCGGCCTTTACGTATCTACAGCTTGGTGCCTCACATGCGGAAGGTTGTCTTTGAGCTGGTGCGAGGATTCAGGGAAATATTGTTGGTAAGTTGCATCCGTATACTGGAGAGGGAGCTCCTGGTCATTTATAGAGCATGTAGACCTACTATTTCACCAAATCTGATCTAATTCTACATAACAGTTAGAACATGTCACCAAATCTGATCTTACGTAACATTTAGAACATGTAGCCCTACTATTTCACCAAATCTGATCTTACGTAACATTTAGAACATGTCCCTTCGTTCTTTATTCCGTAGACTGGAAAGAGGTGGTAGTAGCTACATTTCCCATGTATCAACTGACCGTGTGACTGTTTATTTGCCAGGTATCCGTGCTGCTCATCGTCCTCATGTTTGTGTTTGCCACATATGGCGTTCATCTACTTGGAGGCCGACTGGCTCGCTGTAATGACCCAAATATCGGATCCAGGGTAAGGACTATTCTCACTCGTAGAAAATAGGTCTAAAGTTTGTAAGAGGTGAAATGGGGAGACATGTCCAAAACAGTGTCCTTGACGGGAAGTTTTTGTGTTGCAGGAAAACTGCACTGGGCTGTTCTTCAGCAAGGTGTACATCACGAAAATGAAGATTGATCGCAAGGACAATGAGGGTCCTGGATTTCTGGTACCCAGAGTCTGGTCAGTGGAAACAGTTCACACATGTCTATATTCACCAATAATCTGACCAATGGCAACAGTTCACACATGTCTATATTCACCAATAATATGACAATGCCATCAGTTCACACATGTCTATATTCACCAATAATATGACCAATGCCATCAGTTCACACATGTCTATATTCACCAATAATCTGACCAATGGAAACAGTTCACACATGTCTCTATGTTCACCAATAATCTGACCAATGGAAACAGTTCACACATGTCTATAATCACCAATAATCTGACCAATGGCAACAGTTCACACATGTCTATATTCACCAATAATCTGACCAATGGAAACAGTTCACACGGTCTATGTTCACCAATAATCGACTAATGGAAATAGTTCATATATGTCTATATTCACCAATCATCTGACCAATGGCAACAGTTCACACATGTCTATATTCACCAATAATCTGACCAATGCCAACACTTCACACATGTCTACAATGCTTCACACATGTCTATATTCACCAATAATCTGACCAATGGAAACAGTTCACATATGTCTATATTCACCATTAATCTGACCAATGAAAACAGTTCACACATGTCTATATTCACCAATAATCTGACCAATGGAAACAGTTCACACATGTCTATATTCACCAATAATCTGACTAATGGCAAGAGTTCACATATGTCTATATTCACCAATAATCTGACAATGCCAACAGTTCATACATGTCTACATTCACCAATAATCTGACCGATGGCAACACTTCACACATATCTATATTCACCAATAATCTGACCAATGGCAAGAGTTCACATATGTCTATATTCACCAATAATCTGACCAATGGCAAGAGTTCTTATATGTCTTTTCACCAATCATCTGACCAATGGAAACAATTCACACGTGTCTATGTTCACCAATAATCTAACCAGTGGAAACAGTTCACATGTCTATATTCACCAATAATCTGACCAATGGAAACAGTTCACACATGTCTATATTCACCAATAATCTGACCAATGGAAACAGTTCACATAAGTCTATATTCACCAATAATCTGACCAATGCCAACAGTTCACACATGTCTATATTCACCAATAATCTGACCCGATGGAAACAGTTCACATATGTCTATATTCACCAATAATCTGACCAATGGCAAGAGTTCACATATGTCTATATTCACCAATAATCTGACCAATGGAAACAGTTCACACATGTCTATATTCACCAATAATCTGACCAATGGAAACAGTTCACATATGTCTATATTCACCAATAATCTGACCAATGGAAACAGTTCACATGTCGTGTCTATATTCACCAATAATCTGATCAATGGAAACAGTTCACATATGTCTATATTCACCAATAATCTGACCAATGGAAACAGTTCACACGTATGTCTATATTCACCAATAATCGGACTAATGAAAACAGTTCACATATGTCTATATTCACCAATAATCTGACTAATGGCAAGAGTTCACATATGTCTATATTCACCAATCATCTGACCAATGAAAACAGTTCACACATGTCTATATTCACCAATAATCTGACCAATGGAAACAGTTCACACGTGTCTAAATTCACCAATCATCTGACCAATGGCTAGAGTTCACATATGTCTATATTCACCAATAATCTGACAATGCCAACAGTTCACACATGTCTATATTCACCAATAATCTGACCAATGGAAACAGTTCACATATGTCTATATTCACCATTAATCTGACCAATGAAAACAGTTCACACATGTCTATATTCACCAATAATCTGACCAATGGCAAGAGTTCACATATGTCTATATTCACCAATAATCTGACCAATGGCAACAGTTCACATCTGTCTATATTCACCAATAATCTGACCAATGGAAACAGTTCACACGTGTCTATGTTCACCAATAATCTGACCAATGAAAACAGTTCACATAAGTCTATATTCACCAATAATCTGACCAATGGAAACAGTTCACACGTGTCTATATTCACCAATAATCTGACCAATGGAAACAGTTCACATAAGTCTATATTCACCAATAATCTGACCAATGAAAACAGTTCACATATGTCTATATTCACCAATAATCTGACCAATGGAAATAGTTCACACATGTCTATATTCACCAATAATCTGACCAATGGCAACACTTCACACATGTCTATATTCAACAATAATCTGACCAATTGTACGCTTCTGTTTGAGTTATCTTGTTTGCCAGATACAGTGGAAGTGAGAACTGTTACAGTTGACATCAATAGAAGGATGTACTTTCATCAAGTTCATTGTCTTGACAAACCTTGGGAAGAATCTTGCAGTGATCATAATCAGCGTGTAGAAAAAGCCTGAAAATTAGACATTTTACCCTAAAATGGCTCTAAATTTGTTATGGCCATGAAAACGCCCTAATTGCAAGTGATTTGCCCTGAAAATGTTTTATGTTTAACAAAACTTGTCAAGTTATGATTTTACAATACACTACTACATGATAAAGGCACCTTGAATGACAGTGGGTGTTAATTAATCTCCTTCGGAAAGCAAAACTTTCCCAGTGCAGCAATGTATCTAACAGTTATTGTTTTGGTTGGTCCCACATTTGACCAACCTTGTGTGTATTCAACTATTTATGTGTTATATGTCTTTCTATAGTTCTCTAAAACTGGTGATTGGGCCTTGAAAACACCCTTAAGAGGCCTTAACTCTGATGGCTGATATACAAACTCTGAAGAATCTAAATGTCTTATCACCTCCCTGTCCTTAACATATTTTTAACATTATATCTATGAGTTGCAAACCTTTGAGAAAGTATTCTTTTTTCCAGGGCCAACCCACGCAACTTCAACTTTGATAACATCGGCAATGCTATGCTGGCTCTATTCGAAGTGCTATCTCTGGAGGGCTGGCTGGAGATTAGAGACGTCATCATCAGCAGGGTCGGGCCGGTCAGTATCTGCCTACTATTGTTTAGGGTCAGACCGGTCAGTATCTGCCCACTATTGTTTAGGGTCAGACCGGTCAGTATCTGCCCACTATTGTTAAAGGGAGAGCTGGTCAGTATCTGCCCACTATTGTTAAGGGGAGAGCTGGTCAGTATCTGCCCACTATTGTTTAGGGTCAGACCGGTCAGTATCTGCCCACTATTGTTAAGGGGAGAGCTGGTCAGTATCTGCCCACTATTGTTAAGGGTCAGAGCTGGTCAGTATCTGCCCACTATTGTTAAGGGGAGAGCTGGTCAGTATCTGCCCACTATTGTTAAGGGGAGAGCTGGTCAGTATCTGTCCACTATTGTTTAAGGCCGGGACAGTCAGTATCTGCCCACTATTGTTCAGGGAGTCGAGGTTAAGGGAGAGCGGTCAGTATCTGCCCACTATTGTTAAGGGGAGAGCTGGTCAGTATCTGCCCACTATTGTTAAGGGAAGAGCTGGTCAGTATCTGCCCACTATTGTTTAGGGTCAGACCGGTCAGTATCTGCCCACTTTTGTTTAGGGTGAGCCGGTCAGTATCTGCCCACTATTGTTTAGGGTCAGAGACCGGTCAGTATCTGCCCACTATTGTTTAGGGTCAGACCGGTCAGTATCTGCCCACTATTATTTAGGGTCAGACCGGTCAGTATCTGCCCACTTTTGTTAAGGGAAGAGCTGGTCAGTATCTGCCCACTATTGTTTAGGGTCAGACCGGTCAGTATCTGCCCACTATTGTTTAGGGTCAGACCGGTCAGTATCTGCCCACTATTGTTTAGGGTCAGACCGGTCAGTATCTGCCCACTATTGTTTAGGGTCAGACCGGTCAGTATCTGCCCACTATTGTTTAGGGTCAGACCGGTCAGTATCTGCCCACTATTGTTTAGGGTCGGGCCGGTCAGTATCTGCCCACTATTGTTTAGGGTCAGACCGGTCAGTATCTGCCCACTATTGTTTAGGGTCGAGACGGTCAGTATCTGCCCACTATTGTTAAGGGGAGAGCTGGTCAGTATCTACCCACTATTGTTTACAGACACTGCCCATATTGTTGGTCAGTATCACCCACTATTGTTTGCACACTCATGTAGGATCAGTCAGTTTAGTTGCAAAACTCAACGATAGTCTGTTAAAATGTAATGATTCTGAAGTTCAAGTCCTTGTTCTTCCTTTGCTGATGTGCTTGATGCTCTGTGTCAACAGATGGAGGCCATCTACATCCACTTCTTCGTGTTCCTTGGCTACATGATTGGACTGACGCTGTTTGTTGGTGTTGTCATAGCCAACTACAGTGAAAACAAGGTATAATTACTATGGCTGTTTGACAGTGATTAGCTATTAAACCTTTTGTCCTTTTGACTTCTGACAACTTGTCAGTTATTAAATATATTTCAGGCATACCTGTAAATTTTAACTTACACAAGTGATTGATAGCAGTTTAAGTAATTTTTAATGCGAATATTACATCTAGGCACTCTACATAGTTGCTCAATTATAGGTTCCCAAGATCAGGTAACTGGTTAAGATTATATGTTAATGGAATCTGAAAAAAACATGATTCACTACAAATGGAATTTGAGCACAACCTGCCATGTGAATGTGTAGTTTACCAGACTCTGATGATATGCTGTGTGGATCTGGGTAGATGTTGTTAGTTTGTTTCACTGTGTCCAGGGCACCGCACTGCTGACAGTTGACCAGAGGAGATGGATGGACCTGAAGGGCAGGATCAAGCTGGCCCAGCCGCTGCACATACCCCCCAGACCAGGTCACTCTAACCTTGCTGCACCAGGTCCCCAGTCTAACCAGTCTGCCTTGCACCTACCCCCTAGACCAGGTCAGTCTAACCTTGCTGCACCTACCCCCAGACCAGGTCAGTCTAACCTTGCTGCACCTACCCCCAGACCAGGTCAGTCTAACCTTGCTGCACCTACCCCCAGACCAGGTCAGTCTAACCTTGGGCACTAGACCCCCAGACCAGGTCAGTCTAACCTTGCTAAGCTTATACCAGGGCTTAGATTTTTGAGACTCTTAAAGATAGTCGTAAGTGCCAGGCACTAACATTAACTAACCTATCTTGGCCTAAGAGGCCCCTGCAAATCTAGGCCCTGGTCAGTCTAACCTTGCTGCACCTACCCCCAGACTAGGTCAGTCTAACCTTGATGCACCTACCCCCAGACCAGGTCAGTCTAACCTTGCTGCACCTACCCCCAGACCAGGTCAGTCTAACCTTGATGCACCTACCACCAGACCAGGTCAGTCTAACCTTGATGCACCTACCCCCAGACCAGGTCAGTCTAACCTTGATGCACCTACCCCCAGACCAGGTCAGTCTAACCTTGATGCACCTACCACCAGACCAGGTCGGTCTTACCTTGATGCACCTACATGGACACCAAACTCTCCCTTCTCCCCATCAAAATCTTGCTTTTTCAGAAAGTGAAATTGTACTTGTTATCATCAGTCAAGTGAAAATACATTTCATACTGTTCCTGTTCAGATCGCAATGAGTTCCGGTCCTGGATGTATGACATCACCCAGCACATTATCTTCAAGAGGGTCGTGGTGCTCCTGGTGCTCTCCAACTGCTGTATGCTCTTTGAACCTGTGAGTAACCTCAACATAAAGGGGCACTGTCTGAACCTGTGAGTAACCTCAACATAAAGGGGCACTGTCTGAACCTGTGAGTAACCTCAACATAAAGGGCACTGTCTGAACCTGTGAGTAACCTCAACATAAAGGGGCACTGTCTGAACCTGTGAGTAACCTCAACATAAAGGGGCACTGTCTGAACCTGTGAGTAACCTCAAAATACAGGGGTACTGTCTGAACCTGTGAGTAACCTCAACATAAAGGAGCACTGTCTGACCTGAGAGTCTATGCAATGTCCAAAATAGATTAAGATTTTATTGTATGATGAAAATGTGACTAATTATGGAACAGTTTATGATGTGTTGTGTTTCTCCTTGACAGTGGAAGGACAGCCAGAAAACAGTCATTCTTGCGGGCTTCTCAACAGCCTTCACCATTCTCTTTGTCTTTGAGGTAAGTACTGGGACCTGTCAGTACTATTTTGGACCAGATAATTATCACACTGGTTTTTCTCACATAGGAGGACACTAGCAGGTCATATCAGAATAAAAAGTGAACTTTTTGAAATTTGAATAGTGGGCGAGCTGGCTAAGGTGCCAGGCTAGTGATCCAGCAAGGTTGAGGTGTTTGGATCGAGCCCACCTGTGACCCGGTGTAAAAAACCTTGGAGTCAACTTTGTGTACTGACTCTTTCAGTGTTGTCACAACCCCTAGTGTACAGTACACAATTCTGTGCACTTAAAAGAACCCATGAATCCGTTGGCAGATGACCAGATGGTGGCCACATGAATATGTGCAAACACCTAGTTGTGGGTACAGTAACGTGGAGTAAATTGGACAAAGTACTGTGACCATGTGTCCCAGTCCACCCAGCTGTGAATGGGTACCTTGTAAGGATGAGAAAACCACATTAACTCGGTGGGCCTAGTTGGCAGCAAGAGTTGTATGATTCCCAGGGAGTTGAGATTGAAAGTATGATGTGCCGTTGTGATGGACATCCAATGATCGAGGGAAAACAAAATGCCTTTGAGCAGTTGAACTGGATATCGGCGCTATACAAATGTTAATACATTATATATTATTTATCACACATTACATGTGAATCTACTGTAAAATATGCTATGGTTCATCAGGTGCTGTTATAACATTTACTTTGCCTAGGAACAAGTTTCTCAGCCTGGTGTGTGGGACTGTGTTGTGTTCATCTGTTGAACAGGTTATAATGAAGATGATAGCACTAGGAACAAGTTTCTCAGCCTGGTGTGTGGGACTGTATTGTGTTCATCTGTTGAACAGGTTATAATGAAGATGATAGCACTAGGAACAAGTTTCTCAGCCTGGTGTGTGGGACTGTATTGTGTTCATCTGTTGAACAGGTTATAATGAAGATGATAGCACTAGGAACAAGTTTCTCAGCCTGGTGTGTGGGACTGTATTGTGTTCATCTGTTGAACAGGTTATAATGAAGATGATAGCACTAGGAACAAGTTTCTCAGCCTGGTGTGTGGGACTGTATTGTGTTCATCTGTTGAACAGGTTATAATGAAGATGATAGCACTAGGAACAAGTTTCTCAGCCTGGTGTGTGGGACTGTATTGTGTTCATCTGTTGAACAGGTTATAATGAAGATGATAGCACTAGGAACAAGTTTCTCAGCCTGGTGTGTGGGACTGTATTGTGTTCATCTGTTGAACAGGTTATAATGAAGATGATAGCACTAGGAACAAGTTTCTCAGCCTGGTGTGTGGGACTGTATTGTGTTCATCTGTTGAACAGGTTATAATGAAGATGATAGCACTAGGAACAAGTTTCTCAGCCTGGTGTGTGGGACTGTATTGTGTTCATCTGTTGAACAGGTTATAATGAAGATGATAGCATTGACACCTGGTGGGTACTGGACAAGTCGGCGCAACCGCTACGACATGTTTGTCACTCTGTTGGGGGTCATCTGGATTGTCATGCACTTCATACCTCAAGCCGTGAGTACAAACTGAACACATGCACTTCCTATAACTATGGGGGCGGTGGGTAGCCTAGTGGTTAAAGCGTTGGCTCATCACTCCGAAGACCCGGGTTCGATTCCCCACATGGGCACACTGTGTTAAGCCCATTTCTGGTGTCCCCCGCCGTGATATTGCTGGAATATTGCTAAAAGCGGAGTAAAACTAAACTCAGTCAGTCAGTCCTATAACTATGATAGAATATATGATGCATTATTGGCAGAAGTGTTTGGACCTAGGAGGGGAGTGTGTTGATACATATATAGAAACCAACTCAATCAATGCATTCTATCATAGTTAAACTTTTCAGTCGCTTCTTGTACATGTGGTACAGTGCAGAGGCCTTTCCATGAGACAGCTAGGAGGATTGTTGCAACTCCATTTATGTAGTGTTTCATAATAACTGTTCTTTTTGTGTTAGGTAGGTTGAGACAAATATGTTATACCATATGTAATTGTTTGTGCAGAATGACTACAGCAACACAGTTGGGTATGTGGTGATTGTGCTACGATTCTTCACCATCACTGGAAAACATGTGAGTACCATATATACTGACCTTGGAAAACATGTGAGTACCATATATACTGACCTTGGAAAACATGTGAGTACCGTGTACACTGACCTTAGACGACATGTGAGTACCGTGTACACTGACCTGGACGACATGTGAGTACCCAATACATTGACCTTGGAGAACAATGTCTATGGCAGTGCCCCATACAATGACTGTAGACATTAAGTGAATGCATTAAGAGCTTTTACTTTCTTATTGAGACTGGAAAAGGCCTTATGCCTATGTTACTTTTAGAGCTAATAAAGAGACATTATGAGTATTTATATACCAACATGAACTATACAGTGATGGAACAGTTCCGTCCACCATGTTGCAGGCCACACTGAAGATGCTGATGCAGACTGTGGTGATGTCAGTGTTCAAGAGCTTCTTCATCATAATGGGCATGTTCCTGCTCATGCTGTTCTATGCCTATGCGGGTGTTCTTCTCTTCGGGGCAGTCAAGTACGGCTACAACCTTGGCAGGTGGGACATTGGACGTACTCTCTATTTGTTCCAGACTTGCATTCCGACTTTTTATACCCCTGACCTAAACTGGTCCGAAGAGATTTTTGTTCAGCTTGAAATCTATTGGTTGGATTAGGGAGAGGTGCAGTTCAATGTGTGATTATGATATTTTAAATTTGGGGGGGAGAGGGGGAGTTTCACATCAAATTTGTTCATCCAATAACTTTACAATCATTTAATGGATGTTTTCAATTTGAGTAATGGCTTCTTCATTTGTAGGAGAGGTTTGATACAAGTGTGAATTTTTGTTGTGAGTCACAGTCAGGGTATTAGTGAGTCTTGTTCATGTTTTTGGTCAATTCCAATGAAAAGAGGAAAGTGATGTCTTGTGGTCATTTCTTCTCACCTGAACTGTTTCAGACATGCCAACTTTGAGACAGCATCAAGTGCTGTTATCCTCCTGTTCCGTATCGTGACCGGGGAGGACTGGAACAAGATCATGCACGACTGCATGGTGGGTGGGCAGTCCATGCTGCTGCTGCTGCTGCTGCTGCTGCAACAAAGATTGCCAGACACTGGTTTAGATGATACATTAGTCTTAATACCAATTACGTTCCTATAGATCAGGTTACCGTTGTACAGAATGCTACAACTGTCAGAAGTCTATCTCAAGGTATTATAGTTACTATTAAATTAGGGCTAAAATTTAAGATCATCCTATCAAACGTTATGTAATTTCTCTTCTTTTGACAGTGGAAAGTGGAAACGACTAGAAACACAGTTTTCAGCCTCTCTGATTAGCTCTACTTCTAGCATGTTGATCCACCTTAACTCTGAACTGGTCGCACAGAGCCAAAAATGGTGGATTCTGCAGCCTGTTCGAAATTAAGCAGTCCTCTTGTGAGTTATTTGTTCTTTCAACGAATGATACGACAAGAAATCATGTAACTGTGGACCGCTCACTCCCTGAGAGTTTGTGTTGAGCTTCACTAAGATGTTTTATGAAGCAACCCATCACAAGTGCATGTATGACTGACGCACAGTGGATGAGAGGTCTAGGCCATCCTTGTGATCTTGTTATCTCAAGATTGTTGTCCCTCAGCTGTCTGATAAGTGAAGAACGCAAGATAGGAAAAGTTTTAAAAAATTGAAATTTTAACTATAATAATACGTATCCTGTCTCACATGATGGATTCGCGCTTGACCAGTCCCACTATACAGATTACGGGAAGTTACAGATCCAAGACAAGAGAATGACGACAGGTGGTGGTCACATGATCAACCAGGGACAGGTCACATGATCAGCACGAGCTTCCACAGATGTCCTGTATCAGGTGCAGGGGTATGTTCAGGCGAACTGTTTAGAGAGGCTGAAAACATTTAAGATCGTTTCCACTCCTCTGTCGAAAGAAGACAAAGTGTGTAACATGAGATAAGTATAGTAAATATTCCATCTGTGATTAAAATTTTCTATATCCCTTGTAGACAATTTTAAATTAGAGTTTACATGATCTTAGATCACAGGGAGCTGTCAACCCAGAAATATATTCTAAAACTCTTCACTTATAGAAGTTGACTGATAATGTTGTATCCAACTATTCATGGTAGTTATTGTACCCTGCCACACTTCAGTTATACTTATATACTGTTGTATATGGCCTCCATGTGATATTGTGAATGTAGGACAATGACCTACCCCTGACCTGTTTCAGATCAGTCCCCCATTCTGCAGCAGGGGCCCCAACTACTGGGACACAGACTGTGGCAACTTCACAGCGTCACTCATCTACTTCTGCACCTTCTACGTCATCATCACCTACATTGTGCTCAACTTGCTTGTCGGTCAGCAAACTTTGTATTCTTTTTCATAGAGATCGTCCTTGGGGTACATATTCGCATTTTCTGCGGCTGAAAATGTCATGTGACAGTTGTATCAATGTTTTAATAAAAATATTGTACAATAAATAAAAATCTTATTTATCTATTATATGGCCCCCACCACGTGGAGTTACCTCCCTGCTACGCATACACAGCCAACCAGGTAAGCACCTAGGCCTGTATCATTATTCCTTCTGCTGTCACTCAAGCGTTCACATGTGTTCCGAGTTCATAGCTGAATTACTTCTATTGTGAAAGAATGTCTGAGACTCCAACAACTGTATGTATGGTCTTTATTCGTTCTTGACAGAACAGTTTTATTGACTTTGCAGTCTGTTATTTCTCATTTATGTGACTTTGTATTACACTTTATGCTAGCTTTCCCGTGGTTTACGCACGTTGCTTTTCCATTGCGGGAAGTTTAGCGTGCCACGTGGTTGTCATATTGCGTTATTAACCAAGTATTTCTTCCCGTGGTACCATTCACGTAATTTTCAATGGTTTGTATGTGTATATTTATGCTGCTGGTTCCGCTGTTAGCTACATGCTTGCGTGTTTGCTTTCAGGCGTTTACTGGGTGTTCTGTCTGTGGGCAGAACATTCTGAGAGCCGACAAGCACGATAAGTGCTTGTGCTGCCTTGAAAAGGTGGGACATAACCCTGATGTTTTTGAGCTTTGTATGGCCTTTTCCCCCCGGGCCCAGAAGAGAAGGGCGGCGGATTTCCTTTTCTATAAGGAATTGCGAGAGGCGGGAGGGGAACTTACCCAGGAGGTCCCCCCGTCTAAAGCCAAAAAGTCCAAACCGACTAAAAAACCTATGTCGCATAAGTCGCCTCCCCGGTCATCCCACTCCAGTGGTTTTGATATGTCACTAATCACCCAGTTGTTCCAGCAGCATATGGACTCCGTGAAGTGCCTTGTTCATAAGTTCCTCGCCCACTCTGAACAGGGGACCGAGAGTCCGGGGGTGGGATCGCCGAGCTTGGCTCGATTCCTTAGCCTGGAGGTGTCTGCCGATCCTTTGCCTTTGGCTTCGGGTCCAGACGCCTCGGCTATTGACATTGGGGAGGTCGAGGAGTCGGAGGGCACTTTCTGTTTCTCGTCGGCTCTCCAGGAGGTGCGGCAGCGTATTGCCGAGTGTATTCCCCAAGCGGCAGTACCCACCGTCACTCGGACTCGTCTGAGTTCCGCCTTCGGGCGAGGCGTTTGCCCCTAGGCAACCCTCGCAGACGCTGCTCCGTATCTTGCCTTCCCTGGTGCAGGACGTGATGGATCCCCTCCTGGTTGGGACACGCCTCCGATTCGATTTACCCCAACTCATTAAGAGGTACCAGCTGGGGGACGATTCTCTGTTCTTTGTGCCGGTGGTTGACGAGTGCGTGTTCACTTCGGTCGCCCTCGGGGGAGGCTCGGCTTCCTCTGGTGCAGCCCCGGCTGCCAAGCAAGGGCGTTTAGTTCCACCGTTTGCCCTTGCGGGCACCCACCTGTGGCAGGCTTACCAGACTTATGGGGAAGTCTACCGGAATGCCATGCAGCAGGTGAGGGTGGTGATCCATGAGGCCTACCTTTCCTCTATCCAAAGGTTGGCTCTTGAGGCTGAAGGGAGCACTGGGGACGTGTCCCTGCATGTTGTTCTGCTTCGCCAGTTGTCCAGAGTGCAGGCCCACCTTGCGCGCAACTCTTTGCGGTCTGCGGCGTATACGGGGATGTGCGCAGTCATGGGGATGTGCAAGCTGTGGCTGTCTACGTCCCGCTACTCAGCAGCAACACAGCAGACCTTGTTAGCCCTTCCGTTCCGGCTGTGAGCGACGTTGTTTCCGGGAGCTCAGCAGGTCATTTGGGAGGTTGCTGCTGCAGCTACCTCCTTCAAGGACTGTAAGGCCTTGTTGGAGCATCCGTGGGCTTCTCACCCCCGCGCTCCAGTAGCGGGTTCCTCCTCCGGGGCGCAGCCTATGACGTAGTCAGCCGGCTGGCTTCGGCCGCTGGGCAGGGGTAGGAGGAGGAGCTGTCCCGCCAAGGGTAAGGGCAAGGAGCAGTCCTCTTCGTCTGGCTACCAGCAACACTTGGGTGCTTTCCACCGTCAGTGTCGGCCATCTACCAGTGTCGGCTCTTTCAGTTCAAACCGATGCGTCCCTCACGGGCTGAGGGGTGTTCTGCCTTCACATCAACGTCTTGGAACTGAGAGCAGTGCGGTTTTCGAGCCCTTCCGGGAGCATGTTCAGGGCCAGGTGATTCATCTTCAGTTGGACAACCGTACGGCCATGAAGTACATCCTGAAGCAAGGCACACGGTGTCCCTAGCTCTTTCAGGAGACGTGGGAATTTCTCCTCTGGTGCGACCAGTGCGACTGTCAGGTGCTTCCTGTTTATCTCCTGGGGCTGGAGAAAGTGCAGGCAGACGGTCTCTCTGGCCGGATCCTGCCCCCACACAATTGAATGTTCGACCGGCAGATATTCGGAGTTATCTCCCAGTTGTACGGATCGTTACAGGTAGATCTGTTTGCGGCTGGCGGGATGAATCAGATACCCGTGTTCTGCTCTCGAATACCGGACCAGAGGGCGTTGGCTCATTTGGAAGAAGGCTTGGCGGCCTCGACCATTCGTGGCTACTCCACTATTTCCACTTTTCACACCCCTGTAGATGGTGCTCTTCTGGGGCAGCACCCTCTTCTACAGCGCTTTTTAGCTGGCGTGGATCGGGTTCGACCTGCTGTCAGGCGAACCAGCCCACCTTGGGATTTGTCAATCGTGCTAGATTGGCTGTCTGGTCCTACGTTCTCACGTCTATCGGCTATTTCCATTCAGTTATTAAGATGGAAGGCCATATTTCTTGTGGCGGTAACATCTGGGCGTAGGGTCGGCGACTTACATGCTATATCGGCAGACCCGGCGCTGACAGTGTTCCATCCAAATTGTGTCAGTATTCGCCTCCCAGATACTTACCGTCTGAAGATCGATCACGCTTTCCATGTGACAGCTCCTATCGAACTTCCTACTCTTACCCAGCCTTCCACATCGGGGACCTCTGCAACGAGCACTCATCCGGATGTCCGAAAGACTCTCAAGGTCTATCTCAAACGAACACAAGGGATACGTACTGGTACCCATCTGTTCTGCTGTTATGGTGGCGGGAAGGCTGGGATGCCAGCGAGCAAACAGACCCTGTCTCGCTGGCTTGTATCGGTCATTTGTGCTGCCTATCAGGCTAAGGACGCTGCTTTCAACTGTGTTTTATTGATATGTCTGCTGTTGTGTGATCTAACTCATTTCGATTCTCTCCGGAGATTATGGTCGGTTGTGAGTTGGTTTTTCCCCCTTACGGTGCTCTCCAATAGATCATGATGTGGGCGGGTTTTTTTATTTTCACACTGTGTGCGAATTGCTGTGCTTAACCTATGAGGTCGGATCTAAGTACTTATCCTCCTTGTCGGTTACCCTCCCATAATGCCTCTTGCAGAAGCTTCGGGACACGTGACAGGTGAGTGTTGTGGCGTCTGTTACGTTCTTCCTAAAGATCACTATTTATGTGTACTTGGACAGAATTCCCTCCTCCCTGGCCTCCGGTCTTTGGGAGTCTGAGTTAATGCATATATGTACCTCAAGAACGATCTCTGTGAAAAAGAATTAGCTAAACCTGTAGAGGTTTCCAATTCTTTGAAGAGAGTCGTCCTTGGGGTAGGGCAGCCCACCTCCCCGCAATTCTGTTCACTGATTTATTCAGCAGAAGGAATGATGATACAGGCCTTGGTGCTTACCTGGTTGGCTGCGCATGCGTAGCAGGGAGGTAAAGCCACGGGGTGGGGGCCGTTTAATAATAGATAAAAAAGATTTTTATCTATTGTACAATATTTTTATTAAAACATTGATACAACTGTCACATGACATTTTCAGCCGCAGAAAATGCATATATGTACCCCAAGGACGACTCTCTTCAAAGAATTGGAAACCTCTACAGGTTTAGCTAATTTTCTCTTACAGATCACATGTCCATGTTACAGTATTAACACAATATTCATTAACAGAAGTCAGATAATCCTGTTGCAACTGGTTCGTTGTCTGACTACTGGTGTTTGTTGCATTCAGCTATCATCATGGAGAACTTCTCCCTGTTCTACTCCAATGAGGAGGATGCTCTGCTCAGCTACAATGACATTCGGCAGTTCCAGAACACATGGAACTATGTAGACATCAATAGGAAGGTATTGTAACTGTCGACAACTGTCATCTTCTGGGATGAATTTGGTCTACATGCTTCTCTTGTGCTTTGTATTTCCTTATGCTGAACCTTCATACTTGAAGTAATTGTTAAACTTATCTTGTTCTTAATCCTGTTCTTGGTGTACTAATCTTGTTCTTGGTGTACTAATCCTGTTCTTGGTGTACTAATCCTGTTCTTGGTGTACTAATCTTGTTCTTGGTGTACTAATCTTGTTCTTGGTGTACTAATCTTGTTCTTGGTGTACTAATCTTGTTTTGGGTGTACTAATCTTGTTCTTGATGTACTAATCTTGTTCTTGGTGTACTAGTTCGCTCGTCACGCCGAAGACCCGGGTTCGATTCCCCACGTGGGTACAATGTGTTAAGCCAATTTCTGGTGTCCCCAGCCGTTATATTGCTGGAATATTGCTAAAAGCGGCGTAAAACTAAACTCACTCACTCACTTGGTGTACTAATTTTGTTGTTGGTGTACTAATCTTGTTCTTAATGTACTAATCTTGTTCTTGGTGTACTAGTCTTGTTCTTGATGTACTAATCTTGTTCTTAATGTACTAATCTTGTTGGTGTACTAATCTTGTTCTTGATGTACTAATCTTGTTCTTGGTGTACTAATCTTGTTCTTCATGTACTAATCTTGTTGGTGTACTAATCTTGTTCTTGGTGTACTAATCTTGTTCTTGGTGTACTAGTCTCGATGTACTAATTTTGTTGGTGGTGTACTAATTTGTTCTTGATGTACTAATCTTGTTCTTGGTGTACTAATCTTGTTCTCAGTGTACTAATCTTGTTCTTGATGTATGAATGCTGTTCTTGGTATACTAATCTTGTTCTTGGTGTACTAGTCTTGTTGGTGTACTAATCTTGTTCTTGTTGTACTAGTCTTGTTCTTGATGTACTAATCTTGTTCTTAATGTACTAATCTTGTTGTTGGTGTACTAATCTTGTTGTTGGTGTACTAATCTTGTTCTTGATGTACTAATCCTGTTCTTGGTGTACTAGTCTTGTTTTTGGTGTACTCATCTTGTTCTTGATGTACTAAACTGGATGTACTAAGCTATGTGTTTTCAGGGCGTGATCCCAGCTCGGCGGGTAAAGTACTTGCTCCGCCTGCTGCGAGGTCGCCTGGAAGTGGATCTGGAGAAGGACCGCTTGTTGTTTAAACACATGTGCTATGAGATTGAGAAGCTGCACCAGGGTGGCGATGTTACATTCCATGATGTCCTCAGGTATGTCAACCCACTCATCCCACTCTCATATGCTCTGTACTGGGAATAATGTATATTTAAACACTATTGTAATTGTATTATTTTACTTTTGAAATTCATGATTAACTAATCATTGGTTGTCAGGAAAGTATTGCTATTCAATGTGAGGAGTTGAGTGGATGTTACTTTGTCTTGATACTTTTAGAGTCTAGTGTAGCCAGGAGTCTGGAGGACAGCTTATGACTGATTCAACATGGTGTAGAACTTTCTGGAAGGTAGTTACACAACAAAAGTGGGCCAGGCAGTTGGGGTAGCCTGGTGGTTACAGTGTTTGCTTGTCACGCCAAAGGCCTGGGTTCAAATCCCAACATGTGTACAATGTGTGAAGCCCATTTCTAGTGTCACCCAGCATGATATTGCGGGAATATTGCTAAAAGTGGTGTAAAACTGAACTAAACACACCCCACATCTAATACATGAGTACCTTGTGATGGTTGCAGCATGCTGTCGTACCGGTCCGTGGACATCCGCAAGTCCCTGCAGCTGGAGGAACTTCTAGCACGAGAGGAACTGGAATACACCATCGAGGAGGAGGTGGCCAAACAGACCATCCGCAACTGGCTTGACAAGTGCCTCAAGCGAATCAGAGCTGTATGTGTTCTTCCAAAATCTTACAGGGATTTTGCAGGCATTAATTTATGAAAAATATGTGCTATATAATAACTCATTTGCAATACATAAAGAAAACGTGTTTGTGAGACATTCATTACCCATTGCGTATGGACAAAAGTACCCTTTCTTTGTGCAAGATGGAGATCTACCAGGACCATCTTTACGTCTTCACAAGCACAGACTGACATGATGGTTGTTTTTTTCTTGTAGAAGGAGCATTCCAACATCATCTCCAATCTACGAGCCACCAATGAGCCACTGTTTACTGTGACTGAACTCACATCAGGAGGAGCCGACATCAAGGAGGAGAAAGAGGAAGGACCTGTGCCTCCCCGCACTAGGAAGAAGGGGCATGTTGAGCTCCGCAACCCGGTCATTCAGCCGCCCAGTGTCCTACAGGTAGGTATTCAGTCATACAGCCACCTAGTGTCCTACAGGTATGTAGTCAGTCATACAGCCACCCAGTGTCCTACAGGTAGGTAGTCAGTCATACAGCCACCTAGTGTCCTACAGGTAGGTAGTCAGTCATACAGCCACCCAGTGTCCTACAGGTAGGTATTCAGTCATACAGCCACCTAGTGTCCTACAGGTAGGTAGTCAGTCATACAGCCACCCAGTGTCCTACAGGTAGGTAGTCAGTCATACAGCCACCTAGTGTCCTACAGGTATGTAGTCAGTCATACAGCCACCCAGTGTCCTACAGGTAGGTAGTCAGTCATACAGCCACCAGCCACCTAGTGTCCTACAGGTAGGTAGTCAGTCATACAGCCACCCAGTGTCCTACAGGTAGGTAGTCAGTCATACAGCCACCTAGTGTCCTACAGGTAGGTAGTCAGTCATACAGCCACCTAGTGTCCTACAGGTAGGTAGTCAGTCATACAGCCACCTAGTGTCCTACAGGTAGGTAGTCAGTCATACAGCCACCTAGTGTCCTACAGGTAGGTATTCAGTCATTCAGCCACCCAGTGTCCTACAGGTAGGTAGTCAGTCATAAAGCCACCTAGTCCCTACAGGTACAGTCATTCAGTCGCCACACCTAGTGGTAGTACATGCCCTGGTCTACAGGTAGTCAGTCATACAGCCACCCTGTGTCCCACAGGTAAGTAGTCGGTCATACCGCCACACAGTGTAGGTGCCCCGTCATACTGCTACAGTGTCCCACAGGTAGGTGTTGTACTTTACAGATAACTTCTGTAGCCTGATGTTCTAACCTTTGATTCCGTGTCTGATGAGAGGTGTTTATGTTTACAGGGACAGTCCATGAGGAAGTTCCTGACCCCGACACTGAGTGACGGAGCATCACGCCTGGCAGAGAAAGAAAGACCAAATCTTCGCAAGAGAAGCTGCAAGATCAACACAGGTACAACTCTAATTGGCATTTCAGAATGTTTAAGTCTGTGTATCAGTGTGTACAGGTTGGTGTGTACCAGTCAATGGGTACAGGTTGGTGTGTGCCAATCAGTGTGTTCAGGTTGGTGTGTGCCAGTCAATGGGTACAGGATGGTGTGTGCCAATCAGCGTGTACAGGTTGGTGTGTACCAGTCAATGGGTACAGGTTGGTGTGTACCAGTCAATGGCTACAGGTTGGTGTGTGCCAATCAGTGTGTTCAGGTATGTGTGTGCCAGTCAGCGTGTACAGGTTGGTGTGTACCAGTCAGTGTGTTCAGGTTGGTGTGTACCAGTCAATGGGTACAGGTTGGTGTGTACCAGTCAGCGTGTACAGGTTGGTGTGTACCAGTCAATGGGTACAGGTTGGTGTGTGCCAGTCAATGGGTACAGGTTAGTGTGTGCCAGTCAATGGGTACAGGTTGGTGTGTACCAATCAGTGTGTTCAGGTATGTGTGTGCAAATCAGTGTGTTCAGGTTGGTGTGTGCCAGTCAGCATGTACAGGTTGGTGTGTACCAGTCAGCGTGTTCAGGTTGGTGTGTACCAGTCAATGGGTACAGGTTGGTGTGTGCCAGTCAGTGTGTTCAGGTTGGTGTGTACCAGTCAGTGTGTACAGGTTGGTGTGTGTGCCAGTCAGCACAGGTTGGTGTGTACCAGTCAGTGTGTTCAGGTTGTGTGTGTACCAGTCAGTGTGTTCAGGTTGGTGTGTACCAGGTTGGTGTGTGTACCAGTCAGTGTGTACAGGTTGGTGTGTACCAGTCAGCGTGTACAGGTTGGTGTGTACCAGTCAATGCGGTACAGGTACAGGTTGGTGTGTGCCAATCAGCGTGTACAGGTTGGTGTGTACCAGTCAGCAGGTTTGTGTGTACCACAGGTTACAGGTTGTGTGTACCAGTCAACGTGTACAGGTTGGTGTGTACCAGTCAGCATGTACAGGTTTGTGTGTACCAGTCAGCATGTACAGGTTTGTGTGTACCAGTCAGCATGTACACAGGTTGGTGTGTACCAGTCAGTGGGTACAGGTTGGTGTGTCAGCATGTCAGGTTGGTGTGTACCAGGTTGGTGTGTACCAGTCAGTGTGTTACAGGTTGGTGTGTGCCAGTCAGTGTGTTCAGGTTGGTGTGTACCAGTCAATGGGTGTGTGCCAGTCAGTGTTTCAGGTTTGTGTGTGCCAGTCAGCATGTACAGGTTGGTGTGTACCAGTCAATGGGTACAGGTTGGTGTGTGCCAGTCAGTGTGTACAGGTTGGTGTGTGCCAGTCAGCGTGTACAGGTTGGTGTGTACCAGTCAGTGTGTTCAGGTTGGTGTGTACCAGTCAGTGTGTTCAGGTTGGTGTGTGCCAATCAGTGTGTTCAGGTATGTGTGTGCCAGTCAGCGTGTACAGGTTGGTGTGTACCAGTCAGCATGTACAGGTTGGTGTGTACCAGTCAGTGTGTTCAGGTTGGTGTGTACCAGTCAATGGGTACAGGTTGGTGTGTGCCAATCAGTGTGTTCAGGTTGGTGTGTGCCAGTCAGCGTGTACAGGTTGGTGTGTACCAGTCAATGGGTACAGGTTGGTGTGTGCCAATCAGTGTGTTCAGGTATGTGTGTGCCAGTCAGCATGTACAGGTTGGTGTGTACCAGTCAATGGGTACAGGTTGGTGTGTGCCAATCAGCGTGTACAGGTTGGTGTGTACCAGTCAATGGGTACAGGTTGGTGTGTGCCAATCAGTGTGTACATCTCTGTTTGTACCAGTCTGTTTGGGGCCGGCATCTTTGTCTCTGTTTTTGTTTTGTGAACAAACTTTATGGTGTAAAGGTGTAACATGTGTATGTCCTCATAGTGAGAGTGTGTGTGACTTTCTCCATGTTGTCTGCTACAGGTGGCAAGCCCCTCCCATTGGTATCAGAGGGCAGAACAGAGGATGACCTGCCCACACCCACCATGGAACACCCCATTGACTCTGCACTGGTTGGGAAGTATGTGTCATTAGACATCAACTCTTGGTGGAAAGAGCTAAACTGTCTGGATATATCAGAAGATGGCAACAGGACCATACTGTACTAGTCACCAATACATCACTGCAGAAATGTTGCAGTGTTGTATGGCAATACTGAATGATCAGCCAGGCGTTCCCTGCAGTCTTGCACTGGACATGGCCTGGTGTGCCTACTGCCATGAGAGGGAACAGATCATATTGTGACTTCCACTGGGAACAGGATCATAGTAAAACCAGTGTACCAGATATCTATTTGCCAAAGCGTGTAGGATCATGCGGGTTGATAGTTGTCACTATTCAAATGACCCTTAAGAGAAACAGTTGACAGATGGAGTGTTAGCCTCAAGCCACTGTGGTACTGATACAGAAATGGACCAAAATAGGAGTATGTCAGAAGACCTGGGTCTGTGAAGTTTCTTCTGAATTGCCAGCAAGATGGGCTTGGTTACTGATATACCTGAGGCCTAATCACTCACAGGTGATGGGGGCTTGTTCACCAATATATCTGTGCTAAGCACCTTCAGGAGAGCTGGTCTTCTTCACATGCAGATAGGTCTGTGTTGTGATAACTTACAAGCAAGATGATGTTCTTCACTGATATATCTGTGTGATGATAACTTACAGGTGGCGACATGGGCTTGTCAACAGATATATCTGTGTGTTGAGTTGGTGAGTTGTCTGTACAATGATACTGATGATATTTATGAAAGCTGAGGGTACATTATGCATTGTTACGTTATGTTGGCATGAAACCATTGGTAGTTAATAACAGTAATTTATTGATATTGCATTCATAAGTAATAGTTTGTTGTAATTTGCTCATTGAACGTTTGTTTTCATTTGCTATATAAATATGCTCATTTTGCCAAAAGTATACACTTTAGTGTGAACCAAGGTGCAATGTTTTAGTTCTTTAATCGAGACTACCAGTTTTGGTGGAATTCTGTTGGTATATGAGAACATATAGTTCTGTGGAATAGTAAGCAACTCACGGTGTCAGTTGCTTGATGTTTATATCTGTATATAGAGCTAAGAGAGAGAATGAACCAGTATGTCAGTTGTTATTCATACATGAGGTTATATATATTTATATCTAGACCAGCAAATATCTACTTTGTATGGAGAAGGAAAATTTTATTTTCATTTGTCCCAAAGCCAAACTTTAAGATGGCATGGTTTTTTCACACACAACAGCTGCACTTGTGGCTCAGTTTTATGATGTCATCACACACAACAGCTGCACTTGTGGCTCAGTTTTATGATGTCATCACACACAACAGCTGCACTTGTGGCTCAGTTTCATGATGTCATCACACACAACAGCTGCACTTGTAGCTCAGTTTTATGATATCATCACACACAACAGCTGCACTTGTAGCTCAGTTTTATGATGTCATCACACACAACAGCTGCACTTGTAGCTCAGTTTTATGATGTCAGCAAAATTTCAAATCAACTTTTTTGACGCTACATTTTCAAAGTATAATTATATCTAAGATGTGTGCAGTAAAGTAGCTTGTTATTGTTGATCTTGAGAGTTGTCTTGACATGATGTCAAAAACACGATATATACAGCACACAACCATGGAAACAGACCAATCATGTGTGAGGGTGAACATTGTAGGATAATGGTTAATACTGGTGTGAACAGAATGTAGTGTATATTACTGAATATTGAGTGAGTTGTGATAGATAAATGAACATGTTTATACTGTAATGAATTTGTTGTGTTTGAATAAAACAATGAAAACTATAGTTAATGTTTCATTTGCAGTTCAGAGTTCTTATTTTTTGTCAATAGTATGGACAAGTCATCTTTCAAGTTACAGAAAGGGGCGAATGAAAGTTATGTGCAAAAATATGACAAACCGATCCGAATGTGTGAATACCTTGTTTTACATACATCTTGTATCAAAGACTATTGGGATACAGGTATAGTCCGTTTGGCTCAAAAGCGGACCGATGAATTGCAATCTAACTCAAAAACATAAATAGAGAATACTACATGAGGTCTCATAACATACGAATTATACGAAACGAGTGTCCTTCCTATGGTATCTGACCGAGCGAAAGCGAGGTCAGAACCCATAGGAAGGTCACAAGTTTTGTATAATTCGTATGTTATGAGACCGAGTGTGGTATTTTATTTATTACCCACATCTTACAGGCTATAAATTGACAAAATAGCGTATTTGTGTTATTTTTATGGTTTCAAACCGAAACTGGTTTCATAAAGAGGTTGCGGAAGAATGTTGTTCTGTAGTACACTTTTTGCATGACGTCACACTGTAATGACGTCACTACGCTTTGCTCGTCTGCTACCTTGGTAACCGACGTCACGATGCATGTCAGTTGTCATTGCCTCGTACAGCCTCCTACATTAAACTACTCCGTAGCACCCCGTTTCATAGTTTGCAGTTGCTTCACTCGGCTAACATCACTGGTGGAAACTTTGTGTTTATGTTTTTCAACGCATATAATGTCTAAGTTCGACTCACAATTAAACAGCGATACGGATACGTTCGCAATGTTTACATTCCCACAATGCATTTAAGTTGTAGAATGAATGAAATCACGTGTTTGTTATGAATGAACAAGTAGTTCCGTCACAACGTGACCTAACTTAGAAGTCATCGGTTATCCAATCACATCGTTAGAATTTCAGGTCAAGTCGTTACGACACAGGTCAACGCAATACGACACTCGTGTGACGTACGAGATTAGTATGCAACTACCCATACGTTGACCACGTGGGTAATAAACAAAATACTCAATGAAACGCTGATCATAATCAAAACATCATACCCACTATGTGAGGTTTTTGCAGAATTTTTGTCCTAAAATTAAAAAAGTTGTTTAACCAACTATCGTTAAAATATTGACACAGTTCACTATTTGTTACGAGGGAGGAGTACAGAGAAAGGGACAGCCAGGTGTTCGAGAACGGATGGAGACGGCACAGCACAGGTTAATGAATAAATAACTTTGTCTCTGAACGTGCTTCTCGAACACCTGGCTGTCCCTTTCTCTGCACTCCTCCCTCGTAACAAACAGTGAACTGTGTCTATATTTTAATGATAGTTTTTAAACAACTTTATTATTTTTAGGACAAATTTCTGCAAAAATCTCACAGAGTGGGTATGATGTTTTGATTATGATCAGCGTTTCATTGAGTATGTTATGTTTATTAGTTTTCAAGTTAGATTGCAATTCATCGGTCTGCTTTTGAGCCAAACGGACTGTAACTGTGTTCAATCACAGTATGTTTCAGCTTAGTAGGATGTGTTTTAACAGTCTTCTGTCATATGTGTATGGATGTTAGAGGTTGGATGTTGTCCCATGAGCTGACAAGATTGATAGCTATGCCCATTTTGTGTATGGAGGGCCAGTTGTGAAAATGGCCACAAGAGAGGCAAGAGTTGCTATGGGCTTCTCCTGGACTAACACAGGTTATCATGGGTAAGAGCCTTCTTGCAGGCTGTGGAAATAGGCCGATTTGTAAGAATGAGCAAATATTATGGGAGGGTAGGCAGCCAGTTTTAAACATGACAGAATGGAAAACAACAATGAAGACCACTCTACCCAACTAGCTACCATGAGATTTTCAATATGCAGTTTATGAGTGCCATTCTTCTGCAATGAAGTGTAATGAAAAAGTAAACATCCCAAGATGTGAGAGGCAACCCCAGATGGGTCAGGCAGTCAGGCAGGCTGAGGGATTTGGTTGTCACAACAGCCAGATAGTCCTTTCAACAGGCCGCTCTGATAAATCTGGAATATTACCAAGTGCTCTATTACAGTCAGTATTGATGGGTTTTGTGCGCCAAATTATTTCCCAGAAATTGTCACATTAATTAAGCTATTATAGGTTCTTTAATTGTGCCCTGATGATGTTATGGAAGTTCTTTTCTTTGGCTAACGCATGGTAATGAATGCATGTTTAGCTATCAGTTTCTAGTCTCATTGCACCGAATTCACTGTCATGGAATTTGAAATGCATGGCGAGTAAGAAAAGTGAAAACAAAATTGTCTGAGAGTGTTGTGTAAAGAACTGTATACGTGTCTTATTACTCACAAAACAATAACACATTCGTTGTATGGTCATCCCAAAGGGAGGAGGAAGATTCAAGGTCAAAACTGGACCTCCTTTGTTCAAATGTGACTAGCTGTATTTTGTTTTGGACTTCACCTTTTGAATTGGATTGATCGGGGTCTGGGACATCATTCGTTACAGTCACATTCCGAGGTCACGGTTTGAGGGGAGAAGCGCACACATTTCTGACAGCCTGTGCTTGTGTCATACGTCCCTCCTCCATATCTGTTGTCACTCCTGTTGCTTGCGTTATCGCCAAGCATGTCCTGGGCAGCACTGGAAGACGCGTTGCAAACACTGTCACATTTCAACGTGGCTATTGCTGTGTCGGATTCACGACGCTCGCCATTGGATTTCAACTCAGACTTGCCCTCCGTGTCTGGGATAGAGACGCGGCTGTCATATTGGTGATCACATGATGTCTCACACGTGTCTGACATGGGCGTTGAGTGGTGACTACCGCGACAATGCCCTGCTCCGGACGGTTCTGAAGCATCTTGTTTGGGAGACGGAGTACTACCAGACGTAAGACTAGCCGAATCTAACCTGTCAGTGAGATGAGCTGTATTGGCGTTCTGGGTACTGTGAACAGGTCGCACGCATGTTGGGGTGTCCAGTAACTCTGTGCTGAATGGTACTGCGGACGAAGAACGCCTGATTTTCGGGGTTATCTTAGGAGTTGACGTGAGGAAGTGTGATGCAAGTTCTGGCGACGGGACACTTCCAAGATTCAGGCATGTTTCCGTATCGTCTGCTCCCATAAGGCCACAGTGAGCTACAGCTACTACCCGTCGCAATGCTCCCCTCACCGACGTCTGTAGCTCGTCTTGTATCTGCAAGTAGAGGATGAGACTAGCAACGTCGGCATCCCGCATCCACGAATTGTCCTCATCGTTTTCTTCGTTCCGTTTCCTTCTCACAATCGTCTCAGTCAAACTTTTGCTCGCGCCACATTCAGCCAATGTTCTGTCGTGAACCACCTCAAACAGAAGCAAGACGGGATCTAACTCTGCTTTGGAAAAACCAAGCTTCCCCATTGTGGCAGTGAAGGACTTTTCAGTTGCTTTCTGCCGTAACCCTAACCAAAGCTCTTTTATGGTGTTTACTGGAACGCCTAAACTCTTCACCTTCCTCAACACAACTTCGAAAAACACCCAAACATAATCAATTAACAACTCAGACCTTTTATCCCGCCGCATGAGAAGTTCCACAATGACTGACATCTTTCTGTCCTTCTCAATCCTAAACATGTACTCATTAGTCCTCTGCTCTAGTTTGCCGGCTCGGTCTAACAGGTGGTCGTATTGTTCTCCCAGACAAACAGCCCTTTTCTCCAAGTCGTCGAGTTTCTTGTGCAACTCGTTTGTAGCATCTTGTACAAATTTGTATCCCTCTCCGGACATGTTGGCGACGATATCCTTGTATGTTTACGGTAGTTGGTTCTGACGTCATGCACCGTGATTTGACATCACAATCGCAGTGACGTCACAATACTTTGCATCCAAGTAACATCAATAGAGTAAACATGACATCACTTGTGATTTAGGACCGCTAAATGAAACAGGTTACCGTGATACATATCCTCCGTGTCTTATGCTGATGACATGTTCGTTTACAAGCAATAGTGTCAGCTATTGCTATGTATTATTTAAGGTACAGCAGTCCGTGTAATATGCGATCCTCTGAGTTAGGTTAAAGATCAACCGTTGTCAGTATTCAACCAATCGGTCAGTATTCAACCAATCGTAATCTAGTATTAGACAAGAATACGTGCAAGAATTTTGTTTGAAAACCAAACAGCGTAAGCTATAGTAATTAAAGATCTCACTCCCTAACCAGAGTTTATGATAATTGCTACCAGCCAAGTACCGTGTCAACGCCAAATATCATTTAAACAGATCCAACTACATCTTCACGTGTATATACACACACACGCACATTTCTTATAATACAACTCGAATATTAAAAAGGAAACTTTTAAAACATCATATTTGGATATGTTACACAGAGCTCTTCTTTTTGTTTAAGAAATTTAGAGTGGTCTTTATAGAAAAATAACACAGACAGCTTTCAGAATCAGATTCCGCCAACAGTTTCTGTGCGTGTTGGGTGAAATATTAGGTAACTGATATTCCAAGGGCAGGAGTCTAATACGTTACGCGGGTGTCAACATTTCTGGTGAGTCAAGACGAGTTTTCTCAAGGACCGTCCAACACGTCAAGACCTTTACTAATTTTTAACGTAATTATCAATATTTTATTAAATATTCATTCAAAGGTAATGTGATTATTTTCGTGCAGACGTATGTTGTGCCGTGGTCACATAAGCTCCGCCCACTCATGTTTATTTATGATTATTATGCACTTAGCACCATTGTAGGTTTAAGGGCACCACAGACGTAGACTTGGTGGGTGGATATGGACGATCCTGACAATGCATTTATAGCTCTAAAATCCTGTTTATGATAATATGCATTAGCAAAAACCGAATTCACATACACCTAGATTAAGGAAAATGTAGAATGTTGGGATTCACGCGTAGGGTAGATTGTGCCATGATAATGCCGTTTTTCAGGAGAGGCGTGTCTGTTATTTGATGAAGAACACTGAACTGTTGAAATCTTATCATTCTGACATTATACTGCACGTGTCACGCTGTATAGTACATGCGATATACAGTTTACGTCACTTGATACACTTCATACTGCATATGATACAAGGTCAAAACAGCAGCGGACAGTGGAGCCACACCCAGCACTACGGGCATACCAAAGTGACTGACCATGCCTTATTAATGAAACAATATACGGCTGGGGAAATGACTAGATCCTATACAATTTCAGAAAACTAACCAGCTTCGACACATTTGGAATTCTAGGGGTTTGAGGAGAAACTAATCCAGATATAGTGGTCTTTCTTCATGAGATGCCGGGACGTACAGAGTATTGTCCAGCGTTAAAGATCTGTATATGATATGTACTCCGGTAAGTTCAAACGCCCTATCTTTCTTCAGATCCCAGCAAATTCCACTGGAGGATATAGTAGTCAGTACATGGTGCTGTGCCTTTAGTATATAGAATTCTAGACTAACATCTAGTCTCTGACATGAACATAATTTACAGAAGAAAACTGTTCCTAAAAATAATCAGCCCAAAGACTTTCTTCATTTTCAGAAACTGGTAATCTAGACCTGACAAATATTTTTCACTTGCATGGGATTTCTTGGATACTGTATATATGTTTCCGGGTCTGTATGACAGACTAATATAACTAGTGCAGTTCGTATGCGACGGCTAATATTCTGAAGACTAACTTTGTTTTACAAACAACACACAACTGACTGCCCGACATAGGACTGCTGTCGACAAATGAAAAATAGGATGTTCCTAACCGTCGACAAAACTAAAAACCCGGAGTGTCGACATCGCGTGGTCAACATACCGTGACGGTGTTAATTAATGAAAGAGAATGTTTGCTTAGTGGTTTGCAAGTGGCTATGGCGGCTACAGCTATGCTCGTATCGGTCTACTCCCATTTGTGAGAACTCCCAGTTGTGAGACTCCCAGTTGTGAGACAGTGGAGTAGGTAAGGAGCAAAGAAAACACACCTTACTCCCCTATCTGATAGAATGGATTAACCCCAGCTAATTAGGGATTAGCTATTTAACTGAATCTTGTGGAGGTAGCTTGTATATAACGAGAAAATACCTACTCAGGTAAATGGCTTTAAAAAATAAACACTTTGTATAGGTAACTTCGTGATCAATATGAAAAGTGCAAAATTCCCACCCAAAATGGACCCATGTAAAAAAGTGTTTTATAATGACACACAAACATCATAATAACGCAAATCACCAAAATGTGTGAATAAAAAATCATAATGAAATATTTAATGAACTATTTCTTCTGTGTAAATATAATGATAATCTTTTTCAGTATTTCAGTATTTAACTTGTTTTATTGAAAACAATAAATGCTCTTTAATGAACTATGCCTCTTGTGGGTACTCTTAAAAATTCAGCAACAGGGCGGTTCCCACTTTCATCGTAGGGATGGGGAAGCACCACCTGTGTGCACTGAACCATTAATTAATGTGTCTCACAACTGGGAGGACACCATTAAGTTGATTAAAGAGAATGTCTTTTTAACAATTTGCAAGAGAATTAAGGCTGCAAAAACAGACTATTATTTTACGTTATGCGAGTGGAAGGATTAACCATTACCAACTTGGAATCATTTTGAAAATGATGGACACAGAACTAACAATAATTTGGAAGGTTGGCACAACAAAATCAACAAGTATGCCATGAAGACACATCCAAATGTATTTGAGGTTGTGCGAATGCTACAAAAAGAACAGTCATCTACTGAAGTAAAAATTCAGCAGATCCAAGGACAGCAGAGAGATCCCGTCCGTAGAGGTCGCTACCGGATCATCGACGCAAGGATTCGATCCTTGAAGGCCGACGTTCTTGCCGACAAACTTACTGACTTGCATTACACAGACCATGTGTCAGAGCTGCTTCATGTTGGCTGAACATTCAGATTACTTTAGTGCAGATATAAAGGTGTTTTGGCAAGAAGAAATAACTGGACTCATCTTTTATATCTTTATTACTTATACACCTGCAGAAAACCCTTATTTATATAAAACACACAAACAAATATATTGTGTGAGCTTTATGAAATAAATATACAAATATGTTATATTGTGTGACATATGCTACATGCATGATACATGCATGTTGTTATATTGACTGAATAAATATATTGTCTACTATATATATCACACTCTGTTTTAATTGGTTTGTTAATTTCGAGAACACTGGGCGTGAAGTCACTCATGTAGAACATCACCTCCCTTTTCCCGGACTGTCGACAAGTAATTTGGACAGATTATTTCTTGTTGTCGACAGTCCGGGCATAAACCACTGTGAGAGTGATCTCATCAAACGTGGTACCATGGTTTAGTTTAACTTCTTCGCGCGTGTCCCGCTTACAGGATACATAGCCGACGTATCAACAAATGTTGATGGACGGATCCAGGGGGGACGATGTGCCACCACAGCCAGAAATACGAAACCTTCGGCATCACGTGCGTCAGGGACCGGTGCCATGTGACTGACAGTTAACATTTGTACAGAGCAAATGTTCGTTTTTCCCCGCCCATTTTAGGCTTGAAAAGCCGTTTTTTCATACACTTTCTCACCAATTCATCAATTTCAACAGATCTTCCATCGTTTTTCTGTCAAATGCCAATAAACAAAAACAACGTTTGAAGTGTAGGGAGTAGGACGGGCGGGGAAAGTCTCATCACAGATATTTCTGAAAGTTTTTAATAATTATTAATGCCTGGAATGTTTCAAGAAGGGCTACATGCACTACTACCATGCACACCAGACGAATATGTCATAGGATGCCATGATGCCATGTCGCGTGATTAGAACTTTATGTCCTGTTTGGATAGTCGGCCAAATCTACGTACCACGTTTCTCCTCCTCGTGTCAAGACTAGTGCTGGGAATTGGTTAAAATCTCATAATTGATGATTGGTTCATTACTACCGATCAATCATCGAAAATAATTGGTTAGCGTCATTTATGAAATTTGTTAATGCACATTAAAATACGAGGAAAAAATGTAGTTCTTCTGGGGTTTTGGGGCAAAATTTCACATCTTTAAAGGATGACTAGTATGTTATGAACATAAATTTCTTGGAATCTTTAAGATGAATTCAATCATGACTTGAAACGAGTTTGTAGTGCTTACAAAATATAACAGACAAAACCAACCAAGTGAAAAATATTGTTAATGAAAACAAGTGTTCCAGAATTGTTTGTGTTCGATTATGAGAAATTATGATCGATTGCTTGGTCGTTTAGTCACTACGACCAATCTTCGATTATTTCAATTAATCGGACCACCACTAGTCAAGACGACTTACAATCAGAAGCCCACAGAGAAGCAACAGAGCTTCGCGGTAGTCTTTCACCTATACATTGTTCCTGCAATATATGTGCGTGTGAGAATATTAGAGGTAAAACAACATTGTCTATGTCAGCATCATTACAAGGATTGAGAAGCAAATCTGACCACTTTGAGGAACGGCAGGTCTCAGATCAAGACGTTCTGTCAAATGTTCTGTTTTTGTATGTGTGTCAGATTGACTTTAAGGTACTGTGTTTTGACAAGGTATGATCTTTTAAAGCTTTTTGATTGCTTCTCTTTAGTAAAGTGTTGAAGTTCATCTCGTTTGGGTAATTCAGACTACTCCACATTGTGCCATAAGCATTCTTATAACATGTATATTCTTAATTGGTCATCCCCTTGACCGTGTCTGCCATGACATCAATTAGCCCATGGCAATGTTATTGTTTCTTTATCTGTCCACTGTACATGTTGACTTTTACTATATATATATCCACATTTATACTGTCAAACAGTTTGGTATTCTGACTGCACATGTATATACGGCCGTGAGTAGAATAACCCTGCTTGCGGAACTTTCCTGTCATAGTAAAGTTATAATCACATCTCGACTTATTTCTTAATGTAATTATCCCCCGCAACGCGTTTTGCGGAGGGTATTAAAATGGACTCCGTCCGTGCGTCCGTCCGTCCGTGCACATTTGTCTTTTCCGGAGCAGAACTCTAAAACCGTTCACTATTTCTTCACCAAACTTGGCACATAGATAGATCTGGTGTCGTTTGGTAGTTTTGGAATTCTGAATAAAATATTTTTTGGCATTTCCATGGCAACAAGTTTGACTTAGCCTGAAATTGGTGATAGTGCTCCTTTCTGGAGCAGAACTTAAAAACCTTTCAATACTCTCCTTCCACTTTTCTATATACACACCTAAATATTTGACATAATCATAACACGTAGACATAATCATGAAGTGTATTTTGCCATTGCCGGGGATATTGATGACTGTCTTCTTGTTTGTTTATTGTATAACCGACTAAAGAAGTTTGGACTCAATGTATTCTCGTTCGTCTAATTCTGAGCTCACTCCCCTGTCAACACACTCAGGCGTTGACATATACATCATCTGCAGCACCGTCGGCGTCAAGCCATGAGGTTGATAACAGTATGTACAGGTCAATACTGAACAGTCAGGGTGTACTGACGTTGACGTGAACGTATTTCCACCATCTGCATTCAGACGCTGACAAATATGACGATGTCAACACACTGACTTTGTAAAACAACCCTTTAGCAAATGAAAGGCCAGCTTACGCCCCACAGATTTGTAATGAAATCCTCCACCTTCACATTATAAAGCAAACAATAAACTACTATATAGGATGAAAGGTGTAAATGTTTGATACTTGTCTTCCAGTATATTCCAGTTACTGACTCGTAAACCCAAAACAGTATTGACATCTTTATTTTCTTAAATAGCTACAATAGCCAAACACACGATAATACAACACATTACAACATAAAAACTGGTTGATTTACGAACAGAGATTCTACTGATATAAATCTCTAAATGAAGAACATGAGTTCTTGAGCCAGTCAGACACCAGCTTTCAAAAATGATAAACTTCATTTCTTCACCACCTTGATTCAGAAATTACAATATTAACGAAAGAAAAACCCAAATAACACAAATACATATACTCTTGACAGTATGTCCGTTCTGGCACTCCAAAGCAGAATGCGTCAGTATCCCGTGAGTATGTTTCTCCTTTTAGTTAAGGAGCGTGGTCTTTGACATGTACCTATGTTGAGTACCCAGGCCTTCGGGGTGATATTTCCACGAGACTACTGTACCATCCCTAGAATAGCCACATTAGTGCAGCTTTTTTATTTATCATGCTTGTCTGACTGCTTGGTTTATCTGTACCGAGAGTTTACAAGCATGAACTAAAATTAGCTGACTTGAAAATGAACCACCCGATGTGATCTGTAGAGGCATCCTCAGGTCTTCATGCACAGAGGTATCCTACCTCTCCATTGACAAATATCGGAGTTTAAAGAGACTGCAATATGAAAATGTTGGATGAAGCATTTTGGTGAGTTGCTATAGCAATATCATGGGAAGTATGCATGAAGTATATAGATAACAAAACAAGACTAAAGATGAGGACTCTTAAAAAAACACCTCATGTGAAGGTAGTTTGTGAACGAAGACTTCTTTCCATGAGTTACATTTGACTTATGGCAAAGCAAATACATAGCTATAGGTCCAGTCTATGTTTATCACTTTATACTATTCTGCAGCAAACTAAAGTTTGGTAATTTGAAATGGACATAAAAAAAATATCCATAAAACAGATTCACAAAAAACACCTAGTTACAAAGCATATCACAAGCAGCCTGTGTGAGAACTCTAATGAGAATGCCATCAATAATTTGTCAAACTTAAGACTCTTCTTCATGCAAGAAGCACCTCATGCTAGTCATCTGTCCTGGTGGCATATGAAGGTGAATTTTATTATTATGTTCATGCTGTATGGGTTTCAAACTATTTCATATTAAAATTCTACATACCAAAGGAACAATAATTTAACAAATGGCAGTGGGCTACAGTTTTGTCAAACTGCTAAAGCATGATACACATTAGGCCATTTTAATGAAAGGTTCGGAAATCTTAATGATAAAAGTAAAGTATGGCTGTATGTTGTATGGAGGCCACCTATCAGGGTCTATGTGTTACAAGGGAACTCTCTACATGATGTATAATCACTGACGACAACTTGTTCACCAATGGCTGCTGTCAGTGCCTTGTGTAAGAATTCATTCCCAGAGGTATACATATAGACTGATGATCACATAGATATATCTTGTGTCCCACGTATGAAGGAATATGCAGACTAGAGAAAGTTGAAACAAACAATAACATCAGTTAATAAAATAACGGAATATGATGAGCTACAGGTATGTCACAAATGTGCTTGGCACTAGCTAAACACGCATCATGGCAGCAATATCACAGACTCTCACTAAGTACAATCATAAGACACAAAGGTATATTCGATCCAATCTTGCTCAGACATTACCAATGTAGCTCACATAATGAGCAGGCAGTTCCCTACTGCAGGAAGATGGCCACACCAACAGATAACCACATCCCCGATCTCTTGGTCCTTTAATATTTGGACACCATAATAATTTATTCCTGTTCTTAAATAAATAGGAACATAAATTAATGAAATCATATTTAGAAAATTCATGTTCACCAGGCAAAATAATGATGAAGTGACTGTTTTTCCTTAGCTTTAATAACTTCACTAATGATATCACAGGGTTACACCAGACATGTAAGAAATGCTCAGTACTTTGAGAGTATTATAATCCTATTTCTTTCTGAAACAAATCAAGTGCTTTGTTATTATAAATAACAGTGGCACAATGGAAAGAAAACATGCATAGATTTCTGGACAAACCGTTCTCATATATTTCTGATTTGTGCAAAAAATGACAAAGATCAATTTTCGGAAATGTTCTCTATGTGGAAATGGTTATCAAGGAATGAAATTTGAATATGGCATGAGAAGTGTTAGCAAATATGTCAACACAAATGGAATGACTGCTTAGGAAAGTAGCATATACTGATGTTAAATCTGTAGAATTGGAAAGCCTCAGTTTGTTCAGCTATCCACTGAATACAAAGTAGTTATGTTACACTTGCTGCAGATGCTGCCAGATTCCCATACACAGGTCACATGTAACATCTTGCTGATATACATGAAGGTGACTCGCCACTTCCTGAGCAAATATCACTATGTTCCTCGCCTTATAGAGGGAATGGGAAGATTTAGTTATATCAGGTTAATTGTCCACATCGTAATGTACAGAAACACTTAGTATATTTGGTCCTCATTTCTCAATCTTCACTAGTATCAGCTGGAGTACATCTGTCAAGATGAACTGATACATAACTCCAAATGACTCAAAGCCTGAGTGTGAGAAGTATGGGCATTCACATTTGAAGTGGGCATTTGGAGGAGATGTTTGTGTAGTGCACTGTGTTCATCTGTGGCAACACGTCTGTTGGTTCTGTGTGCAGGCTAGGCACCTAGAAGGCTGCCCACTTGTCAGTGTGGCAGATGCTAGTGGAGAGCCTGGACATCCTGCTCATCCTTCACCTGGTTGGCATTCTCATCCATCTCCTCACAGAGTTCCTCGTCCCTACAAGAATAGACATGGAAGGCTTATACTAATAAAATATACAAAACTGACTGCAGAGTCTAAATCCTGAATTAACATCATGAGCATCAAACATGGAATAGGATGGTAACTCAGCAAGTCTGACCACCTGATCTGTTTGCCTGCCACTTACAACCAGCAAAGACTGATGGGTACCAATTCTTGCCCGGAATCCCTAGAGGGCAGCTGTTATTGAACATTGGCAAATAGGCCAGGGCGCAATATGCTACAGAGGATATGCCTATACAACTCCTGAGGTCATGAAAAATTTCATGCCAGATACTGAAGGAATTCTTATTGTTGACAATTATTTACACACTGGCATATTCTGTAAGTTTACCTGAGTTTGAGGTTGATGTCAAAGCCCTTATCCATGCTGAGTTTCACGACGGGTGTGGAACTACGCGAACCACTGCTGTCTGACTGTCTGTCAATCATACTGAGCCTGGACAGCTGGCCGTCTGCTGTAAGACATACACTCAAAAGATTAGCACACATCTCGCATGTGGACAAAGGCACATAACACACATTTCACACACGAACAGGAGCAAGTAAGATATATCTCAAGTGTACAGTGACACATAAATACAGTCATTTTTCGGGATCAATATAACCATTATTTTGTGAGTTTGTCAGTACCATGAACACACAGATTAGACTAATTAGTCATAAAAGCATTCTGCAATTGAAAGTAAAAACGCAAAACAGGAATTTTAAGAGGTGAAGGCATCAACAAATACAATTACAATGTGAGAGTTTGTTAGGAAGTTGTGCAGCCTACAGAAAAGATATAGAAGTCAAACGATGTTCTTAACAACGTAACAGTCTGGATATAAATATCTGCCTGCACATGGAAGTGTTGGTCAATACCTGTGATTCTGCCGGACTCCGATGCTAACTCCCACTCTAACTGGTTGAGTGTTTCCTCATCTTCATCATTGTAGTGGGAAACATTTACATCATCATACTGTGCCAGATCCTCCCCATCCATCACTACAAGCACACAATACAGCAGGTCTACTTTAGTGCGTTAAACAAGTGTACGCTGGGACATCATCAAAGGGCGGGACATCATCATATTACCAGAGTTAAATAGTATTAGTCTGTCTATACACATATCTTCTAAAACTAACTGAAAGATCTCAGTTCTTTGTCACTTCCTTAGCGAGGGTCAGCCGGGGCAGAAATACATCTGAAGGACCCCAGTTTGTCAAGAGAGACAACCAAAAAGAGGCTTCTCACAGTAACACCTTCTGCCATCTGCTTCACGGTTGTCAAGTAGTGATTTGTCTGTGACGCTCTGCCACAGGGTGCACTGTTGTCAAGTAGTGATTTGTCTGTGACGTTCTGCCACAGGGTGCCCTGTTGTCAAGTAGTGATTTGTCTGTGACGTTCTGCCACAGGGTGCACTGTTGTCAAGTAGTGATTTGTCTGTGACGTTCTGCCACAGGTTACACTGTTGTCAAGTAGTGATTTGTCTGTGACGTTCTGCCACAGGGTACACTGTTGTCAAGCAGTCATTTGTCTGTGACGTTCTGCCACAGGGTACACTGTTGTCAAGCAGTCATTTGTCTGTGACGTTCTGCCACAGGGTACACTGTTGTCAAGCAGTCATTTGTCTGTGACGTTCTGCCACAGGGTACACTGTTGTCAAGCAGTCATTTGTCTGTGACGTTCTGCCACAGGTTACACTGTTGTCAAGTAGTGATTTGTCTGTGACGTTCTGCCACAGGTTACACTGTTGTCAAGCAGTCATTTGTCTGTGACTGTCTAATTAGAAAGTACGACTACATGGATAAATTGTGTTTTTAATTTCGGATTTGCTGACACTGGATATTTTTGGTGTTTCATGCTCACAAAAGTGAAAGTGCATTGGTATAAAACAACACCCATTCGACATAGCTGTACTTTTTAGGAATAAAGTGTGCACTATACTCAAGTCATATAATCAGACTACATACAAAAAAACCCACAAAAATAATATCATCATTGAATTTCATGAAAGCAAAGTCTTTAAAAATGAAAAGACAGATGTGAATATCTATAAAAACTAAAACACACCAAAAAGGAATGGGTCTTCCAGTGCTGAATTAGTATAAGGTTCTGCTAAGGTTCCCTTTAAGCTGAGACACTTACCAATAGCTTGAGATATCCGACCAGATGTTTCTTGTTGTGATGGAGGACGGGAAACGCTATCTTCTAGTTGGGAGTGGTTAGTGGAGTCTTGGAGCCAGATGGAGGAGGCCCTGCTTGTCACAACACTCCTTTCCCCATGCCTTGATTCTGACTTTGATTTAGTTCCAGACACACTCTGTCCTTGTGACCGAGATTGTGAATGTGTCTGCCTTTCAGATCTGGATTCTGCAGGTCGACTTGACCACTGGTCAGATGCTTTCCTTGACTGACTACGTCTTGGACTAGATACACTCCTTATAGGTGTGGTGGCCCTGGAAATGGTGGCAAAGGGACTTAACTTGTTTCATGGTCATATAATCCCTATAGTGACACCTGCACTAACAAAAACATTAAGCCATTGCCAAGTGTTACATAGAAAACTACATGCACACCCCACAGCTTAATACTAAGAAGCTTATCTACACATACTTATTTCATAACTAAATGTTTGTTATGCAAGGGTTATTGCATACTATTCAGTGATTTCTAGTTAATTGTTTCTGTCTTGCAAATACATGAACGACTAAAGTTCAACTATGAAAATTGACACTACACCAAGAGACTGTGACAAATATTGTGGCAAAGATGTCAGTTCTGATCAATACTAAAATGGCCTGTACCTCACAGATTAGTAAAACTATAAACTGAATGTCCCAAGAAAGAGGAAGAAGCAGACCCCAAAACAAAATGGTCCACATGATTTGATCGTGGTTTAAACTGACCTGCTTGGGTTATCTTCCCCTGCTATACTGCTGTATGAGGTTGTGATTGGCTGGCCTTGTGCCTGGCCACTGTAAGAGTAGGAGATGACAGTCTCATCCTCAACTGCAACTTGGTCCAACGGGATGACGTCACCAAGACTGCTGTCTGGTCGCCATGACCTTGGTGCCATCTGGTACACTGCAGGTATATGAATGTTTGCAAAAGGTTATCGTATCATTGTTACTTTTACACAATTGTCGTCACACTGATTTTGGAATATAATTACACTGATCAATGAAACATTTACCACATTACAGTATATACTGATATCAAAATGACTTGTGGACACAAAAGAACCATGGACATTGAGAATGAGCAAATCTCCTACTCCATGTTATGAAATGTAAAAACCAGGAATGACTGATGATATCCTTCTTACATCTGTTGCTAACTTTCATGACATCTTTCTTGGCTTTATCTGCTGTAGGAGTAAGTGTTCTCTCCTGAGGAGCAGGCTTCACCCCAACCATGAAGAAGTCCTCCAACGTGGGGGCGAACATGTGGGTCTCTGTCTCCTTCAGCCGAGACGCAATGTCATGCAGGGCTGAACTGGGAGTCTTCGTTAACATCCCTTCTCTGCAGAAGCCAAAACATATCACAACCTCATAGGATTTTTTTAAAATTCACAACACTATTTTTGAATATTTTGTAATCACATCAATGATTTTGTTGAGGATTACTAAGAAAGTGTAATCCCAAATATAACATATGTTAGAGGATAACTAAAGATTAATCCATGGACTGTCATAATATTTCCACACAGATGCATTTGTGTTGCAAAGTCTTGTAAAGATAGTTTTGCCATTTTTGTCATGATGATTCAAAGAGGTTACAGAGAAAAAATGTGGAATAATTTTCACTCTCATTCATTCCAGCTGATATGTTAAGTTGACACTTGAGTGTTTTTTAAACCAATGATTGGGAAATTTCAACTAATTCCAACATGATGTCACATTATGACAAATACCCCTACAGCCACAAATTTAAAAAGACCCAAATTATCAGCTAGATACAGCAAATCCTACAAGTGTGACTGGTTTTACTTGATGAGAATATTCCTGATCTAATCTGTCCATCCACATAAAAGAGTAGTGACGAAGGTGTGACAACACCACCATGGAGTTGGTATTTGGAACTATATTGCCACCAGAAAACCAATAGCTTTGGAGATATGGTCTGAAAATACATATCCCATATTGCCATGAATACTGAAAACTCCATTTCCCCAAACAGCAATAACTACAAGTTGAAAACCAGATCTGTGTGTGTGCAAAGTTCATGAGTGATTACAATGTAATTTCAGAGATAATTTCTGGACAAAAGCACACCACTATGAACAGACTCAAAGTCAATATTGCTGACACAGAAACAGAATAAAATATTAATTCAAAAAATCCCTAAATAGCAATAGGTAACAGTTGACAACCTAGTCTCTGTGTGTGCAACACTATGAACAGCAAATTTATAAATTTTCTCGTGGTAAAAGAAAACAAACGAAAACCTGAAAATCCCCAAATAGCAAAAGCCACAGACTGACAACCTGTTGTTTGAGTGAGCAAAGTTGTTTGAGTATCTGATGGCTATATTGACTGCACTAACAACGGATGGACCATCAGATAGTTGGTAAGTCGAACAACCTGATCACAAGATCCCCATGTATTACATATTGGAAATAGGTTCATAAGAGAGTACAGTATCATACTTAGTTCATAACATCAGAGACATTTTCAGTAAGATAATAGATGAAGAGGTTAATATAGGTTATTTCTGTAAAGTTTGTTGTCACTTCAATGTTTAATGCAATCAGTGGAAGTTCAGGAATAGAAGAATGATTGCTTGGATCATTTTTGTAAAAGTTGAACCTTATAATGCAACTGAGGTAAACTTACCCAAGTGTTGAACCTGCTCTGCTGTATGCTCTTGAATATGTCCCAGACTGACGCCCAGACTTGGGTCTAACAGACTGGCGAGATTTCCTGGACACTGGCCTTGATTTGGGTCTGTTTAGACCACTGGTCTCCTGTTCAACTTCAGCTACACCAGAGTGACACTGGACCTTCTCCTGCTTTCTCCCAGACTTTCCCCTGGAGTGTGGCTCGGCATGTAGACTTGGCATGTCACTATAAAGGTCGACTACCGTAGTCTCCGACACACCGCTGTCACCTCCCTGATCAGACTTTATACTGCGAGATTTGGATGCTGGAGTCTTTGATCTGTTCCTTGCTGTTTTGCTGCTCTTTGGGGATGTGCTGTGAAGGTGTTGGGCATTAAATATTACATCTACTTTGTATACTCGTATCTTTACACACATACCTACACAGGCACAACAATTGATTATGCTGTACTTTGAATTTGGCACTTTGAATCAGATATCCTAAAAACAAATATGCCTGTAAATCCTCAGAGGAAGAACTTTCATTCATTATGTATTTGTGTATACATGAAAGCATATCTGAAGTTAACACATGATCAAAGATACCATACTTGTCAACAAGCAAACATAGCAACTAATGTCATTTATTATAGGGGATGGATGGCACATGGCTGGTCTCTGGACTGGATTGTAGACTTCCTCACCCCTTTTCATGTAGGAAATTTCTCCAAAGAAACTACCTCATACATGTAACATTTTTGCCATATCCTGCCAAACTGCCTCAATATTGTGATTCTGGCAACAGCTTCCCCTCTCATCCCCTTTCTCTGAGCCAATTGTTCCGGACATCCCCTCTTCCCTGTACAAATAACCACTCTGTATTTATGCAACAAGTGTGTGGGGACATGACACAAGTGTCTGGGGCCAGGATACGAGTGTGTGGGGACAGGACACGAGTGTCTGGGGCCAGGATACGAGTGTGTGGGGACAGGAGATGAGTGTGTAGGGACAGGATACGAGTGTGTGGGGACAGGACACGAGTGTGTGGGGACAGGAGACGAGTGTGTAGGGACAGGAGATGAGTGTGTGGGGACAGGACATGAGTGTCTGGGGCCAGGATACGAGTGTGTGGGGACAGGAGATGAGTGTGTAGGGACAGGATAAGAGTGTGGGGACAGGACACGAGTGTCTGGGGCCAGGATACGAGTGTGTGGGGACAGGAGATGAGTGTGTAGGGACAGGATACGAGTGTGGGGACATGACACGAGTGTCTGGGGCCAGGATACGAGTGTGTGGGGACAGGACACACAGTGTGTAGGGACAGGATTCGACGAGTGTGTGGGGACAGGAGATGAGTGTGTAGGGACAGGATACGAGTGTGTAGGGACATGACACAGTGTCTGGGGCCAGGACAGTGTGTGTGGGACAGGACACGAAGAGTGCAGAGTGTGTGGGGACAGGACACTGAGGATCACAGTGTGTGGGGACAGGACACGAGTGTGTAGGGACAGGACAGGAGTGTGTGGGGACAGGACACAGAGTGTGTAGGGACAGGTGGGGGACAGGACACGAGGACATGTGTGGGGACAGATAGATGAGTGTGTGTGGGGACAGGACACGGGAGTGGGACACAGTGTGGGGACAGGACACAGGTGTGGGGACAGGGACACAGGACACTGAGAGTGTCTGGGGACAGGACAGGATACACATGAGTGTGTGGGGACAGGACAGGAGTGTGTGTGGGGGACAGGACAGTGTGTGTGGGACACAGTGTGGACAGGACAGGAGACAGTGGAGGATGGTGAGTGTGGACAGGACAGGACACAGACACTGAAGTGTGTGGGGACAGGACATGAGGTGTGGGGACAGGACACACGAGTGTCTGGGGCCAGGACTCACGAGTGTGTGGGGACAGGACACCAGCAGCGTGTAGGGACAGGACAGGAGTGGACCGGGACATGACCACAGTGTCTGGGGCCAGGACATGAGTGTGTAGTGGGGACAGGACACGAGTGTCTGGGAGCCAGGACATGAGTGTGTGGGGACAGGACATGAGTGTGTGGGGACAGGACACAGAGTGTGGGGGAGACACAGACAGTGTGTGGGGACAGGACACAGAGGTGTGTAGGGACAGGACACGAGTGTGTGGGGACAGGACACAGGTGTGTGGGGACAGGACAGGAGTGTGTGGGGACAGGACATGAGTGTGTGGGGCCAGGACACGAGCGTGTAGGGAGAGGACATGAGTGTGTGGGGACGGGACACGAGTGTGTAGGGACAGGACATGTGTGTGTGGGGACAGGACACGAGAGAGTGGGGACTGGATACGGTGGGTAGGGACAGGATACAAGGGTGTGGGGACAGGACTTGAGGGTGAGGGGACAGGACACGAGTGTGTGGGGCCAGGATACGAATGTGTGGGACAGGACATGGGTGTGTAGGGACAGGACACGAGTGTGTGGGGACAGGACACAACTTTGTATTGTCAGGACATGAGTGTATGAGGACAGGACCGAGAGAGAGTGGACAGGACGAGAGTGTGTAGGGACAGGACACGAGTGTCTGGAGGGACAAGACACAAGAGTCTGTGTGGGACAGAAGTGGACACAATGGAGTGTGTGGGGGACAGGGCGAGTGTGTAGGGACAACACCAAGAGAGGGGGACAGGGCCGAGAGGTGTAGGGACAAGACAGGAGCGTGTGGGAACAGGGGCGAGGGACAGGATGTAGGGACAGCACCAAGAGAGAGGACAGGGCTAGGAGTGTGTAGGGACAGGACACGAGACACAGAGAGAGTGGGGGCACAGGGACTGGACAGGACAGTGTGTAGGGACAACACCAAGAGAGGTGTGTGGGGACAGGACAGGACTGGTAGGAGGACAGGACAGAGGGACAACAGGACACACAAGCGTGTGGGGACAGGAGGACGAGAGGACAGGGCGAGAGTGTGGGACAGCACGAGAGAGAGGGACAGGACAGGACGAGTGTGGGACACAACACCGAGAGACAGACAGTGTGGGGTAATGAGGGACAGAACAAGTGTGTGGGGACAGGACCAAGACAGGACAAAGTGTGTAGGGACAGTGTAGGGAACAGGGGACGGACGAGAGTGTGTAGGGACAGGACCCGAGAGGGAGGGACAGGGCGAGTGTGTAGGGACAGACAGAAGTGTGTGGGAACAGGACGAGAGTGTGTAGGGACAGCACCGAGAGAGAGGACAGGACAAGAGTGTGTAGGGACAAGACACAAGTGTGTGGGAACAGGACGAGAGTGTGTAGGGACAGCACCGAGAGAGAGGGGACAGGACAGAGTGTGTACAAGACACAAGTGTGTGGGAACAGGATGAGGAGTGTGTGGACAGCACCGAGAGAGGGAGACAGGACAGAGAGTGTGTAGGGACAGCACCCGAGAGAGAGGGACAGGAGGAGAGGAGTGTGTAGGGACAGGACGAGAGTGAGGGACAGACAGGAGGGAGAGGGACAGGGACAAGACAGAAGTGTGTGGGAACAGGACACAAGTGTGTAGGGACAACACCAAGAGAGGGGAGACAGGACGAGTGTGTAGGGACAGGACATGAGCACAGGACACAAGTGTGTGGGAACAGGACAGAGTGTGTAGGGACAGCACCGAGAGAGGAGACAGGACAGGAGTGTGTAGGGACAGGACATGAGAGAGATGGGAGACAGGACATGAGTGTGTAGGGACAGCACCAAGAGAGAAGGGACAGGACGAGAGTGTGTAGGGACAAGACACAAGTGTGTAGGGACAGCACCAAGAGAGAGGAGACAGGACGAAAAGTGTGTAAGGACAGGACATGAGCGTATGGGAACAGGACACAAGTGTGTGGGAACAGGACAAGAGTGTGTAGGGACAGCACCGAGAGAGAGGAGACAGGACGAAAGTGTGTAGGGACAGGACATGAGCGTATGGGGACAGGACATGAGTGTGTGGGGACAGGAGACAAGTGTGTAGGGACAGCACCGAGAGAGAGGGGACAGGACGAGAGTGTGTAGGGACAGGACATGAGTGTGTGGGGACAGGACACAAGTGTGCGGGAACAGGACGAGAGTGTGTAGGGGCAGCACCCAGAGAAAGGGGACAGGCTGAGAGTGTGTAGGGACAGGACATGTGTGTGTGGGGACAGGACACAAGTGTGTGGGAACAGGACGAGAGTGTGTAGGGGCAGCACCGAGAGAAAGGGGACAGGACGAGAGTGTGTAGGGACAGGACATGAGTGTGTGGGGACAGGACACTGTGTAGGGACCGGACATGAGAGTGTGGGGACAGGGTATATGTGTGTGGGGACAGGATACAAGTGTGTACCTGTGACTCTGCACCTGCCAGGCCTCAAAGCTGCTGACCTCCTGCACCTGGTACCGGTCAGTGTGCTCCAGGTTTCGCATCCGGGGCTGCAACAACATCACTGACTGTCAGGACGACAACACTGACCATTTTCTTCCTATCAGAGGACTACCACACAGAGGACTACCACACTGATCATTATCTTCCATCAGAGAACTACCACCCTGATCATTATCTTCCTTCAGAGGACTACCACACAGATGACTACTACACACTGATCATTATCTTCCATCAGAGGACTACCACACTGATCACTATCTTCCTTCAGAGGACTACCACACTGATCACTATCTTCCTTCAGAGGACTACCACACTGATCACTATCTTCCTTCAGAGGACTACCACACTGATCATTATCTTCCTTCAGAGGACTACCACACTGATCATTATCTTCCTTCAGAGGACTACCACACTGATCATTATCTTCCTTCCTTCAGAGGACTACCACACTGATCATTATCTTCCTTCAGAGGACTACCACACTGATCACTATCTTCCTTCAGAGGACTACCACACTGATCATTATCTTCCTTCAGAGGACTACCACACAGAGGACTACCACACTGATCACTATCTTCATCAGAGGACTACCATCTTCCTTCAGAGGACTACCACACTGATCACTATCTTCCTTCAGAGGACTACCACACTACCAGAGGACTACCACACTGATCACTATCTTCCTTCAGAGGACTACCACACTGATCAGGACTTCCATCCACACTGATCACTATCTTCCTTCAGAGGACTACCACACTGATCATGATCACTGGACTTCCACACAGAGGACTACCACACTGATCACTATCTTCAGAGAGACTACCACACTGATCAGAGGACTACCACACTGATCACTATCTTCCTTCAGAGGACTACCACACTGATTCAGAGGACTACCTCACTGATCACTATCTTCCTTCAGAGGACTACCACACAGAGGACTACCACACTGATCACTATCTTCCTTCAGAGGACTACCACACTGATCACTATCTTCCTTCAGAGGACTACCACACAGAGGACTACCACACTGATCACTATCTTCCTTCAGAGGACTACCACACTGATCACTATCTTCCTTCAGAGGACTACCACACTGATCACTATCTTCCTTCAGAGGACTACCACACTGATCACTATCTTCCTTCAGAGGACTACCACACTGATCACTATCTTCCTTCAGAGGACTACCACACTGATCACTATCTTCCTTCAGAGGACTACCACACTGATCATTGTCTTCCTTCAGAGGACTACCACACAGAGGACTACCACACTGATCACTATCTTCCTTCAGAGGACTACCACACTGATCATTATCTTCCTTCAGAGGACTACCACACTGATCACTATCTTCCTTCAGAGGACTACCACACTGATCACTATCTTCCTTCAGAGGACTACCACACTGATCATTATCTTCCTTCAGAGGACTACCACACTGATCACTATCTTCCTTCAGAGGACTACCACACTGATCACTATCTTCCTTCAGAGGACTACCACACTGATCATTATCTTCCTTCAGAGGACTACCACACAGAGGACTACCACACTGATCATTATCTTCCTTCAGAGGACTACCACACTGATCACTATCTTCCTTCAGAGGACTACCACACTGATCACTATCTTCCTTCAGAGGACTACCACATACCACACTGATCACTATCTTCCTTCAGAGGACTACCACACTGATCATTATCTTCCATCAGAGGACTACCACACAGATCACTATCTTCCTTCACACTATAAATATCTCTTTCGTACCATACAACTTCAAAATTGGCTCTTGGCAAATATTAACAGCTGAATTTTCATTGGGTAATTTTGTAAATATATCACTTTCTCCATTTTGTTAAGTTATAACACACTTTTAAATCATGTTATTCCCTCAACCTAATGAAGCAACACTCACCGGTGTTTCCTGTAGCTCCACTATTGACAGACTGGAGCCAGATCGAGGTACCGGAGACTTGTCACTGCTGGTGTTGGCCACTGAGGCTTGGTATAAGGCAGTGAAGCTAACTCGGTTGTCATCATCTATACAAGAGAAATGTTAAATCATAAACTACACTGGTGATGGGTAGTCCTGAAGACACACCCAAGAACTTGCCCTCAAATGTTGTTATGAATAATTAATATATTGTTTTAAATAAAAGTTGTTCTATGTCTTCATTAACATCTAAAATATTTGTCTTATATGAGATGTAAAACAAATTGACCAAATGTCTGAAACAGCTTGATAAATTGATTGTTTCTCAGGTAGCAGTTCATCACAACTTATAAAATTTTGTACACAATAAAAGCCTGTTACCATGACTACTTATAATCTGTAGCTAACATTTTCAGTGTGTGTCCAGTTATATGTGTTGGTATTCTTGGTGAGAACATTCTAAATGTGTTCCTCCTGCCTCTTGACATCATTTTTTACACATAATTACAAAACATTCTGACTTCCCTTATCACTTTTGAGAAAATTTGCATACACCCAACAAATTTCCATAGCTGCATAGTTGCCTGTCTATATGGCTGTTCCAAAGTAAAAAGGATCTAGGGCAACAGTTTTAAGAGACACTTTGAAATGCCTCCCAAAATCTTTCCAAATGGTTACAATTCAAAGCCAAAATTGGAAATACAATCTCCATTCACCCACTCAAGCAATTGTCAATTTGACTTTAAATGATTGGAAACCATGTATCACATTGCCACTTAAGTTTTGAGATGTGTATAACATTGCTCCCATGTGTAACAGGATTATGATCAATGACAGGCCAAGGCATCTTCCTTGAGTAAGTTGAGGTGGAGATATAGGCAGCTACACCCGCCTAGTGGGCTCTCCCTTGTACCTGCATTGTAACTACTGCGTGGGGAGGGGTAGTCATCCTCCAGTCTAGGGGTCCCTATATCCCCAGGGTCAGTGCGGCGGTGTTTCTTCAGGAGCAGACGGTCAGCGTAGCTGATGGTGTTGGTGAATGTTATCTGGGGCGAGTCTGGTTCACTGGTCATTGTTGTAGCTGTATGCACACTAGCAGCAACTGTAGACACATAGGTGCCCAGAACACAACATATTAACGTGAACATATGTTATATATGGGATTAAGTAAAGTACAGATTCTAGTACTTTTGGGGTTGTGTTCCGGCTGACTTTGTATGCTGGAGATTAGGTGCCTGACTCTGAGGGTGTGGGTTCAAATCCTGGATGGGGCTCGATCCAAAAAGTACTAGAATCTGTACTTTACTAAGAAAGTGTAATCCCATATATAACATATGTTACATTTGACCACGTTCTAAATGTCATTGTGTAATCATATTAACATGAGCTACATACATAGACTCCAGAAAGCACCATCCTGTAAGAGTTACACAAACAGACTCTATAACACAACATATTAACATGAGCTTCATTTATACACTCCCAAAACACACAACATTTGCTACACATATAAATTCTCAGAATACACCATACTGACATGAGCTACTCATACAGATTCTCGAAACTCAACATATTAACAAGAGCTACATGTATAGGCTTTCACATTCACCACATTAACATGAGCTACATGTATAGGCTTTCACATTCACCATTAACATGAGCTACAGGTATAGGCTTTCAATTCACCACATTAACATCAGCTTCATTTATAAGCTTTCACATTCACCATATCAACAAGAGCTACATGCATAGGCTTTCACATTCACCATATCAACATCAGCTACATTTATAGGCTTTCACATTCACCATATTAACAAGAGCTACATGTATAAGCTTTCACATTAACCATATTAAAAGAGCTACATGTATAAGCTTTCACATTAACCATATTACCAAGAGCTACATGTATAGGCTTTTACATTCATCATATTATTATTAACATGAGCTACATGTATAGGCTTTCACATTCACCATATTAACATGAGCTACATGTATAGGCTTTCACATTCACCATATTAACATGAGCTACATGTATAGGCTTTCACATTCACCATATTAACATGAGCTACATGTATAGGCTTTCACATTCACATTCACATATTAACATGAGCTACATGTATAGGCTTTCACATTCACCATATTAACAAGAGCTACATGTATAGGCTTTCAGAATACACACTACCACCTACCTGTTGCTTTCCGAGGAGAAATGGCCCTGTGCGGTGAGACAGTTGGTGAGGGGAAGTCATCACCCTGCCTCCATGCCAGTAGAGCTGCTTGGAAGGATGCAGCACTCTCGGCTTCATTGTACTGACCTGCCAACAAGTCTCTTGCCGACTCGTATGAACCACTTGCACCCTCAGGGCCATTTCGCTCTGAATCCTGTCAACAAAATACATCATGCTCTCATACAGACAACAAATCACCCGCCAACTCGTATGAACCACTTGCACCCTCAGGGCAATTTGACTCTGATTCCTGTCAACAAAGTACATCATGCTCTCATACAAACAACAAGTCACCCGCCAACTCGTGGGCCGACTCGTATGAACCACCAGCACCCTCAGGGCAATTTGACTCTGATTCCTGTCAACAAAGTACATCATGCTCTCATACAAACAACAAGTTGACTGCATCTATCAATGACAACAATCTGACAGAACTTTCAAGTGATTATATGTTTCCTACACAGTCATTTCTGGAACTGACCATCTGTATAAGTGTTTGCTACTACAGTAGTATGACATCATTTTAACAACTCCTATTTGTGATAGTCATCAATGTGACTTGTACCATGGACAACTGCCTCTAAACACCATACTCACTCAATCCCTCAACAGAGTTTGATTATCATTGGTACAAATGGATGGGTAAGACTGCATGAAAGGTTAGAATGAATTTGGGCATGTTTTACATCACAGCCTGGAATATTCCATCAAGTTCATAGCAACATCTAAATAATGAAATCTAGGCCAGTCATTCCAGCAGTGGGTAAACCTATGAATCTCCCACACCATCCCTGTCTCATGACAACCAGGCAGACCAGCAGTGGGTAAACCTATGAATCTCCCACACCATCCCTGTCTCATGACAACCAGGCAGACCAGCAGTGGGTAAACCTATGAATCTCCCACACCATCCCTGTCTCATGACAACCAGGCAGACCAGCAGTGGGTAAACCTATGAATCTCCCCATCCCTGTCTCATGACAACCAGGCAGACCAGCAGTTGCTAAACCTATGAATCTCCCCCCCATCCCTGTCTCATGACAACCAGACAGACCAGCAGTTGGTAAACCTATGAATCTCCCACACCATCCCTGTCTCATGACAACCAGGCAGACCAGCAGTGGGTAAACCTATGAATCTCCCACACCATCCCTGTCTCATGACAACCAGTCATTCCAGCAGTGGGTAAACCTATGAATCTCCCCCCCATCCCTGTCTCATGACAACCAGACAGACCAGCAGTGGGTAAACCTATGAATCTCCCACACCATCCCTGTCTCATGACAACCAGGCAGACCAGCAGTGGGTAAACCTATGAATCTCCCACACCATCCCTGTCTCATGACAACCAGGCAGACCAGCAGTGGGTAAACCTATGAATCTCCCACACCATCCCTGTCTCATGACAACCAGGCAGACCAGCAGTGGGTAAACCTATGAATCTCCCCCACCATCCCTGTCTCATGACAACCAGGCAGACCAGCAGTGGGTAAACCTATGAATCTCCCACACCATCCCTGTCTCATGACAACCAGGCAGACCAGCAGTGGGTAAACCTATGAATCTCCCACACCATCCCTGTCTCATGACAACCAGGCAGACCAGCAGTGGGTAAACCTATGAATCTCCCCCACCATCCCTGTCTCATAACAACCAGACAGACCAGCAGTGGGTAAACCTATGAATCTCCCACACCATCCCTGTCTCATAACAACCAGACAGACCAGCAGTGGGTAAACCTATGAATCTCCCACACCATCCCTGTCTCATAACAACCAGGCAGACCAGCAGTGGGTAAACCTATGAATCTCCCCCACCATCCCTGTCTCATGACAACCAGGCACACCAAGAGCCCGACTAGCCACACTCTCTAACAACCACGAGGAAGTGAAAACCTATTCCGATCAAAATGAATGATGAACTCTGTACTGGTGCCCTTTTTACTTTCCTGTATCCCTCAACGTACCTGGTAGCTGATGTTGCTGGATACAGCGCCTACTGCTGGGGACGGCTTCATCTCTCTACAACATCACATCAGGATCATCATGAGCCACTTCCAATGAATGGCATTACATGACAGGTAGAAATTACAAAACTGGTGGACTTTGCACAAAGGTGTATCAGCATTTACTTTTCTGTGAAGACTACAATATTTACGGATTTTCTTTTGTAGTGCGAGGACTACTGTCCTGATGCCCCTTCACCAAAACAATCCCTCTCAATAAAACAATCATGACAGTGGATCTAGAAGCACTTTGAGGAATGGGAATGGTAGTACTAAATTGTGTGTCTTATGTCTAAACATACACATACACTCTGATGACTGTACAACAAAGGTAATTAATTTACAAGGCCAAATTGAGTACCCACTGGAAGCCACACTGATTCTCTATGTATGGTTACAAAGTAAAAGTCTATTTGGTCTAAGGCTTGCTACCACACAGTAAATTCTTTCATATGATCTTGGGATTTTGGTAGTTATTTCTGTGAGAGTGAGCAGCCTTACCTGTGTGATGGCGGGGGGTGGGCAGGGGCCGTGGGGACATACACTGCCTGGGACCAGATGCCTGCAAGTAAACAATTCATCGGAATGAACTCATATACCAGTAGCTAAGCTGATTCTACATCAATTCATATATTCCAAGGTAATATTCAAGATGGCCTGTAAATATCAGGCAAAAACTGATCGGTACAAAAAGCAACATTCAACATCATCAGGGCAAGATGATGTACAATCAAACACTTTCAGTCAATGGTAGCATAAGCATTATCAGGGCAAGATGATGCACAATCAGTCACCTTTAGTGGTTGGTAGCACAAGCAGCATTCAACATCATCAGGGCAAGATGATGTACAATCACACACCTTCAGTCAATAGTAGCACAAGCAACATTCAACATCATCAGGGCAAGATGATGTACAATCACACACCTTCAGTCAATAGTAGCACAAGCAACATTCAACATCATCAGGGCAAGATGATGTACAATCACACACTTTCAGTCAATGGTAGCACAAGCAGCATTCAACATCATCAGGGCAAGATGATGTAAAATCAGTCACCTTCAGTCAATGGTAGCACAAGCAGCATTCAACATCATCAGGGCAAGATGATGTACAATCACACACCTTCAGTCAATAGTAGCACAAGCAACATTCAACATCATCAGGGCAAGATGATGTACAATCACACACCTTCAGTCAATAGTAGCACAAGCAACATTCAACATCATCAGGGCAAGATGATGTACAATCACACACTTTCAGTCAATGGTAGCACAAGCAGCATTCAACATCATCAGGGCAAGATGATGTAAAATCAGTCACCTTCAGTCAATGGTAGCACAAGCAACATTCAACATCACCAGGGTAAGATGATGTACAATCACACACCTTCAGTCAATGGTAGCACAAGCAGCATTAAACATCATCAGGGCAAGATGATGTACAATCACACACCTTCAGTCAATGGTAGCACAAGCAACATTCAACATCACCAGGGTAAGATGATGTACAATCACACACCTTCAGTCAATGGTAGCACAAGCAACATTCAACATCATCAGGGCAAGATGATGTACAATCAAACACTTTCAGTCAATGGTAGCACAAGCATTATCAGGGCAAGATGATGTACAATCACACACCTTCAGTCAATGGTAGCACAAGCAACATTCAACATCATCAGGGTAAGATGATGTACAATCAGTCACCTTCAGTCAATGGTAGCACAAGCAACATTCAACATCATCAAGGCAAGATGATGTACAATCACACACCTTCAGTCAATGGTAGCACAAGCATTATCAGGGCAAGATAATGTACAATCAGTCACCTTCAGTCAATGGTTGCACAAGCAACATTCAACATCATCAGGGCAAGATGATGTACAATCAAACACTTTCAGTCAATGGTAGCATAAGCATTATCAGGGCAAGATGATGCACAATCAGTCACCTTTAGTGGTTGGTAGCACAAGCAGCATTAAACATCATCAGGGCAAGATGATGTACAATCACACACCTTCAGTCAATGGTAGCACAAGCAACATTCAACATCATCAGGGCAAGATGATGTACAATCAGTCACCTTCAGTCAATGGTAGCACAAGCAACATTCAACATCATCAGGGCAAGATGATGGACAATCACACATTTTCAGTCAATGGTAGCACAAGCAGCATTCAACATCATCAGGGCAAGATGATATAAAATCAGTCACCTTCAGTCAATGGTAGCACAAGCAACATTCAACATCACCAGGGCAAGATGATGTACAATCACACACCTTCAGTCAATGGTAGCACAAGCAGCATTCAACATCATCAGGGCAAGATGATGTACAATCACACACCTTCAGTCAATAGTAGCACAAGCAACATTCAACATCATCAGGGCAAGATGATGTACAATCACACACTTTCAGTCAATGGTAGCACAAGCAGCATTCAACATCATCAGGGCAAGATGATGTAAAATCAGTCACCTTCAGTCAATGGTAGCACAAGCAACATTCAACATCATCAGGGCAAGATGATGTACAATCAAACACCTTCAGTCAATGGTAGCATAAGCATTATCAGGGCAAGATGATGCACAATCAGTCACCTTTAGTGGTTGGTAGCACAAGCAGCATTCAACATCATCAGGGCAAGATGATGTACAATCAGTCACCTTCAGTCAATGGTAGCACAAGCAGCATTCAACATCATCAGGGCAAGATGATGTACAATCACACACCTTCAGGCAATAGTAGCACAAGCAACATTCAACATCATCAGGGCAAGATGATGTACAATCACACACCTTCAGTCAATAGTAGCACAAGCAACATTCAACATCATCAGGGCAAGATGATGTACAATCAAACACTTTCAGTCAATGGTAGCACAAGCAGCATTAAACATCATCAGGGCAAGATGATGTAAAATCAAACACTTTCAGTCAATGGTAGCACAAGCATTATCAGGGCAAGATGATGTACAATCACACACCTTCAGTCAATGGTAGCACAAGCAACATTCAACATCACCAGGGTAAGATGATGTACGATCAGACACCTTCAGTCAATGGTAGCACAAGCAGCATTAAACATCATCAGGGCAAGATGATGTACAATCACACACCTTCAGTCAATGGTAGCACAAGCAACATTCAACATCACCAGGGTAAGATGATGTATGATCACACACCTTCAGTCAATGGTAGCACAAGCAGCATTCAACATCATCAGGGCAAGATGATGTACAATCAAACACTTTCAGTCAATGGTAGCACAAGCATTATCAGGGCAAGATGATGTACAATCACACACCTTCAGTCAATGGTAGCACAAGCAACATTCAACATCATCAGGGCAAGATGATGTACAATCAGCCACCTTCAGTCAATGGTAGCACAAGCAACATTCAACATCATCAGGGCAAGATGATGTACAATCACACACCTTCAGTCAATGGTAGCACAAGCAGCATTCAACATCATCAGGGCAAGATGATGTACAATCAAACACCTTCAGTCAATAGTAGCACAAGCAACATTCGACATCATCAGGGCAAGATGATGTACAATCACACACCTTCAGTCAATAGTAGCACAAGCAACATTCAACATCATCAGGGCAAGATGATGTACAATCACACACTTTCAGTCAATGGTAGCACAAGCAGCATTCAACATCATCAGGGCAAGATGATGTAAAATCAGTCACCTTCAGTCAATGGTAGCACAAAGCAACATTCAACATCACCAGGGGTAAGATGATGTACAATCACACACCTTCAGTCAATGGTAGCACAAGCAGCATTAAACATCATCAGGGCAAGATGATGCACAATCACACACCTTCAGTCAATGGTAGCACAAGCAACATTCATCATCACCAGGGTAAGATGATGTACAATCACACACCTTCAGTCAATGGTAGCACAAGCAGCATTCAACATCATCAGGGCAAGATGATGTACAATCAAACACTTTCAGTCAATGGTAGCACAAGCATTATCAGGGCAAGATGATGTACAATCACACACCTTCAGTCAATGGTAGCACAAGCAACATTCAACATCATCAGGGCAAGATGATGTACAATCAGTCACCTTCAGTCAATGGTAGCACAAGCAACATTCAACATCATCAAGGCAAGATGATGTACAATCACACACCTTCAGTCAATGGTAGCACAAGCAGCATTCAACATCATCAGGGCAAGATGATGTACAATCACACACCTTCAGTCAATGGTAGCACAAGCATTATCAGGGCAAGATAATGTACAATCAGTCACCTTCAGTCAATGGTTGCACAAGCAACATTCAACATCATCAGGGCAAGATGATGTACAATCAAACACTTTCAGTCAATGGTAGCATAAGCATTATCAGGGCAAGATGATGCACAATCAGTCACCTTTAGTGGTTGGTAGCACAAGCAGCATTAAACATCATCAGGGCAAGATGATGTACAATCACACACCTTCAGTCAATGGTAGCACAAGCAACATTCAACATCATCAGGGCAAGATGATGTACAATCAGTCACCTTCAGTCAATGGTAGCACAAGCAACATTCAACATCATCAGGGCAAGATGATGGACAATCACATTTTCAGTCAATGGTAGCACAAGCAGCATTCAACATCATCAGGGCAAGATGATATAAAATCAGTCACCTTCAGTCAATGGTAGCACAAGCAACATTCAACATCACCAGGGCAAGATGATGTACAATCACACACCTTCAGTCAATGGTAGCACAAGCAACATTCAACATCATCAGGGCAAGATGATGTACAATCACACACCTTCAGTCAATAGTAGCACAAGCAACATTCAACATCATCAGGGCAAGATGATGTAAAATCAGTCACCTTCAGTCAATGGTAGCACAAGCAACATTCAACATCATCAGGGCAAGATGATGTACAATCAAACACCTTCAGTCAATGGTAGCATAAGCATTATCAGGGCAAGATGATGCACAATCAGTCACCTTTAGTGGTTGGTAGCACAAGCAGCATTCAACATCATCAGGGCAAGATGATGTACAATCAGTCAACTTCAGTCAATGGTAGCACAAGCAGCATTCAACATCATCAGGGCAAGATGATGTACAATCACACACCTTCAGTCAATAGTAGCACAAGCAACATTCAACATCATCAGGGCAAGATGATGTACAATCACACACCTTCAGTCAATAGTAGCACAAGCAACATTCAACATCATCAGGGCAAGATGATGTACAATCAAACACTTTCAGTCAATGGTAGCACAAGCAGCATTAAACATCATCAGGGCAAGATGATGTAAAATCAAACACTTTCAGTCAATGGTAGCACAAGCATTATCAGGGCAAGATGATGTACAATCACACACCTTCAGTCAATGGTAGCACAAGCAACATTCAACATCACCAGGGTAAGATGATGTACAATCACACACCTTCAGTCAATGGTAGCACAAGCAGCATTAAACATCATCAGGGCAAGATGATGTACAATCACACACCTTCAGTCAATGGTAGCACAAGCAACATTCAACATCACCAGGGTAAGATGATGTACGATC